GAGATTGAATAACTCGCTTTGTCTTGCGACAATATAAAAGTAAAATAAAACAGTGTTATCTCGCGACTTTGCCCGCTTTTGATGTATCTTACCGCGAAAGTTTTAAAAATCACTTTATCAGTCTCGAAACGTTTAAAGAAACAAAACTTTCCTTTTTTAACATTAGTATAGACGTCTACATGATACATCTCTTGTACTCTTCAGAGTACAATATATATTAGAGTACAGTTACCAACCCTACTTACATTCGCAACTTCGCTGAAAGTCTGACCTTTAATAAACATTTTATCTAGAGTGTAACGCCCTAACAAACTTGACCTTTACATGCTCTTTTGGACACTATCTCTTTCTAATAACAAAGACGTAAATAAGATCTCGAGCGTGCTGTTAGCGTGATTCATATTGTTTAGCATTGTTTACTTCCATCTTATCTGCGACACACGACGATAAATCTAGTGTAGAATCTGCAAGAGGTCTTTGTCCCTTTCAGTATTGTCATTACTATTTGCTTTAGAATATTGTTTCTATCTATAGGTGGTTCTTCTTGTGGTTCTCACTGCAAATATTAAAGGCAAAATCTTCACAATATCTTTTGGTTCCTTGATATTTATAATGTTTATATACAGGGTTATGGATAATTAGACCGAACCCTTTTAAGGGGTCGTAGGGAAGGTCATTTATAATTATTTTCACCTCACATTATGTATCCGAAAGTGAGCCATTTATGTGATTAATTGTATTTATAATTTTTTCTTTAATAAAGTCGAAAAATTAACTAAATTATGGCCAGAATCTAATTTTGTTGACAGTTTTGGAGAGATAACATTTTCGTGATAAATAATAATAGTACCCAAATAATCTTGACCCAAACAGCTGTAGTTACTGTGCAAAATGTGTACCTTTAGAGTCGTTTTAGGGTTTCGAAAGTAGACGAATTTTCGTTTTCGGTCAATCAGAGTAAACATAAACATAAACACGGTGCAAAAGAATCTTGTGACGAGCGTTACTATTATCTATGTGTGACGCGTATGTCTGTATATCAATTAGTCGTTAAATAAAAATACTTTGGCAATGGACTATCATAAGATGAGTGCACAAAAATCTATTGTCTTGAGCTCGTTCACGATTCGGAACGCGCGTAACGCCTTCGGTCCCGGCTGTATCTTCAGTCGTTATTCCTTGCTGAGCCCGCGTATTGGGTCATAGCTAGGGTTGTCATTCGTCTCGATACGTCGGTACATGCCACCGTTATTAAAAGTGTTGTCCCAACGTCCCGACAAACTATAAAATGTCCCGACAAACACAATCGTGTGCGCCATACATACAAACTATTCTACAATGTAAAATTAATTTTGACATAAGTAGTGATGAATTTTATAAATTCGTTTAAGGTAACAGACAATTACTGTCCCAAGTAAAATCATCTGATAAATTTAAAAAAGTATGATGGTTAGATATATGTTTTTTTTTTAAATTTGTTTAGCATTCATAATGCTATTTTTCAAAAGGAGTGATGTCAATGAATTATTATGTTATCCTCCATAATTAATAAATGAATATAAATCATTCCAAATGGTTTTGTTTTAAAGAACTCCCGCACACCAACGAACGCAGCAAATACAAAAAATAAATGTAAATGTCCGACGGGGCCTTGAGGATTTATGGCAACCCTTGTCATGGCCCACTCTTCCTATGCGATTTTATTCCATCCATACGGAAAGGAAATAAATGGTCTGGTGATGAAAGCGACATGTAATTAGCATTATCATTGTGACGTGCCTGTTTATAATATAAACAGACACGTCACAATTAGTAGTTGAATAAAAATAATATGATCTATCGTATGAAGTGATTTATGATGTGTATTGTACTTTAGGAATTTTATGACGCAGTATCTAGTGCGTAAGTGGACGTACAGACTTATTAGTCTATTATATTTACTACGCCACTTTAGGACGGCGCGTCTACTACTAATGTACCTGTATACAACTGGCTTAATAACAACTAAACAAGCTGTAAAAACTGTCCAAGTGTGAGTCGGACTCGCTCACGAAGTATACCGTAGAAGGATAACATTATAAAAAAACAGGAAAATATAATGTTTGTCGTATGGGAGCCCGACTTGAATATTTATTCTATTCTGCCTTTAGTATTTGTTGTTGTAGCGGTAACAGAAATACAGTATATGTTAAAAAAATATATATATCGCGATTCCTTTCACGGGTATTGATTTACAAACATAATAAAAACTTAGCCAAACACGTCGAAAGATTTCAATTAAAATTAAACTCTTTCGTTTGACGTTTCTGAATAGCTTTCAATAGTTATTTAAGATACGAGTGCGGAAAGCAAGGTTTTACGAATAAGGGCCAAATTTAAGGGCCAATTAAAAAAGCGTAGCGAGGGTTTTCATTGGCACGAATTCGAAAAACTACGCTCAAGTTTCTTACAACATTTTTCAATGTTTTTTGCGAGGAAATAAAACAAATATATAGGTTAATAAAACTAAGTATGTATTAAAGGTAAAAATTATTTGTTAAAATTAAACGTGATATTTGAACATATTTTTATTTGAAAATATTCGTTCTATAATAATATCGCTTTTATCGCTGTTGAAGTTGAATGTTCCCACTAGACATTTACGAATTATCAAGCCGTTGAATGTTCCATTCTCAAAAACAAATTACAGACGGAATACTTTCCTATTACGAGCGGGTAAGTCCTTTAATGATTTTGGATCTGGATCTTTTCAACTCTAGTTGTGAGTCAATAAGGTCCAAGATGTCGAAAATGCTTTTTTGAAAGTATGTACAAGCGAGCGACTATCCGATAAATAAGGGAAAAAGAAGAAATGTATTATTTGCGTGTGTCCTTTGTGTAATATGTGTCCTTTGTCATACCTCACAACTACTGAGTGAATTCGAAATTGTTACCTAATTTTAAGGCTAACTGTGTGGATCTATAATTGGTTATCTGATTTATGTATTGATACTGTAAGTTCATTTATGCAACTGTTGATCTACCATAAAAAAAAATAAAATAAAAAATAAAATATTGGACTTCAGATTGCATTTCAACACTCGTCTGTGTTTGCCCGCGCTATTATTATTGTTTCTATTGTAATGTAAACTGCCACTGATAACGTAACATAATAGCCGTTTCGTGTTGCGATAACATTAGTATAATATTACATATCATAAAAAAAATGTAGATTTTTTTTAGATTTGCCATACTCACATTTCGTGTAAAAAGTTGCCAAGACGACGTTATCTTACTTATTAGTAATTAAGACTACTTTTTGCCGTTTTTATGGATGCCTTCGTGCTCGAGTCCGTATTTGGACTGGATCTCTATAATAAACATTAGTATTATAACAAAATTTTCAATTATGTCAATTACATATCCATTAAAAATCATTTATGTTTATGATGAGTTTGGTTCACATTGTTAAACTAGATGGCGCTGTAATTTGCTACATCTCGCAAGTGTTATGTGTTACATGTTTAGATATTATACCTCTAGGATTTTTGTTAGATATCCTTACCGCTACTCAATAGTAATACCAATAAATTGAGCTTTTTGAATTTTCCTGTATCCTTGGTTTGATTTCTCTTGAGGACCCTAGCACATTAAATAAATAAGAATGATAAAATAGATGCGTATTTTCTAAACTTGGGCACTGTAGGTCTTTTTAGTCATTACTGTTTGTGAAATTATTGTTATTCTACATGACTGTTTGATGCCAAAATTAAAAAAAAAGTAATAAATAAATTACGGCGATACATTGAGTTGATATATATGTTTTGTGTGACATTACAATTTGTACGTTTTTTACATAGTTGTGACGTAACGAGCCTCCCGCCATTCTTCAACTTTAATGCCTTTTATCTAAGCCATTTCTTGTTTGTATCTTTCTATTATCTGACTGATGGAATAAATTTTTTTTTACTCAGGCATCATATCTATATACATATACTAATATTATAAAAAGGAAAGATTTGTTTGTTTCTTTGCATTGAATAGACTCCGAAATAATTGCATTAATTTTAAAAATTCTTTCACCTACGGGAAGCTACTTCATATGCGCTGGACATAAGCTATATATATTTTATCCACTAAAACTTTACTGCAAATAAAGGAATGAAAACGCTAGTGAAAGTTTGTATAGGGAATTAAAACGTTGCCATTGTCACCATTGTTTATCATTCCCGTAGCCGAGTGAATTTATCATTCACATATCCGTAGCCGAGTGGTTCGCACGCCGGTTTCAAGGTGTCGCCATCTCTGAGGTCCCGGGTTCGATTCCGGGCGGGTCAATGTAGAAAATGAACTTTTCTATATTGACTCGGGTCTGGGTGTTGTGGTACCTTCGTTGTCTCAGATACTCCATAATACGGGGGCTTTAGCTACTCATCTTGGAATCTGAGCAATGTATGTGATGTTGTTAAATGTTTATTTTATTTATTTATTATATAAGAACATGATATGAATCGTTAAAATTAAATACTATACTTGGATTAACGCGGGCAGAGCCACGGCGGAAAACTAGTTAATGAATAAAAATAGTATAGCCTGTCCTTGAGCGTGTGTGTACACGCCGGGGTCACTTGGCACGGAGTTCATGCACTGCCGACGGCCGGATGTGAAACAATCATTTAGTGCTCGTCTGCTGTTGTGATTGTTACAACGGATTGATGGCGGGTGACATCATCTTACAACGAGCTATTAACTAATGTGACCACACGTCCCGTATCGGACGTCGTGTTTTGTTTTTTGGCTGGCAATCCCAGTTAGGGGTTGCCAGATGAAAAAATCAAAAGTCCCGAGAAAAGGCCGGCGGCGTAATTGTATGAATCCCTTTCAAACGTATAGCGGTTGTGATAGAGATTGATTCGTGTAACTTTTAAAATCATAATTTTAATTATATAAATATTATAGACATTGTAAGATTGAAGCGAATGTTTTTATAATAATAATAAAAACTGCAGTGGTCGTTCCAGAGTCATGGGTGGAGTTGAACTCGGGCGGTGGACTGGCCGCCGTCGAGAACGAGTACATACGTCTGCTGAGGGAGGCCCAGCGGGAGAGCAGGGACTCCTCTGTGAGGCACTCGCGGGCGTCCAGCGTCAAGGGCAGGTTAGTAATTAATACCGGGTTCCTGCCTCGCAGGAAGGTACTCGCAGCGGCTTCTACCAGTCCAGCGATTCTGTTAAAATCCCAAACTCGGATTCGAATTCACTACAAAAAGCGGCATCCGCTCAATCTTGAATGAGGAAGTATTTAAAAAAAACCCTGGTTGTCTGTATCATCGATACAGCCATATTTTATGCGTGGATACGTCTATGTATGAATGGATATATGAGTAATTGATAAAAAAATAAATATACAAATTGAAGACACTAAACACTAATTAATAAATATTCGTTGCGTTCATTTGTTGAATGAAAAAAGTATTCACTAGCGCCAACAGATGGCGTTAGTGCATATACTCCTGCTGACAGAATGCTCGTCCCCTTGCAGTGCAAGCATAGTTCACTTATACGCCAATAGATGGCGTTAGTGCATATACTCCTGCTCACAGAATGACCCCCCTGTAGAACGAAAACATAGACGTATCCACGTCAAAAAACCATTAGTTTCCGAAATCAAACTAGATGTCGCTTCGGTACGTTCTTGATTTCTCCATGACAATCCTCCCGGTTTTCTTTCACGTTTAAAAGTAAATTAGTTTTCAAAACTCAATAAACAACTCATATTCTATTTGTACTTTTTCGTATTTGTATTGATATCTAAGTTTCGAACTTTGCAAATTTCAGTTTTTTTTAATATGTTAGTTAAAAGGAACGGAAATGACTGTCTTTGGTCCATTTGTTTCCTGCGAAAATCAACTTTTGCTAGAGTCGCCATCTAGTGGAGGTGCTTTTTAGTGTTTTCGTTTTTTTTAAATACTTTCTCATTGGTAATAACATTTCGTGGCGTAAGTGAAGTGAGTTCCGAAATGACATAGGAATAGAATATCTGAGAAGCGTACATTCAATCAATTTTGTTTTGTATTTTTATATAAAAAATGGAATCAATAGAATTTCTACACTTAATGGCGTGAATTTGGACAAAGTCAAAGTCAAAATAATCTTTATTCAAATAGACTTCTTAAAAGTACTTTTGAATCGTCCAACATTTTTTTCCCTACCACTCGTTCAGGACGTCTTTTGGCCGATAAGAAGAACGAGCAAGAAACTCACCAGCTCTAATAAGAGTAATGACATTCACAAAAATCATGTCATTACCAGATCAATACATTATAAATAGAGAGAAAAAAAAAACTATGGTCTTATAATGATAACATAATAATTTAATAATAATGGAAACAAGATAATTTTTGATATATGATGAGTTTAGAAGTAATCACCTATCCAGTTGCTGGATCATCTCAAGTCCAAGCGTTCTGATCTGTTATATAATCGGATACGTAATAATAAGCTTTTTTAACACATGACACTCGAGTCTGGTTTTTTTACATAATCTCACGGCAGGTAGGCGAGCTTCATTTAAGCCTCTCCTTTTCGGGACATGTGCGGGGTCGGAGAGCCCTGGTTTAAGGCACTCTTGTACCTCCGTTAACGTTCCCATACAAATAGCCTCTTGATTTAATACAATTAAAGCACAGAAAAAGATGCAGTTATAAAAAAACTGACTTTGTGAATCGATCCAAAAACCTATTTAGGGTCATCTTTGCGATTTTTTTCTATCGAGTCAGTTATTGAAATGTTCATATAATGATTTTTATTTGGCAAATATTAGCACAGGCTAAGTATATATTTGGTTTATAATGTAGTTAAAAATATTATTATTATTTATTTTAGTTATTATCTTTTCTTTATCGTGCTGCGTCTGGGTGTTTGTGATATCTCCTTTTGTTCCGACTTGTGTAATTATTCCACTTGTTTATCGTTTACCATTATATAAATAAAAAATAATCTCTAACAGGGAATGTTAAATTTAATTAGCTCATGTAGTAAACGAACAAATTTTTTTTATCGAACATTTTGTATTCTTTAAATGAATGATACTCTTCTTTCTAACATCCAAATATGCACCAATGATGTATTATTGGAAAAAATTACACTTTTTGTAAACATGATGTACAGTGGAGTTAGAAATCGTACCAGACTCACACAGTTTAGTTATATTAATGTGTTGTTTAAAGTACATACTTTGCCATACCACGATATGGTGTCTTTGGCGAAATATCCTGCTCTCGGAACCCTCGAAAACCAATTTTGGATTTGATTTTGCAAAATTGTTCAGATTTTTATATATGTGCTTACTTACGTATAATATATGACCATCTGTGCGGATGTTAACATGTAATAAGAAAGTTCTTTGTGTTTTGACGAGCTATCTTGCATAGATTTTCTAGGAATTTGAGTTTAAATCCTTGAAATCCCTGGTTAAAAACGGACTTTGCACCCGAACTCTACTTTTAAATCCGAAGTCGCTATAGACATATGAAAACTGTACTATAGATTTAACGTTATAGAAAAAGTCAAGTAGCCAAAGTCTTTATAAATGAAATCCACTGTATATGTATATTCTGAATGTCTGAATATAATATATATCTATCTTCTTTACTCCAAAGTGTTAAGGTTGGTCCACCCCAAATTTATATGTTATAATTAGCGGTCGAAATTAGGTAGAGTTATTCATGTACTTACACTGATTTCATACAGCGAAAGAATAAAGTGGATATGCCTCAAATCCCGAGCTTAATTTTAAAGAGCAGAAAAAAACAGAAATAATCCTGTGATTTTTTAAATTATTAACTTTTACACAATTTAAACTACTGCACGCACGACGTTGCCAAACTTACACCAATGAAAGAAAGAAATAAAGAAATCCCGGGAAGGTCCACATTAATATCAACATTTCGATGCAAGTATATAAATAACTCTACCTAATTCCGACCTCTGGTTATAATATAACAACGTTTGCCGAGTCAGCCAGTTTATGTATATGGTTTTTCCTTTACAGTCCCAAGTCGCCCCCGAACAGTCCGAATCTGGAACCGTCCACCGAAGACGAATTGAAAGGTGTTTACATCAATTGCTGGAAAGTGAGTAGCTCGAAATATCTATCTTCTTGTTAGTTCAGACAACGTAGAAGTTTTAAAATGCGTTCACCTGACGATTTCTTCTACAGTGCTATTAATAAAAAAATGTTTAGCATAAAAGTAAACTTACGCTAAAATTGCCATTTAAGTATTAGTCCAAATTCACTTCAGTGTTAGTTCAAAACTATGTACTAGGTTAACCTTTGCCAAGTCTCTTTTTAATAATATGAATTTTGACTAATACTCTCGAACTTTTTGACTAATACTCGAATTTTGACAGTCTCAGTGTAAATTTACTCCAACCCTAAACCTTGTTTATTAATAAATAACACTGCTAATGTTTACGTAACACGGTTCGCAAAAGTCCGATATTTATAATAAATATCAAAATATCCGACACGAAATCTTTGCACGCATACTACGTTTCAATTATTTTATAATAAATCAAACCCAATGTTTATTTTACACTTTTGATAACAGATACATATCATGCATATGAAAAGCTGCGATTTTTGAGCGACTTTATTTAATATTTGAAAATTTAAATCAGAAGTGTAAATTAAACATTGGGTTTGATTTATTTCATTTTTTTGTTATAAAATCATTAAAGAGTAGAATCCGTGCGAAGATTTCCAGTAACGTATAGGGGAATATCTGAAATTTCTAGTAAGATTGCTACGTCGGGTCAATGTTGCCAGTAGCTGAGACTCGATACTTAATACTTAAACTATCAATAAATATTATAAACATAGATCAATCGATATATGGGATACCGCGGGAGAGCCACGCTTCGGCATGAATGGGCCGTCTCGACTGGAGTGATACCACGGCCTCACAGAAAACCGACGTGAAGCAACGCTTGCGTTGTGTTTCGTCGTGTGAGTGAGGGCACCGGAGGGCCAACCCCTCCCTATTCCCTTCCCTCTACCCCTCAACCCTTCACTCTAAGGCCGGCAGTGCGTTTGTAGTCCCTCTGGTGTTGCAGGTGTCCATACGGCGACGGTAATCACTTACCATCAGGTGACCCGTCTGCTCGTCTGACCCCTATCCCATAAAATATATATGTATATCCGTAATAATCTCGCACCTCTATGGAGTGTCAACTGCTTGCATTGTGCCATTGTAATATCTACCTGAAGTCCATTATTATAATTATACTATATCTCTGACCGTTTATTTGCGAGGAACACATTGCACTAATAATATTGGACTTTAGGGTAGATAGTACTATGGTAAAATGCAAATGGGTGAGATCCTATCGAGATGGTAGTATTACGTAAAGATAAGCAGAATAGTCCTGTTGTACGCGCTCTTATTATGCGCAGACGCCACCTCTATTTAGCTATTTAATCTACAATGGCACTACAAACGAGTGTTTATGAAATTATTGCAATAAAATTAAAATAAATAGAAATATCATACATTTTAATTGATTATGTTTCAAATTACAGGATGATTCAAACGATTGGGTGTGGGAATGGAGTAGTCGTCCCGACCAGCTGCCACCTAAGTGAGTTATGTTGCATTAATACTTTTTTAACAACACCACGTGTGTTCATAAGTCTTGAGACGAATTAAATGTCTGCATCGATTTTTTTTCCCGCCTTAAATAGCGGAATGACAGTTGCACGTAATGAGAAAGTATTTAAAAGAAAAACGAAAGCATCTCCACTAGATGGCGACTCTAGCAAAAATTGATTTTTGCAGGAAACGAATGGACCAATGACAGTCACTTCCGTTCCTTTTAACTAACATATTAAAGAACCGAAATTTGCAAAGTTCGAAACTTAGATATCAATACGAAAAAGTACAAATAGAATATGAGTTGTTTATTGAGTTTTGAAAACTAATTTACTTTTATACATGAAAGAAAACCGGAAGGGTTGTCATGGAGAAATCAAGAACGTACCGTAGCGACATCTAGTTTGATTTCGGGAACTTTTTTTTAATACTTCCTCATTGTTTCGTACCCTCCATCACGAGAAAATATAAACAAATGAATTTGCGACACATAAACTAAAAGTTAACATTCCAAATTCAAAATTGGTAAAAAAACAAACAACAGCCAGTAACATTTTATTTTATTTTTTCATTAGAAAGTTTGTCTCAAAATATATATATAACACACGAGGTATGTGTATCAGATTCATTTACAATCTCCGCAAATATGACCACGTGTCCTACTTTCGTTCCAAACATAACTATATCATCATCATCATCACCAGCGCTTTTACGTCCCCACTCAGTGGCTCATAATAATATATATAACTATATATAAATAGGGAGCCCTATTCGCCGGCGCAGAGACTTACATATTCTTTCATTACATTACTCAGTTAATTTCCAACCCATGTCACCTTCTAATCTTGAAAACTGTTTAAATTTCCGAACCTCCTCTTTGCAGTGCACTTTGCGCTCTTCATTAAACTTGACCTTAGAAATTCCTCGACACGCTACTGACTTCCTCTCCTACTACTGGAAACTTATTGCCAGAAACAACAAGGAGAGCTCGTACACTTTTGTTTTGTTGCTCAAGTGAAGAGTCACCGCCTATCACTATCTTGACTTTCTTAATCCTTTAATATGACTCTGTTTGACTTTATTTATTTTTCTGATTTCCCCCTATTGTTTATGTATCCAGATATATCTATTTATTATTATTACTATCGCCTTGTACCCACTTTCCTCTTGTTCTTTATCTTTTTTCTTTAAAATTGGGTTGTCTGGAGGTGATTGCTGCTTAGCAATAAAGCCGCCTTTGGTATATACTTCTTTCTTATTTTTAAATCAACATTTGGTTTTTAAATCTGTTTTCGAGGCAAAACAGTGAAATTGTGAACCGAATACTTCGGCAGAAATAACCGGTTCGGTAAAAGTTAAACCGAAATGAGACGGATTATTTAATTTATTTATATAACAAACTTTATTGACCATTGAATTGGTAGAAGAGGCGAACTTGATGCTAATAGCATTCACTACCAGTCAACCTTTGGGAAACAATAAAGTTAACTAATAAATATGCTACTTAAACTATACTATAAATGAATTTATATACAGTTATATATTGTACATACGTATAAACATAAATAAATATTATATCTACACATAAGGGGCCGTCCATTAATCACGTGATGTTTTATTCATCATTTTTTAACCCCCCTCCCCTTTTTAGATACATGGTGGTGGACCTCCAAATCATGTGTATAATTTTGGCGCCGCTTTTCGTTTAAGTAATTGTGCGTTTGAGGAAAAAATAAATACACGTGATATATAACTACACCCCCTTGTGATATTTCGTGATTTTTAACGAATCCCCTTCCCCCTTTCGAGCCTCACGTGCTGATAATATAAGTGATAATCAGAGGTCGGAATTAGGTAAAGTTATTTATGTACTTGCATCAAAATGTTGATATTAATTTGGACCTTCCCGGGATTTTTTTATGTTTTTATTTCTTCTTTCTTTATTTCTTTCTTTCATTGATGTAAGTTTGGCAACGTCGTGCGTGCAGTAGTTTAAATTGTGTAAAAGTAAATAACATTTTATTTAAAAAATCACGGGATTTTTCTGCTCTTTAAAATTAATCTCGGGTTTTGAGGCATATCCACATTATTCTTTCGCTGTATGAAATCAGTGTAAGTACATGAATAACTCTACCTAATTCCGACCACTGGTGATAATACACACAAATACATAAAGATAATACATTATGTTATAGAGTTTTTAATGATTTTTTCCTCGTTTTATTTTTAGGGATTGGCGGTTCAAGCATCCCACTAGTGCTCGCGGTCCTCCCTCCGCCACTTCCTCCATTGAGGTGCTGGAACAGCAATTAGCTGCGCCGGCTCTACAACAGGTAAGGTGGAATTAGATTGAATACAATATCAGTGTTATTAATAAACAAGGCTTAGGGTCGGAGTAAATTTACGCTGAGACTTCACTTAGTATTAGTCAAAATTCATATTATTAAACAGAGACTTGGCAAAGGTTTACCTAGTGCGAGGTTCTACGGGAGTAATATATACTCCTAGAAGGCGGTAAGTTTGCTTATTCTCTGTATAATATGAATTTGGACTAATACGCTGAATCTTTTTTATTCATAGTAGTTTCTGTTTAGAATTACTTCTCGTTTTTTTTCTGCATTCCTTTTGGTCTAATTAGGGTTCCGTATGCAAAGGGTAAAACGGGAACTCCATTACTAAGACTCCGCTGTCTGTCTGTCCGTCACCAGGCTGTTATCGTCGTGAACCGTGTAAGGTAGTCAGTTGAAATTTGTCACAGATGATGTATCGCTCTTGCCGCTATAACAAAAAATATGTACTAAAAACCAGAATAAAATAAATATTTTCGAGTCCGAATCGCACTTTCCGATTCTTTTTTTATTTATTTCGTATGACATTTAATTTTTATATAAATATTTTTATATAAATGATTCTTGGATGGAAATTACTTCTGTATTACTCTCATGAGCTAATAAATTATATCTTAATGTAAATTAAGAAGAAGGCAACCCTAATAAATGTCAGGGTTGCCTTCTTCTTAATAAAAATAATTAACGATAAAACAATATTATGTTATTTTAAAAAGATTTTTATTGTTATTACCCTGTTTTATATTACACATTGAAAAGTATTTTCGTCTGTTACAAGTTTTTAACGCTTTATTGAATTTTATGGTATAAAAAAAATCCTCATTCTTATAAATAGTTTTTTTTTTATAAACTATCGGGAAACAGGCGGGAAACAGGGCAAGGGGCGTTAAAAGGGATCTCATCTGTTTATTTTTTTATTGATCCCGCTTTTTTACAGTTAAATGTGTTCTTTACTAAAACAACTGCGAAAAATGGCGTCCATCTTCTCGACGTATTGTATTAACTCATCCTGTGGTACAATTATTATTCCTTTTTGAGATCGCTCACTTTCCGTACGTCTAGTAGCCTTACCGTGACAAGCGCAACTGAGCTCACCTCGAGACTCCTTGAGAATCCACGTAAATACGTGCCTCTCTGTGTGATTTCGACAGTTTCTTCTTAGTTTGGCTACTGTTTACTGTAATACTATGTACTATAGTGCGGTTGGCAACCCTAGATATACTTTCAGTTTGTAGTAATTTGTGTAAGTTGTATTATTAGAACGTCCTAGCTTCTTTCTCTAGGTATCATAATATCAGGAGGATACAGATTTTATTGAATGATAATTTTATTTTTGTTGGTAGAGCGGTTTGCTGTCTGTCCGTCGCGCATGCCTGTGGTCGCGGCGCGCTGTGGCCGCTGTACTTGTCACTAATATTGTGTCACTTCTGCTGGGAGCTGGAATTGGGTTAGTATAAACGGGAAATATTTGATTGTTCATTTGCATTGAATAGACAGATCCATTCTATGGAATATGACACTAAAACAGTTACGGTCCATGTTATAAATGTAAATAAATGTGGTCCCAATATTGATCCTTGAGGTATCTAAGATCAAATCTCACTCTAGGTTTGATTTTATATTCATTATCAATATCATCGTAAGCCTATGTGAAGTTAAGACTTTTCCTTTAAATAACATTAGCAAAACAGCCCATAGCTCTCCGGGGTAAATAAATGAGGTCCCATTATTGATCCTTGGGGCACCTAACATTTAAGATACATGTAGAATCATGTTTTTATTTCTTACATCTGAATGTCTATAGATTTTTCACTAGAAGTTGTTTTTTTAGATTCTTAGCTCAAGCTTTTGATTACAAAAATTTATAATACTACTTATATTATTAAGAAGAGACATTTGATTGTTTATTCGCATTGAATAGGCTCCTAAACTACTGGATAGATTTTAAAAATTAGTTCACCTACAGGAAGCTGCATAGGATGTAATTTACAGAATTATAATGTATTTTTTTTATCCAGGGTATGGCTTAGCCGAAGAGGTATGCTTCCCCCCAGACTGATTATACTAAACTAAGGTGTCATCTCCACGCCTGTACTAGCCCCTCGACTATAGACTGTTGATACCCGACTCTAGAACATTCTACTGAACTCTACGAATTGACCAAGTCATCTTAACACTAAGAAGATCTGAGGTTTGAATTAATATAACTACAATAAGCTTCAACTAATACAGCCCATGTTAAATCTAAACGCAAAGCAGATCTATCTGAACCGATGATGAAAGTACGATTATAATTTATAGTCAGCCTTATTTTAATAACCTTAAGGTGTAAAATACAACACATCAAGCGTCCGTCTCACTCAAACCCAGCGGGGGTCAGGCGCGTGGATATTGGTGAAGCGTTTGATAGCGTGATACTTATTATTCTGTGGGTTAATTGTCTTAATTTCAAAATCTATCGCAGCGATAAATTAAATATATAGCGATTTAGTGAAATACGTAACGTTTAAAGTAGCAATCGCTTTTGCAATGAATGATGATTTGAATGACCAAGTAACATAATAACAAATTCGTTTTAAACCCGTCGAATTGATTTTAGATAACGTTTCCTTTTGAAATTGTCTATGGCAATACTAATTAATGTTAAATTAACGTTATCGTTCATTGAATATCTTTGAAAAACCATCGCTATCGTAATTGCCAACAGTAGTGGTGCCATCACATGCCAACAGTGGTGGCGTGAAGTTCATGAACATCTTTCAAATGTCAGATTCAAAGTGTGTGTGATGTATTTTAAAATAACACAATTAGACCATGGGTTATATGATATTGATTGGCGGAATTTTACAGCTTTCGATATTCCGATGTATTTTGTAAGATGAATATAGTATGTCTAGTAGATGTTCAGTGAAAAATTAACTCTATTTAAAGGTGTTATAAGGTCGAAAGTCGTTTGCTCAGTTTTCATTTTCGGGTGATGCCAATTTTAGTGTATTTAAATGCGGCTTAATTGTGATTGGTGACTGAAGAGATGACCTATATTTTTGTGGATCCCTCCCTGTCATATACTTTCATGAATGTTGTTACAATAAAAAATAGATTTTTGTTTTAATAACACTGATGATCATATTAAACATATATGAATCAGACAGAATTAATAGATTTAAAAAAAATATATAAACAGAATAAATATTGATAGTTAAAAGGATAAAAGGTTCCATAAAATTAGTCATTTATTTAAGCTTTCTAAACAATATGGCGGGTTTTGAGTAAAAACGCTTATGACGTCATAAAGGCAATGTATTTTTTGTTTTCTCTTTTTTTATTCTACTGTGGCTATAATAAGGTTCATAATTCGAAAACTCTTTAGTCACCAACGCAGTAAAGATTTAGCTCGACTGCAGATGGAATGATAATAGAAGAAAAAGGCAAAAATATCTTATTTAAGTGTTTTGTATCGTCTATGTAATTCTCATTGTCTTTTAGATGTATACGGTTTGCCGTAGACATGTCAAAGATGGAGATTGCCGCCATTTCTTAGAGATGCATACAATGTTGCCATATGAGATATTACTAAACATATTAGCGTAAGTTAACCCATTTTTGTAACATTTTGGAATATGAACCGATTTTTTTAACTTAAGCTAAAGAAATTCAGACACTAACACTAAAAAATGTTGGCGGTAAAAAATTGTAAAGAGAATAGGGAATCATATTTTTGAAAGAGCAAAATTGTTTACGTTTAACTTTCATGAGCCTAGATAGATGTTTTTTCGTAACAAATTACAAATAATTGTCTATGGTAAATCGTACATGTCAATATTAATATTTTTATATGACGCCCTAGTCTTGTAAGTGAATAATAATGAATGATTATTTTGCTTTAGATACACGACGCTAGATATCTATTATATATAGTATTCTTGTAATGAAGTGACAACGTTTCCTATATCTATATAGTTTTTGGTAGATATTGCCAGTATTGGTATTTTAAACTGAATGGTAGAATTAATTTCAAATAGACAATTAAAAATTTCTAATTACAAAAATGATGTAGTACAACTTTGAATCAATTTGTAGTTTACAATAGAAAATAGATTTTAGGAATAACTGTCATTTCATTTAATATAAATATTGTGTTGTCTTTAAGTTTATTAAATATTTGGTGTAATTCTTATTACTTTAAAACCATTAAGTGCACATGCATTAATGTACTGATTTATTTCTGAATGTTTTCGGAAGTAATAAAGTGCAGTGTGTCCATTTATATTATTTTTAATTAGTTTTTTTTTTAATTTAAATGTAAGCGAAGAGGTTAATAATATCAGTTTTTTTTTTTCAGCGATTATTTTTGGTGATATCACTGTAGTATTTGTCTAATTTGTTATTAGCACATTTATGTATATTTATTATAAAAATAGCTGGAATTTGTATTACATTAAAGAAATACGTTGAAAAGCTAAATAGTCTCATTAATAAGGATTGCGTTTTCTATTTTATTTTACTAATGGCAACATTATTTAATAGACATTCGATGAGAATTTAGTTTTATGTAATAATTATAGATATATAAATATGTATCGGAGATTTCTATTGCAGGTTAAAATGGAGAGTGTATTTTACAATAACACATATCTTTCGAAACAGTAATTGTACTTTTTTATTTAGTGTTGTAATATTTCGATAAATTTTCTATTCATTCGTATAATTAATACAGAAAAAAAATTGTTTTCAGTTCAATATTCTTTTCGCATGCTTTTGTATAGTCTTATTTGAACTAGCATTGGGCTTATTCTGAATAGTACAATGTCTTTTTTCTTCTTTATTTCCTATTTTAGTTAATTTGAAAAGAACGAGAGAAGAAGTTCTTTAAAGTATTTTACCGTAATAAACATTTAATTCACTGATTACATTTTTTTTCTGTATAGTTGAAGAAGTATATGCCAATAAAACAATAATATAGCTTCGTGTACGAAGAAACTTCCATCTCTATCTGTCTCTTTACTGACGAATACCATTGATTTTTCTCTATGCCTTCAACTAAAAGACGACCACGTTCACGCATGCGTGATTAGAGAGAGACAGAGTGGGACTCGTTCTTCTCTCTTTCTAACCGAGATACAACTGGAAGACTGGATTTTCAGTTCTATAACAATATTTCATTTATAAAAGTATATATCTAAAGTAAAAAAAAATTAGAGTTTATAAAACGACAGGCCATTTTTGCAAGTCACAGCTAATTTTAGGAAGGGAACACATTATTTATCTTACGAAACGAATTTTTCTACGTCATACTGTGATTTCGCATATTATTATATAGTAAAATAATATATTATATATATGTATATGTCTTATTTATTGTGGGGACGAGATGCGAATGTTTCTTAGAGAATCTTTAGATAGTAATTCTAGTTTTTTTTTATATTATAGTAATGTATATATAATTTAGCAGTTCTATTAATAAACAAAGTTTAGCGTTGAAGTTAATTTACGCTGAGACTACACTTGGTATTAGTCAAAATTCATATTATTAAACAGAGACTTGGCAAAGGTTTACCAAGTACGAGGTTATACGGGACTAATATTTATTCCAAGAAGGTAGTAAGTTTGCTAATTCTTTATATAATATGAATTTGGACTAATACTAAAATTGCAATTTCATCGTAAATTTTTTCTCGACGCAAGACTTATTTATTAATAGCCCTGTAGGAATGGATAGAAATTGTACGAGTAATTTTTTTAGTACACATATGCACTTTTTTAGGTTTTTTCTTTACGGTACTAAAGGGGGACCGCTCATTGCCATTGAAAATATAAATGATAAATGTTTTTTTATTAGAAATCTTTCTTTTTAAATTTTAAATTAGACAAATAAATAATAAATACAGTAGAGTTCTAACCATAGAGAATGGTTAGGATTCTAGTCTTTAAAAAGATCTTATGTTTTTAATTCTTTTAAGTTATTTCGAGCCAAAATATAAAAGTGTCGTACTTAAAAAAAAGGAAATTATTGTTTGCCGATCTAAAGACATTTAACCTTTTTTTTTGTTGCTTATAAATTTCTATCCAGATCTCACGGTTTTTTAATATTTGTCTAAATATTTAAGTATAGGTTTTTCAAGTTTGAAACATTATCTTTCGGAAAAGTTGAGCACGCTAGTTTTATAGTATTCTTTAGTAAAATTGGTTTTTGACGACATCCATTTTTGTAAAGAACAACGCATTAGTTTCATTTTATTGGGAGATTTCTATGCTGAATTACATTTATGGTATTAACCCAAGATTTGGCTGTATGGCTTAGTTCCTTCGCCTGTCCCATGCACGAAACTACTACTTTTTATGGTATTTTAAGAAAATGGAAGTTCATTTTTTTAATAATACCGTTATGAGAACACAAGTTATATTGTTTGCTAAAAATGCGTTTGGTTATTGCTCTGGGTTTTTTATGAAAATGGTTTCGAGGTCGTTGCCTGTAATTTGCTGTTATTAGAATGAATTGTGTCTATGTTAGTATTTGATATATGTGTTGTCTGTGAACTTGAATGTATTTTACGGTGTTTTTACTGCATTCTTAAATGTTGTAATGTTTTTTTTTATATGTACATTTGCATACTGAATTGTATATGCGGTTTACACTTATATGTCTTCTTCTTCTTCTTTTTTAAATAATGGCTTATCTGCGCATTTCGCACAATTCTGCCAATGTCAAGTAAATAAATTAATTTTTACATGTAAAATGAAAATGAAATGAATAAAAGATCCACTTTTATGTCACTGTATTAAATGTCAGGGCTGGCATATTTTTTATATATGCTCTCAGAAATAAGTTACTAATTTAATAGTGGTCTGTGGTTAGATTCAATATGATTGTTTAAATCATTGTTTATATAAAATTATTTCTTAATTAACGTATTAAAATCGTATAAAGTTGTTTTTGGTAAATCTATGTAGAAAGATAGAATGGGTAATTCAAAATTGTTTTGTTGAATGAATGTATTTAAATCGTGTACTGGTCTCCTACGTGAAGTTGGCAGGAAAGTGCCATTAAAGTTAAGAAGAAGAAGAAGAGATTATATCGATTTATTTAAAAAATATGAAGCTTTTAGGAATGCAGTAAAAACCAATGGCCAGTAGGTATTAGTGGATATATCCCAATTCAATCTTTTAACGCAAATGTAGTTGAGAATTATTTTAATTATAAATATTTATATATAAAAAAAAACATACATATGATGTGTCATTTTATTCACTAAGTTAAGTGCTTAAAATATAAGGATATGCATTTTATTAAAATATGTTTTATTTATTAGTTTCAATAAATATTCCATTCTATTATTCCTTTTTTTTTTGTTTTTATTTAGTATTTAAGACAGACAGATGTTTTAAATGATAATAATAACTTTATTTCCCAAAAAAAGACAATATGGTATTGCATAAAAATAAAGTTGTGTAGATCTGTGGGACTTTAAATAGGAGGACCACAGGGTCTGTAATTTTAAAGTACTGTTACTTAAGAACCCACGAACTTCTGTTGACAAAAATAATACAATTATATATAATTTTGCAAAAGTACAGAGGGTCATATTGCTTAAATACTAACTTAATAGTAATAATATATATAAAATTAATTAAAATTTACTTAATGGCATAAAGTAACTCATCTGTCTCCTCATAAGACAATGGGAGAAGCCATTGTATAGGTGTATTTTTTAGCTGTCTAGTATTTAAAGGATATATATTAATAAGTCTATTGACATAATTACATAGGAAAGGACCTAGAAATGATAAGAATATATGGCTAAAGGATTTACGAAAAGTCGACCCTTGACTATTCGTCTATTACGGAATTTGTCAACATCGGGATTAAATGTTAACTTAGACTGTTGGTGCAACAATGTGCACAAAATGAATAGTTTCCGTACGGACAAAACTTCGCAAAATGAATAGAAGGCATCTGTTGGAAATAGAGATGATTTGAAGGTAGCTATTTGGTACTTGGCACGTTGGGCACGTTCCAATATTATGATACCTATTAGATTTAGGAGCACCACCCCATGATGTGATACAATAAAGGATCAGAGATTGACAAAGGGAAAAGTAAACAGATCTAAGTAGCGATGGTTCAGTTGTTGATATAAATGAGTACGTAATCTCGCAGATAGAATATTAAAGTGTGACTAAAAGAAGATGTTGTTTTCAATCAGTATTTGATTTCGTTGACTCTTTCAATTGAGGAACATCTGTAGAAGTTATAATTTGGAAAGCTATGCGCAATAAGTTAAGGGATATCTTTAGTTGGAAGGTCGGTTGGTCTTATGGTATGAATTAAATATTTAGTCTTGTTTACATTTAACGTTAAATGGTTGTAAGTGAACCATTCGCAAACCGTATTAAATCCTGATTGTGCATTTTGGAATACCTCCGACCAAGAGTCACCAGAAAAGAAAAGTGCTGTTTCATCGGCGTACGAAAATAGTGAGCATTTGTGGATATTGAGTGTACATAGGTAATTTACATAAATTAGGAAAAGTGTGGGCCTAAGAATAGTGCCCTGGGGCACACCATATTCAACCCACATCTCGTAACTACACATGCCATCAATTTTAGTAGACTGCACTCGATTTGATAAATAGCCCTGAAAGAGGGTAAGTTGGTTTGTAAGCCAAGTGCTTCCATATTTTGTAAAAGAATTCAAAGGCTAGAGGGACAGAGTCAAAGGCCTTAGCAACATCAATGAATATAGTTAGGTCTTTTTCCCCTTATCTAAACAATCGACTATGTTAGAAGTTAATTCAAGTACTGCGTGAGAGGTTGATCTTCCAGTTCGGAACCCATATTGATTCTGACTGAGGATGTTTTTAGTTTCAAGGTACTTTTTAAGGCGGTCATTTAACACTCTTTCGAATATCTTAGACCAGGCCCCTCCTGGTATGGATATCGAGCGATTGTTTTCAACACGGCCACGGTCCCAAACTCCCTTAAATATCGGATGAATAATGGCACTTTTAAAGGCTTTTAGAAAAATACCCTGTGAGATGCAAAGGTTAAAGATATGAGTTAGCAAGGGAACTAGTATTTTTCAATTATCTTTAATAATTAATGATGAAATACCATCCCAACCCACAGCACAATCAGATTTAAGATCACAAATAATTTGATTTATTTCCTCTTCGTTTGGGTTCAATAGGACAAATGAATCAGATCTTTTAAAGAGAGAATGTGGCATGGTTATAGTTCGAATGTCCGTATCAGGAAAGTTTTTGGCGAGATTTGAACCGCCATTGATATAGTAATTATTAATATCATCAAGCGCTTTCACAGGAAGGGAATGCTGAGCTAAAATAATATTTGAGGAAGCGATATATATTTTCAAACTAGAAATATGCGTTAATTTTTTTTTCCAGCTTTGCGTAAGAGCTCCATATAATATGCTTTTTATTAGGGTAGTCAAAAAATTTCGGTACCTAGTGTACTTCAGTTTGAGTATATCATTTTCAGGTGCTTTTTTGAAGTTTTTATGCAAGCGATCCCTATTCCTTATACATTTCAGAAGACCAGCAGTGATCCAAGGTTTTAGGAGTCGTTTACGGCGAAGAAGAAGCTCTGTGGTAGAATTACATTTTATCAATAGGCGTAGAGCATCAGTAAGATTGTAAGCAGCTAAATTTGGAACTGTTCAATTAAGAATAGGTGTGAAATCAAAGTTACAAATATCATCTGATAGGTTAGGGAAATTAATTTAGTTTCGAAATTTTGGCGCATTTATGTGTTTTTTATTTCTCAAGGAAAGAAGGATTGTGGAATAATCCGTAACGGATGACTCAATAACTAGCGTAGTAGCAGGATATAAGGTTTTGATAATGAAATGATCCAAGCACGCAATATTTCGAGTAGGAAGTGTATGTGAAGGAAGCATACTATGTGCAACAGAAGTTTTCTATATATACTTACAAAAAAATAGATAGAAATCATTATTGTCAAATTGTACATATTAGATTCCTTTGCTTCTTCATAAATATGTCATAAACAATACAAAGTTACCCTATTGCCAGGTTACGGATATTTCCTTCAAAGTTGGGGATTTTTGTAGCTTTGGTAGGAATATTGGGGAACTAAATCTTGGGGTTTAATTTCGCTAATTATAAAAACTAACTACCATAATAAAAATAATTAATAAATTCAAGATACTTTATTTCATCAGTAATCACTTTATCAGATATCAACTTCAGTTAACTGAATCTTTAAACATACCTTTAAAGTTAGTTAGATCTAGATTAAAATACCTACCTTTTACCTTTAAAGAAGTTAGATCAAGTCCAAGATAATTCAGAAGTTGAAGTTCTTCAAATGCGTTTTATATAAAAATAAAGCTACTAATAGATTTCAATAGACCATATTAGTCTTCTTTTTTAGTAGTATGTAGTCATTCATTCAAAATTGTTCAAAATGGTTGAATGAATGTATTTAAATCGTGGAATGGTCTCCTATGTGAAGTTGGCAGTATTGTGGTGACGCAAAATGCCATTAAAGTTAAGAAGAAGAAACAAAAATTTCTGACGTAACATTTGTTAAGGGATGTTTAGCAAAAGTAACAATAGTATTGCTAGACTATAAGGGAATTTCAGTTAGTTAATTTGACTGATAATTTTTCAATAAACCTGGGAGATTTCGAATTAAATGTAAGGAAACTTACAAAGGCATCTGGCAACACTGAAAATTTGTGCATTGCTGTCAAATCGTACGTCAAACATTTTAATGGCGGATGGTATTTGCAACAACATTGTAGATTCATTCTGGCACGTTTACTATACTTATTTTCGTGTACAGCAATATCACATGTGAACTATTTTCACTCGATAAACTAACAAAATTCAAATATGTCCACTTCTCTGTCGGACTGCTTCACCATCGGCAGTATCGTCGCTACGAAGACATGTTACAACGAAGAAATTGAAGGAGAAGTCTTAGCATTCGATCCACAAACCAAGATGTTGATACTGAAATGTCCCTCTTCGAGCGGTAATCCGAAGCGGCACGATGTAAACATCGTCAATCTTTCATTGGTGAGCGACGTGCAAATAAAAAAAGAAGTGACTTCAGTCCCTGATCCACCACAGTCTTTGAACTTGAACAGATTGAATACTAGAGTCAGAAATTCAATAGAAAACAAAAGGAGATTAGTAAGTATCGTATTACGTTATTAATTTACTACATTCTTTATTTCTACCTCTAGATTTATTACTTAATTGTCATTTGCAAAGAACTATTTATTACCATCATTACCGATTTATTAATGTCCTCTCAGCTCAGGCTCAGGCCTTCCCTATGAAGCAAATTGAACGGGGAGCATGGGCAATGACCCACCATGTGGGCCAAGTGCGGTAGATGTTAATAATTTCAAAAGAGCTCTACATGATAAATATTTAGTTGTCCATCTTACGACAGGCTGCAGACCTAACATGTAAACCATTGCGCCATCAAGCTCCTCAAAGAACTATTTGACTGGTTAAATAACCCTGAAGTATAACAAAAGTAGAGGAAAAAAATGGCATGCAAATTTACAAAAATATCACTACATAGTATAAAACAAAGTCGCTTCCTCTGTCCCTATATCCGTATGGACGCTTAAATCTTTAAAACTACGCAACGGGTTTTGATGCGTTTTTTTTTTCATAGAGTGATTCTAAAGTTATGTTTTTATGTATAATACAAGACTTCACGGCGAAGCCGCTGGCAGAAAGTATACAATAAACTTGCAGTAGAACACTCTTACCACTTTTGGCAGTTTAAATAATCATGCGTTCCTAGGAGACATACAGCAGTTACATAAATATCCATTAAAATTGCCATTAGTTTAAAGTGACATTACCCTTACAAATTTGAAATTCATTAGAGCTTACAGACATGTCTGTAAGCTGACCGTTTCTGTCTTATTATATAATGAATAGTGAAAAATTGATAATAAGAAGAGATATCGTCAAATTGACATGCGCTGTTTGTCAGATAATGATTTAAACCTGAAATTAGTTAATCCTTGTTTTATAATAAGAAGGTTTGTTTTGTTTAATCTTCTGTCACCAAGTTTTAGATTTACACTGAAATGTATTTATATGTATTAATCATGTAAGTTTACTTATTTAAAAAGCTTATACGGTATCTGATTATATAAATAAGAATGCTTGCACTTGAGATGATCCAGCAACTGGGTAGGTGATTTCTTCTAAACTCTTTGTATTTCAAAATTATCTAGTTGCCATTATTAAGTTAATATGTTATCATTCAAAGAATAGATACATTCGAAATGTGGTGCTGGAAGAGTATGCTCTGAATACTGTAGACCAGTGATTCTCAACCACTGTGCCGCGGCACTTTTGTGTGCTGCCAATTTCAAAAGTGTGCCACCATATTTTGCAAATATATAATAATGTTAATATTATTAAATTATATCATTAAAAAAGAAAAATATTTTTAACATGATTATATATTTAAATCCACAAAAAAATAAATTATTTTATTATTTGCTTTGCAACGCGTTTTTTCTTAGTGCCAAATTATGATGACGCGGCGTGCATAGCAATAGGAATATGTCTCAAATCGGCGTACACTTCCCACTTCTGCGTACAAAACGTGTTGTTTTAGTGATAGTTGGGATTCACAAGGTGTTGGATAGTTGTTACTGCACCTTTTCTTTCGTTAAAATTGGCAAATGTATGTGATTCGGTTTAATATTAATTAATTTGCATGTAGTGTCAATTTATAAATTTGTAAACCAAAAAAGCTTTAAACATATTATTACAATTTTCCACATCTTATTTGTGTGAATTCGGATTTTCAGCATTAGCCAACATTAAAACTAAAAAAAGATCATTGTCATTTTTACGACCAAAAATAAATGAAATTATCAAAAAACGTCAAGGTCTAATTTCACATTCTTCATAAACGTTTAGTTATTATTGTAGTATATATTAGTTTATTTCGTATATTTAAAATTTTTGTCATAAACTATTTATGCAGTGTAAAGTAAATAATTTTTATCCATTTGTTTGTGTGCCGCCAAATTTTGAAATCGTTAAATATGTGCCGCAACAAAAAAAAGGTTGAGAATCACTGCTGTAGACAGCTAAACGCACAAATGTGTCTATTCTCTCCCATTAAATCCCGAGTCTCGAGCTTGTGTCTACAATGCATTCTTTCTTATTTCGGCCACATTATGCTTGAAGGAGATGATAGCCTTGAAAAACTGGTCATTGTTGGAAATACAGAAGGAAAAAGATCACAATGGTCTGACCAAGTGAAAGGAGTTACATCCCTACCTGAGTTCTGTGAGGTGGTGAAGGCTGCTTCCGGCCGGAATCAATGGAGAAAGATTGTTTGTTAGACGAGTTCCAGTGACCATGATCCTTAGTAATGAGAGACCAACTACAGAGAGATGTTATCATTATGAGATGATAGTTATTTTATCTCTATTTATAATGTATTGATCTGGTAGTGACACAGTTTTATGAATGTTGTTACTTCTATTAGAGATGGTGAGTTTCTTGCTCATTCTTCTCAGCCATAAGACGTTATGAACGAGTGCTAGAGAAAAAAAAATAGTTTTAAGAAGTCTATTTGTATAAAGATTATTTTGACTTTAAGAGTTTTTCTGATAGATTTTCGGTTTAGCTCTGAATATCTATTTTGACTTTAGTCAGATTACGACATCTTTGCTTTCCAACTTGAATGTGTACAAGCAGTGTTATTAACAGATCAATTTTAGAATTTATCTATGATATGAACATTTTGTGTGACATCTTTAATCATACATTTTAGACGAAATCACATTGTGAATCTACAGGTAAAGCGTGTGCTCCAGCAAAGATATGAGAGCTATTTTAAAAAGTAAATAATTAATATTTGTTTAAAGGTATCAGCGTTAGCAGCATGCTTAGATCCCGAGGGACAACGTTTGTTCCTTGCTATCGCTCGGCTCATAGATGATGTAACATGGGTCGGACAAAACATCAGAGTTTACAATGAAGTCACTATAACACCACCGTATAAGGTAAACATAATGTACTATATAATAGACAACATCACATATATATTGTTCAGATTCCAAGATCGTGCAGCTGAAGCTGTGAAGTTCCCGTATTATCTTAGACAACAAAGGTACCACAACAGCCAGACCCGAGACAATATAGAAAAGTTCATTTTGAATTGTTTTGAGCATCCGGGACCACAAAGATTGAATATCTTATCAAATAGTTGTAGCGTAAAGTTTGTGAATATCTATCAAATACGAATTGAAAGGGTGTGTGATAGATTTTCAAATTACAATATCATCAAAATTAGGACGGTCCCGGAAAATGCGGAACTTCTGATGATCCCTGATGGGATAGTTATAAAAACTAGTTTCATACGTATTGAAATTTTAGTGAAATTAATTTTAATCTCATCGACATTAATTTCGTAATGTGAACCAGCTTTTTGTTCCTATTGCTGGAGCTCAGGCCTTCGCTATGGACAGAATCGATTCCATCCGCTGCAGATGCAGCCAGGACCGTCTCTTAACGTCTCTTCCGAAGCACATACATAGTGCGAAATTTTTTTCTCGGTCACCCATCCTATGACTGACCACTGCGAACGTTGCTTAAAAACAACGATTGCGGGCCACCGAGCTGCTCTTTGTATACTGACAGTTAATATTTGTTTTGCAGGTGGAAAATGTATTAGGAGATCAAGATTCTAAACCGTATAATTATATAAAGAAATTCGTAGAGCGACATTGGCGCGACCACAGAGATCATGCATCAGCGAACTCTAGCCAACACCAGTAAAATGGACTCTGTTGTTTTATACGTAGAGTGGAAATTAAGGTTGAATCTTATCTGCATGTACGTCTAATAATTCTTCCTATATTTACAGTAATATTTGATTCTTGAGCGTTTTGGTATTTTTAAAACTTCAACATGATCGTATTAAACCGCTGCCAGATTTATTTTTTCTCTAAAAAATGGTATTGAGTATTATATTTGAACAATTTTACATTCACAATGTTATACTGGAAATATATTCTTAATGAAACATGTTTACAACAAGAGCGCTCGACCCAAACTGCGACAGTTCGTGGGTTTGAGTCCCATCTAGTACCTGGACCTGGATACCTTTGCGCATTTTTCATTAAGAAGTGTTGATATAATTTTTTTATTTAGCAACATATTTTTGTGCAACTGTTTTAATTGTCCCGCAAAAACGATCAGTCACGTGATTTTTCGAGCTGTGACGTCACATTTCAATAAACACGAGCACTGGTTGGGCTCGCAACGAAGACATTGGTTTTTAGTTTATTGTGACGTCATCCGATACTCCGTCATGGCGCAGATATAAACCACAGTTTAATTTTAACAATATATACTTACAATTTATTTTGAAACAAAACTGCTGAAACTGTCTAACCTTTTCTGTAGATTTTTAATTATATTATCTCAGGTACTTTACAACCCCAACCAATTAAGGGAAATAGACTGCTAAGATTTGAATGTTTGTTTGTATCGATTAAGCTTTGAAACTATTGGACCGATTTTAAAAATGTCTTCACCTACGGGAAGCTATATATACAGGGTTATGGGTAATTAGACTGGTAATTAATCCGTTTAAAGGGGCCGTGGGGGAGGTCATTTACAATTATATTTACTTCACATTATGTATCCGAAAGCGAGCCATTTTTGTGATAAATTGTATTTTTTTTTCTTTAAAAAAGTCGAAAGCGAAATTAAATTATAAATCAGAATCTAATTTTGTTGACAGTGTTGGAGAGAACATTCCAGTTCGTAATAAATAATAATAAAACCCAAATAATGTTGACCCAAACATAAACTACATAGTTTAAAAATAAAAAAATAAAGTTTTTTGTTATAAATTTGCAAACAAAAGTCTAGTTAAAAAAAACAATGTGGGGTGAAAATAATTATAAATGACCTCCCCTACGACCCCTTAAAAGGATCCGGTCTAATTACTCATAACCCTGTATATATATATATGCGGGCATAGGCTATTATTTTTAATTTGTCAATATTGGTATGTGCAGGCGAGATTCAACCTTAATTAGCAATCGGCGAGAGTATAGTTTATATATCGCACACCTAGATCTAAACTGAGACAACTCAAAAATTTGAGTGCGTTTTAACTTAGTACAATATTCAAGTACTCTGTGATCATACGCATCTATCCAACGTAACAGATTCAATAAAGGTTAGGTTATGAGCCTCTAGATAACTTTAGCTTTCTTTTGTAGAATCAACAATGGCCGCGTTCCTGCCACGTAAACAAATGTATTGTCAAACCTTCTCATTAGTTTTTTGAGTTGTCTTAGTTTAGATCTAGATGTGCGATATGATCTTGCAATCTATGAAAAAAAACATCCAAAGAAACAACAAAAGCATGTTTTTGAGTCTATCACAACAGTCATATGTCATACGATATAAATTAATATTTTACAACCTGCAACATAATTAACGCAAAGTACTTTGTTTAGAATTTTTTAACAGAATTAATTAAAAACCTGTACGGATTTATCATTATTTTCTTTATATTGAAAGATTTGGGACATTGATGAAAAAAAATTATATCTATACTAATATTGTAAAGAAGTAAAGTTTCTAACTTTGTTTGTTTGTGGGGGGGGGGGGGGGGTAATATTCGGAAATATTTATCCGATAATGAATATTCTTTCACTTAAGAGAAGCTACATCATACGCGGGTGATATAAAATATAATTTATACAGACGAAGTCGCGGGAAAACACATATGTCGATGTTTTGAGATGGAGGTCGACTGGAATATTTTTTGTTTATATAATAACATGATATAACGACTATAGACATTTAAAGTTAGGGCAGGTATACATTGTGCGTGCGAGATTTTCACTCGACATGGTGAGAAATGATGTGTGAATCGACCTTTATTTGAGATCGAGTTTTTTTTTTATTCCTCTCCGTACTGGTTATCGAATTGAATTTACCTAATTTACAATGGATTGTTTTTTTTTGAGTACGTCAATTTAAATTTGTGAGACTTGTTTTTTAAAAAAAAATGTCACCTCGGGCAATGGTGAATTTTTGTTTTTTTTTTTTTTATTTAAATAAAATCTAGGTGAATTAAATAATCAAAAATTTCAGATTCATTTTTAATTGTCATTAATAGAATTATCGTAATTAGTAAACTCGAGGAAAGTGTAAATTCGATAACTTGTTTTTTAAAAATTGTTTTTGTTTTAATTATAATTGATCTTATATTTACTTTGTTTTATCCTTGGTCTGTTTTGAGATGGAAACCTGAATCAAATACCGTATTACATTTGCGATGAATTAAAAAAGGTGTTTTTTAAATCGTCGATTAAATTCTGAGTTTTTTTTTGTATGTGTAGTGGATAGAATGCTATTTATATGAAGTTAAAGTGATAGAGAAAATTATTAAAAAAATTGAAAAATTTGATTTGTCGTTTCTTTTAACCCGTTCTCTGATTGTATCACTGACCTCTTCTATTATTTATACATAGTATAAAATAAAGTCGTTACCCGCTGTCTGTATGCTGATCTCTTTTTTTGAACTGCGCAGCTAGTGGCGTAACGTGTGAGGCCCGTTTCATCGGATATACAATTTTTTTTTACTAATTCCGTAATAATAAATGCCGGGAGTAAGGGGTCTTTGACCGGGGGCCCCTTCCAGCATGGGGCTCATGGCATTTTTCGAATTGCTACCCTGTAGTTACACAACTGTATCCAGCTGATTTTAATGCGCTTTTATATACAGTGTGATTCAAAATGAAGGTTTATAAGTAATACAGGACCACGCGGGCGAAACCACTGAATGATAGATACTTTTTATTTAAAACCCGTTGGCCTAGGACACTTGCATAAATAAGGATCCTGTAGCCTAATTGTCTTATTTTTAAATCTATTGCAATCATTTCAAATGTATAGCGATTGTTATAATGATTTTTGGAATCGTGTAACCTTTTAAGTTGAATTAGTTTTGGGAACAAATGAAATTTGAATGATGAAGACAAAGTAATATTAACGTATAGTACTTGTTATGATCGCAAGTTAAGTTAAGTGAAGCTCTTGAATATCTTTCAAATGTCAAATTAAAACCGATTGCGATCTACTTTAATATTTCAATAGCAACCGCTTAATTAACCAAAGTAAACTTTTTGTATTTTTCGAAATTTGGTACCTCGGGAAGGGCGTGGTAGTAAATCTATGGTAATACATGATTTATACACATGATATCTTAACCTTCCCCGTAGACTATGTCCTCGGTCCCCAAAAGAAAGTGTAAAAAATAACCGTAATTCGGGTAGGCGCTTATTAACCGGTATCTGACCGGATGGTAAACTTTCAACCGAATACCGGTAGTTACCGGTTATGTTTCAACTCAAGTTGACACTCATCATCGAAGAATGTCAACGTTAAGGAGGATGGGCCGAGCCCTAAACGCGGACCCAATGCGGATTTGAGGGTATTAGCAACTGTAAATGAAGCCGGTACTATCGGCTGAACGTGCCTTCCGAAGCAATGAGTAGCACGAGCTAATAATTGGTCACCCATCCCATCCGCCCCTTACGAAATTCGCTTAACAACAACGATCGCGGGCTGCGGCGCTTATTCACTACGCCACCAAGCTATGAGTAGTAATTGGTACTCGTTAATTGTAATTTATGGCTCGAGCCTAAATATAAATAAGGTACGAAATAAAAACACACATTCAAGAACAATTTATATGTATATAATTATCTACATATTCTAAAACTATTAGGTACATGATTACATTCCGCCATCTAGACGAATAAAACGATTCTATAATTATAACAATGGCAACACTTAATTAGACAAGAAATTAAGCTGGCAACACTATTTGTACTATAAAAGCATGTTTTAACAATTTTTGGAATGATTAAAATACAACAAAACTTTTTAATTCTGATTAAATTTAAAAAGTATCAAACTTATTTTAATATTTGAAAAAATCTAAAATATTTCTTTCAAGAAGTAACAAGTGCTTAAAAAAATTGTCAATCCTGTTAGGTCCCGGGTAGCGGAGTGGTTAGAGCAGTCTCTCGGATTGCGAAGGTCGTGGGTTCGAAAAAATAAAAATAAAAAATTATTCCATCCCCTTTTTTTTTATTAATAGTTTATTTTTTATATAATTCTATTTTAAATTTAAACATTTAGCATGTTTATTAAATATTGTTTACTTGTTCAAAGAGTTATAAACAATGATCGAAATAGGTATATTTTATTGATCTGAATATATTATTACGGACATTCGTTCGGAATTTATTATGATATTTTTCGGAACTTATAAAAATTTAATTTAGGAGCAATTGATTAAATTAGAAGAAAGGTAAATTAATTTTAATAGTTACGAAAACTTCCTTTCGATTTTTATTGAGTAGCATTCATATAATCACCAACATAAGACAATATACAATAGGATGTCTTATCCACTATATTCTTTCTATTATTATTTTTAATGCAAAATTTATACCAAAAATGTATATCCAATCACTGGATATAGATTCTATTTACTTGAAGTTAAGACAAAAGTAATAAATAATAAAATTAAGCAAGACATTTCTTTGATCTGAGATTTTGCTGATTAGATTATGCACTATTATTAAATACATAGTAAGGTAATTCGTGTTTATTAAATAAACAGTTTTGTCAAAATAACGTTATGCTTATAACTGTTAACCGTTTAGTTGACTAGTTTTGTGACGTAGTTGCTTGGGAATAAACCGGTCATGCCGCGCAGTTCACCTGAAATATAAACGTATATATAATATAGAGTTTCACTACATAGTATAAAACAAAGTCGCTTTCTCTGTTCCTATATTTGTATGTATGCTTGAATCTTTAAAACTACGCAACGGATTTTGATGCGGTTTTTTTTCATAGATAGGGTGATTCAGAAGGAAGGTTTTAATGTATAATACAAGAGGACGCGAGCGAAGCCGCTGGCGGAAAGCTAGTTATTATAAAGAGGTTATGTTTATATTTATTTGTTTATATGGACAAACCCTCCAATCCGCATTGGGCCAGCGTGGAAGGTCATGGCCCATCCTCCTTAACCATCCATAAGGAAGGCCTGAGCCCCTGCAGTGGGGACGTAAAAGGGCTGATGATGATGGACAAACACAGAATAAGAATATTTTTATTGACATTCACACCATAACATTACAATAACAAAAACAAAAGACAGACAATAACTTACAGAATTCATATCTTAAAACTATACACTTTTGGTTATGAAGGCCAATAAGGACCCTGTCTCAGCTAATGCCGCTACTGTGTTTTATCACAGTAGCGACGCTGGTATCATGACAGGGCCTATGTAGTGACGTATTGTGTTTGTGTGTGCTATAACGTGTATGTGTGTGTGTGTGTGTGTTTATATATATGTAAATGCGTTCTATCTTAAATGGTAATGGCTTATTGACGTGGATACGTCTATGTTTTCGTTCTACAGGGGGGGTCATTCTGTGAGCAGGAGTATATGCACTAACGCCATCTATTGGCGTATAACGGAACTATGCTTGCGCTGCAGGGGGAGGGGCATTCTGTCAGCAGGAGTATATGCACTAACGCCATCTGTTGGCGCTAGTGAATACTTTTTTCATTCAACAAATGAACGCAACGAATAAATAGTTATTAAGTGTACTACAAATATGAATTGACTTTTATTTGAATGATTCATTTATAAATGCAATTAAGCCACAATCGTCGCATCAGTTCCGGGTTGCTCTGGAGAAGCGAATCGTTCAGTATTTTAGAGTGCCAACGAACATTGATAGACGTGAAGAATGGTTAAAAGCAATTCGTGATGTGTGACCTACCCGGGATGTTCTGTGAAAATTTCTATCAATTACTCATTGATGTCCAGTTCATGGCATAGACGTATCGACGCGTGCAGTAGTTTAAAATCTATCGCATTCTATTTCAAAGGTTTAGCGATACTTAAAATATATATAACCTTTAAAGTCGAAAACACTTTTGGGTTTAATAATTCGAATGATCAAGGAACATATAAAAATTTACTTAAACCGGTGGTAAGATTGCAGATAGCGTTTCGTTTGATATTTCTAAATAGCTTTCAAAGATATTTGCGTTTAACTTGCGTTAGACAAATGGAATAAACACTACCAAAATCCGACCACTGGTAATATAGCTATACATAGGTCAGTAGGGACAAGGCGAAACCTGCATCGCGCTTACTAAGTGTCGCCGCGATTAACATATATACAAATCCCAATTCAAATCAGTTGGACCGCCAACACCCAGCAGGGTAAAAATTATTTTCCGGTCCTACATCATCATCAGCCTATTAATGTCCACTTTACTAGGGCAAAGATCTTCCCCGTAGACGGATTTGAATAGGTAGAACGGGACATACAGCACGCGGACCCAGTGCGGATTGTTGGGTGTTAAATGCACATGCAGCCGAGACTAATCACTCAACGCCTAAGCTAGTTTCCTATGTTAGAGGACGAGTTAAAAAAAAATCGGTCTCCCATCCCATGACAGGCCACAGCGAAAGTTGCTTAACTCTTGTAATTACCTTGCCACCAGGCGGGGTCTTGGCTACGATCTGTGACCGCTATGATGTCATCCTTCTCGAAGCTCAACTCGTCGGCGTTTTGAGCGGCGTAAGGATACAAAGCTATCACCTATGGAGAGAAACACGTAATTTTAAGGATCGTTTACAAGTAATTAAGTAAATAAGTAATAGTTAAGTAGATTTTTAACTTAATTTTAAGTGATTAACCATGTGTAAACACATCTTAATAGGGTTTTTGATAACATTATTAATATTTTAAAAACTGTGGTCATCCTATAAGACAATAACACATATTTCACTTCATTTTAAACGATATAATGTATTTTTTTTGTAGATTACCCAAAATATTTTTTTTTTATATTTTATCTGAGACGAAAACGCTTTTTAACTGGTTGCAACTCCGATGACGTCACACGCTAGTAAATATAGCTTCCTGTTGACCATAGTTATATGGTGAGGTTTGTTTGTTTACTAAAATGTGACGTCACACTCGGCGTAATGGCGGACACAGCATTTTTCGCGCGGTTTCAGAAATTTAAACTTTGATTTTTATTGATAAATACAGTAAATTTCCCCGAAATATTAATGTAATGTGCTTATTACACAACAAAGATTAATTTGATACATTTTTTTTAATTAGTTGAATATATTTTATATTATTATTTTCAACGCTAGGTTTACCTTGTCGATGACAGTTTCCGCCGGAAGAGTGTCCATCTTGGACAGAACCGGCGTGGTTCTGCCGGATGTACGTCCTGTAGACTGCAACACCTACATAATACTCATACATATATACATGTGGCAGTATATAATCCCCGCATAATACTAATACCAACTATTAAGGGGAAGTATTATAAAAAAAAAGAAAGCACTAAAAAAGCACCTCCACTAGATGGCGACTCTAGCAAAAGTTGATTTTTGCAGGAAACGAATGGACCAAAGACAGTCATTTCCGTTCCTTTTAACTAACATATTAAAAACTGAAATTTGCAAAGTTCGAAACTTATATATCAATACAAATACGAAAAAGTACAAATAGAATATGAGTTGTTTATTTAGTTTTGAAAACTAATTTACTTTTATACATGAAAGAAAACCGGAAGGGTTGCCATGGAGAAATCAAGAACGTACCGTAGCGACATCTAGTTTGATTTCGGGAACTAACTTTTTTTTAAAAACTTCCTCATTGGCATTTTGAAAAAGATTAGATATTCTTTAAGGGTACATAATTTGCTTTATGATAGTTCGTTTTAAATACCTCTGCGCGCATTTGAGAGTAATTTTTAATATCTGGTGTATTTTTAGATAATATTTTTACGGATATACCAATATTAACTAGATAATAGAAATGTTGAAGTACAAATTTTTTTTACATTGCTACGGTGTCTCTGGCTTCTTTTTTTTGATATTTAATTTGTGATATTGCAAAGACAAATTTAAAAGCTTTAAATATAATCCACAATATACACGATTATTTTTTTGGGGACTGCTCTATAAGTATTCCGGAAATTTTATGAAACATTTGTACGCCAATCAGCCGGATTGTTCTCAATAATTTAGTTAGTTTACTTTTCACAAAGCAAAAAGTCCTAGTTTTATCAAACTGATATCAGCCGAAAATTGATAAGCAACAAATATAAAGCATAAAATAATAAGAAAATTAGTAAATTTAATAGTAATAAAAATATAGAATAAGTAATAAATAGGGAAAAGAAAAACCCTAGAACAATGATATAAACCTTGATCAAAAAGAAAAAAATCGCAAAAAAGGAGAAAAAATATACTGCTAAAACAGAAGTGGGGAAAACCGCTAAAAACTGAAAATTGAAAAAAAAACAAACTAAAATGTGCCCACAATTCTGTAAAAAACCAGACTCGATTACGAATTCATTCATATGTCCAAATTCACGCCATCAAGTGTAGAAATTCAATTGATTCCATTGTTCTGTATAAAAATACAAAACAAAATTGAATGAATGAATGAATGAACACTTTATTGTACTTGAAAACATTGCGGACATTCTATTCCTATGTCATTTCGAAACTCACTTCACTTACGCCACGAAACGTAATAACGTTTCAAGATTTCGCGGATGCTGCTTTTAGAAGATAATAATTGCAGAAACGAAAAACTGTTTAAGTGACACTTAGGTACAGTTTGAGACGTGTCTATCTTTAAATTCTCAAATCAGAAACCGAAAGTCAGAAACTAGGCAGATTTCTGGTGGGTTTTGACTTAGATATTAATACCTTTGCATATAAAGTTGATGATTATTTTAAGGATCGCAATGCATGGAATTAATAGCCTTCGCTTTGTTCTATAACGACTTATTATATGTACAAACTATGTCCTGCAGATTTTGAATGTTGTATTTATTATTGTGATAATACATATTATTTTGCTAATGACATGATTTATGTAAATGTCATTACTTATGATAAAGAGCTGGTAAGTTTCTTTCGCTTGTTCTTACTAAAAGACGTCCCGAACAAATGGTAGGAGAAAAAAATTTTTGTACGATTCAAAAGTGCTTGTAACGAGCTTACTAAAATAGATATTTTCATTTCATAAGTTTGTATACCCAAAAATTAATGTACCATGAGGGTAGACATATTTTGTTGTTATATGAGTGAATTCTTAAAAAATGGCAATGTATATATTAGTTTATGCCTAGATAGAAATTGGAATAATTTTGTACTATTACTTATTAACTTTGTCTAAATAAATATAAATAAATAAACGAATCAATGAGTCTGAATTTAGCTCAATCTTGTTTACGTTTTATCTTTTATCTTATTTATTTTTATTCTACATTAATTCTCACCTTGACATAGCTGGCGGGGAACCAGCCGACCTGTCTGTTCCTGCCCTTAGCCTGCAACTCCCCCTCCCACCATCCGCTGTCGGCTTTCTTACGAACTACTAACAACTGGCCCTTTTGTAAGGATAGTTGTTCGGCGCTACAAACAAATAATAATAAGGGTACATTCGATAATTAAATATTACAGTGGATAATGAAAGAAAACACTAACTCCCGGTTTAAATAACCAAAAAACTATCCGTTTATGCTACCATCCGTAGCATTTCCTACCGATGGTAGCAAAAAAGTGTTTCAATAACATACCATTGGTAGATAAAGCTACCGACGGTGTGCTACTAACGGATTGATCTGATACTGATAACCGTTCGTAGGCAAAATGTATGAAAATGGCGCAAAAAGGTGTTTCAATAAAAAAATCTATCCGTCGGTAGAGCTGTCAAACTTACTATCCGTAGCTTATCTGTCAAATTTGCCTACCGGCCATTTTCCGTCGGTTATCGTAAAAATATTTATAAATTACACGTTTTCTCTGCTTAATTAATAGAAAAGTAACAGTTTTTCATCAAAAAAATAATATTGTAGAAGAGCTTAATGTGTTTTGTGGTTCCAATTAGAAGAATTTAAGTTGTAAACATGTAAATTTTTGTACCTTTAAGCGCTCGTACTACAAATTAATCATTGCTCCAGATGTTTTCTACAATATTTTTCTGTTGAAAAACTTGATGATTTACCTCTATATAATTATGAAAAATCTGGTACTGATAAAATTGAATGTGCCATCTATTTGTACAAAACTTATACATGTTTATAAATTCTTAATAAAACCCAATTTGGATATAACTTATTTATTTTACAGATAAAAACGATTCATTAAAAAATGCTCAATTGTTCATTGTAAATTTGATTAATTTTATCTTGTTTGTTTTACGAAATATAGTATATATATTTATTGTAATCAAAAATCCTATTAATATTGTAAATGTCAATGGATCACAATTGTTCACTGCCATTTTCATTCCAAAAAATCAAAAAATTATAATAAAGGTGTATTCTATATAAACTTCCCGCTAAGCTTCAACAGAACATAAATCAACTTTACTTTTGGCATAATCAAAAGCAAAGGGATATAGCACATACAACCTATTCTAGGGTGATACTATTCACATTGAGATTTACTTGGACGTTATTAGAAAATGATGAGGTTCGTAAGACTGACACTTTCGCATTCTTGTAACTACGAAATTGACAAAACACTGTTTTATTTATATTCCGAAATTTAATTCAAGATAAAAAAACTTATGTAAACAAATGATGTTATTTTAGGGATTGCAAACATTTTCCAAAAGGTTCTAATTATAATTTATTTTTGAAAAACATAGTTTGGATATAATAAGATGTATAGTGTTATTTTTAATCGACTTCAACGAAAGAGAAGGTTCCTGATACAAGTAAAACTAATTCTGTATAACATTGTGGGCATAAAAAATGTAAGATTTATTGACATTAGCCTATTGGAATTTCATTACTTTTTCAATTTTTAGTACTATGAATTGTAAATCAATATCGGATAAAATATTTGTTTTAGGTGTATTTCTTTTTTTTTTACTTGTTAAAAGAAGTGGTTAATAACAACTTCAGGATGTCAGTTTTGGAGTGTACTTCCAATAATAAAACAAAACTAGTTTATAGTTTACCTGGTTGATAGAAAGACTCCATATGAATTTTTACAAACATTTTCTATTATATTTGTGTTTTTTATAAAATAAGGCTAACGAAGGATACATTTCAATTTTATATGTTTTAGTATTCGAAAGAGACTTATATACTTTGTAATATATAAAATGAAGATTTAAAAAAATATGTATGAAAATTTAAAGTACGTTTGTCATCCATAGTGATTCCTAAGCAGTTAGTCTTATTTTGTTAAATCTTGTCAGTATATAGTTACATATTACAATAAGAATACGGAAACTATCGACCTAATGACATGACGAAGCGCGATGCTAGTTCCCATCCATTAACAATCTTGTATCAAGTCGTTCAATCTATTTCACGAGTCTATTAATATTATTTTCCAAATTATTTAATAATAAATCATACGAAATAAAAAAGTTTAATTCAATGAGCCAAATGTTTCGAATCGCTGTTTCTTGCCTGCAGCATAAAATATTTCCATCCCATTTTTATCTAAAAAATGGATTTTTAATTTACTTACTTTTAAAGAGATAAATCTATACTCATTTTTGTAATGGTAACTCTTGCTTACATCTGAATTCCATTTCAGACGATAATTTGTTTCTCAAAATAACACCACTTTTAGGAACGTTAGGTTCATACAATAAATAAGTCATAATAATTCCAAAACCAATTTCAAATGTAGTGTCGGGTCAGTTCACCTCTTTCCTATTGATTTCTCTGTCTTCCTACTTACGATTTTTATTTTGTCCAAGAAATTATTAAACATTTAGATTCAGTATGATCATATTACCTAAGACAAGGCTGCATGAGAAGATCCCTTTTCCTTGAATTAAATGATTACAATTTAAAAAATGAGCTACCGACAACCGTTCTTAGTTGGTAGGCGCCTACCGATGATTGTCTGACCTAAACGGAAAAACGAATGGTTGTCGGTGGCTCAAAAAACGGTCGGTAGCTGCTACCGACGGCTGTCGGTAGATTATTGAAACCGGGGGTAAAAGTACCCTACATAAATGTCTGGTAGAGGAGTCCCGGCGGGACCTCACCTATAGTTACCTGGTGGCGGTGTACGGGGCCAGTGCCTGCGCTATCTCGTGCTTCCTGCGGCCGGTGGCGGAGTCCCGGCCGGAGTCCCGGCGGGACCTCACCTATAGTTACCTGGTGGCGGTGTACGGGGCCAGTGCCTGCGCTATCTCGTGCTTCCTGCGCCCGGTGGCGGAGTCCCGGCCGAAGTCCCGGCGGGACCTCACCTATAGTTACCTGGTGGCGGTGTACGGGGCCAGTGCCTGCGCTATCTCGTGTTTCCTGCGCCCGGTGGCGGAGTCCCGGCGGGACCTCACCTATAGTTACCTGGTGGCGGTGTACGGGGCCAGTGCCTGCGCTATCTCGTGTTTCCTGCGCCCGGTGGCGGAGTCCCGGCGGGACCTCACCTATAGTTACCTGGTGGCGGTGTACGGGGCCAGTGCCTGCGCTATCTCGTGCTTCCTGCGCCCGGTGGCGGAGTCCCGGCCGAAGTCCCGGCGGGACCTCATCTATAGTTACCTGGTGGCGGAGTACGGGGCCAGTGCCTGCGCTATCTCATGCTTCCTGCGCCCGGTGGCGGAGTCCCGGCCGAAGTCCCGGCGGGACCTCACCTATAGTTACCTGGTGGCGGTGTACGGGGCCAGTGCCTGCGCTATCTCGTGCTTCCTGCGCCCGGTGGCGGAGTCCCGGCCGAAGTCCCGGCGGGACCTCACCTATAGTTACCTGGTGGCGGTGTACGGGGCCAGTGCCTGCGCTATCTCGTGCTTCCTGCGCCCGGTGGCGGAGTCCCGGCCGAAGTCCCGGCGGGACCTCACCTATAGTTACCTGGTGGCGGTGTACGGGGCCAGTGCCTGCGCTATCTCGTGCTTCCTGCGCCCGGTGGCGGAGTCCCGGCCGAAGTCCCGGCGGGACCTCACCTATAGTTACCTGGTGGCGGTGTACGGGGCCAGTGCCTGCGCTATCTCGTGCTTCCTGCGCCCGGTGGCGGAGTCCCGGCCGAAGTCCCGGCGGGACCTCACCTATAGTTACCTGGTGGCGGTGTACGGGGCCAGTGCCTGCGCTATCTCGTGCTTCCTGCGCCCGGTGGCGGAGTCCCGGCCGAAGTCCCGGCGGGACCTCACCTATAGTTACCTGGTGGCGGTGTACGGGGCCAGTGCCTGCGCTATCTCGTGCTTCCTGCGCCCGGTGGCGGAGTCCCGGCCGAAGTCCCGGCGGGACCTCACCTATAGTTACCTGGTGGCGGTGTACGGGGCCAGTGCCTGCGCTATCTCGTGCTTCCTGCGCCCGGTGGCGGAGTCCCGGCCGAAGTCCCGGCGGGACCTCACCTATAGTTACCTGGTGGCGGTGTACGGGGCCAGTGCCTGCGCTATCTCGTGCTTCCTGCGCCCGGTGGCGGAGTCCCGGCCGAAGTCCCGGCGGGACCTCACCTATAGTTACCTGGTGGCGGTGTACGGGGCCAGTGCCTGCGCTATCTCGTGCTTCCTGCGCCCGGTGGCGGAGTCCCGGCCGGAGTCCCGGCGGGCGCTGGACGCGGGCCGGGAGGCGCCCTCGGTGATGCACGCCACTTCGGACGATACAGGTGTCGATGATTTCTGTTCCTAATTATTAAAACATTAATTAAAACTCAAATATAACAACTAATGTTAATCGGTCAGTTGCACGAACACAAAACTTTTAAGCTCTAATGAATGTCAAATTTGTATGGGTAATGTCACTTTAAACTAATGAAAATCTTAATGAACGTTTATGCAACTCGCTGAATATCGTAAATGTTACCCTATGTATGTATTGTGATATCAATGTATGAATAATAGGAAGGAAAACGTATTTTTGTTTGTTCGTCTGTCAGGAAGGATATTGAAGGATATTAAACATATTCTTTGTGAGTAATTAATTAATGAGGTAGTATTTTAAAAAAAAAAGTAGTTCCCGAAATCAAACTAGATGGGGCTCCGGTACGTTCTTGATTTCTCCATGACAACCCTTCCGGTTTTCTTTCATGTATAAAAGTAAATTAGTTTTCAAAACTCAATAAACAACTCATATTCTATTTGTACTGTTTCGTATTTGTATTGATATCTAAGTTTCGAACTTTGCAAATTTCAGTTTTTTAATATGTTAGTTAAAAGGAACGGAAATGACTGTCTTTGGTCCATTCGTTTCCTGCAAAAATCAACTTTTGCTAGAGTCGCCATCTAGAGGAGGTGCTTTTTTAATGCTTTTCTTTTTTTTTAAAAGCATTATAAATAACTTTACTTCTTAAAATTACTTCTTCTTACTTCTTAAAACATGGGACATTTTATGTCCCATGACGTCACTCTTCTGTACACATTTTCTATAAAAACTGCGACGTATCGAGCCCCTGTCAACTTCAATGCCTGTTATCTAAGCTATTTCTTGTTAAATTGAAGTTAAAAAAATACGTATCTTTTTAATATTTTTCTATTATCTTACTGACGAACTAAATAGAATTTCTTTTTTTTTACTCAGCAGTTATCCCTATTTGCGTTACCAATATATGTGTATAGTATTGGGCAGGGGTGGCCAACCTGTTTAGGCCCAATATCGACTTTTCACTGACGACCCCAGTACGACTTACCAATAACTTCTTAAAATCTTAAATGAAACAGCATAGTTCGTACACAATTGTGTAGCATTTAGATTTAATTTATATTTTTTGAATTACCACGATCGACTGGACTAATAGTCGCGATCTACTGGTCGATCGCGATCGACTGGTTGGCCACCCATGGTATAGGGCGTGTTACTTATTTGTTAGCAATACCCTGATAATCACTGCATAGTATAAAACAAAGTCCCTGCCTCTGTCCCTATATGCGTAAATGTATGCTTAAATCTTTAAAACTACGCAACGGATTTTGATGCGGTTTGTTTTCATAGATAGGGTGATTCGAAAGGAAGGTTTTTATGTATAATACAAGAGTACGCGGGCGAAGCCGTTGGCGGTAAGCTAGTTTGATGTATTTTCAAGATCTGACTGTTGTACTAATTGTCTTGCCCTACAGGGTCATATGTCCACATGTTGAGACTTGTACCATCTGTTCAATGTTACATGTGGTGACAATAAACGATCGAGTATTGAGAAAAAGAACACTTGTATTAGACTCACAACCTTTGCACTTTTGTTTTTTTGTTTCGTTCTCTCTATCTCTCTTTCTCTCTGTGTGTGGTTTGTCTCTCTCTCTCTTTCTCTCTGTGTGTTTCCCTCTCTTTCTCTCTGTATGTGTGTATGTGCGTGTGCCTCTTTCTGTCTCTGTGTGTTTGTGTGTGCGTATGTGTGTGGGTGTGTGGGTGATGGGCGTTTGTCAGTGTTTTAGCGTGTATGTGCGTGTGTGTGTATGCGTGAGTCTGTGTTTGTGTATTTGTGTGTACGTGGTTTAGGTATGTTTGCGTGTGTGTGATTGTGTGTGTGCGCATGTGTGTGGGTCTCTCTCTCTCTGTGTGTTGGTGTCTCTCTCTCTCTATGTGTTTATGTGTATCTCTCTCTCTCTCTTTGAGTGTGTGTGTTTGTGTGTATGTGCGTGTGCCTCTTTCTCTCTCTTTGTGTGTTTGTGAGTGGGTGTTTCTGTGGGTGTGTGCGTTTGTCAATATTTGTGCGTGTATGTGCGTGCGTGTGTGTGCGTGTGTATACGTGTGTTTATTCATTTATTCATGTATTGCATGTCACAAGTATAAAGATGTTACATTTATATTTACAGTTCATGTGACACCCTGTAAGGGTGTAGCAAATTCTGAGTATATAGCCTTTATATAATACTCGTATAATATTGTCAACTTATTATTTAAAATACATCAATTTATAATTATATTAATTGTGCAATGTATATCCTACTTAAGGCTATATATATCTAAAAACATATTATTAATGAACATTGGCATCTACAATAAATGGTTTAATTAATAATAACTTCTTTACATTGATATATTTGAGAATGTATATTATTATATGTATAATTTATTATATTTTACTTAGGTAGGACTTGGAACTAGCCTGTTATCTCCTTTTATTCATTTCACGAAACGTACCCATCCTCAAAGAATTCCGCGGCACTATAATAGCCCTTGTTTATAAGATTTTTTTTAAGTGATTTTTAAAAGCTTTCGTTTTTTCGAGTTCTTTAATGTAATTTGGTATTTTATTGTAAATTTTTATAAACATGGAATGGGGGGCTACTGAGTACAATTTCATTTTTGTTGAAGGGACCTTTAGTTTATTATGGTATCTATAGTTACGTCTTAATAATTTTACCGGGGAGTATAAATCCATATGCTTTTTGACAAATTTACAAGCTTCAAAAATATATAAGTTAGGCAGAATAAGAATTTTCAGACTTTTAAAATAAGGTTTACAAGACTCCATTTGGTTTATATTTGTAATTATTCTTATGCATTTTTTTTGCAAGATTAAGATTTCCAGGGTATGTGGACTATTTCCCCAAAGAATTATTCCATAGTTAAGACGTGATTGGACAAAGAATGTTTGTGTGTGTATGATACCTGTACGTTGTCAATGTCGACGGGTTGGGGCGGCTGAGGCGGTTCAGGTTCAGGCTCCGGTTCGGCAGCTTCGGGTATACTGCTGATGGTCGCCGCACAGGTCGCGTCTACCGTCACGTAGTTGCATGGGAATATGCCCGTTCTACACACAAACGGACAAAACACAAAAGTATAACTCTCAAATATCATTCACCCGTTGCTGTTTCTCACGTGAGATGCGAAAGGGGGGAGGGGGTTCGTCAATAATCACGAAATATCACAAGGGTGGAGGGGAGGTGGGGTGTAGTAATATATCACGTGTATTTATTTTTTCCTCAAACGAACGATTGCTAAACCAAAAAGCGGCGTCAAATTAGGACTTTTGTAGGTAATAAAATACACGTGATTATTTAGTCTTAATCCTCACCATATATCCCGAAGGAGGGGGGGGGGGGGTTCAAAAATGCTGAAAAAACATCAGGTGATTAATTAACGGCCCCCCAGGGGTGTTGAGGACTTTATGATATGTCAAAATCTAAAAATAAATTTAATTTTCAAGATTAGCCGCAGAAAACGCTAACTTCTGTCATGGCGTCGCTATGACGTCACGCCCGTCCAAAACTAATGTAGTCCTATGTATGTATATAAAATCATTTACAAGTTGTTTTTTTCCAATAAAAGATCATTCGGGTAAGAAAGATTGGGATAAAAATTGTTTTTATATTATATTAACTTCTGTTTTGCTGACTGTACGTTTTTTTTAAATCCCTCTTTATAAACATTAGCCATAATCGTATTTTCATTATGTTAATTAGCTCGGTGGCGTAGTAGATAAGCGCAGCGGCACGCGATCATTGCGTTAAGCGACTTTCGCAACGGTCAATAACGGGATGGGTGATCGAAATATTGTTATTTCGAGTTACTCCGAGCTTCGGAAGGCACGTTAAGCCGTCGGTCCCGGCTACATTTGTAGCCGTTACTCACCTCCAATCCGCATTGGTCTCGGCCCATTCTCATTAACTATCCACAAGGAAGGCCTGAGCACCTGCAATGGACGATGACGATGGTTCTGTTAATTACCTGATGCCGATCCTGCCAGTCCACCAGTCGCCATCTTTTCTGGTCACCTCGATTCTCTCGCCGGCCTCGAAGGTCAAGTCTCCAGGTTCGGTGGAAGTGTAAGGGTACGCGGCTATGTAGAAATCACCGGCTTCTGTCCAATGCGTAGAATTCAAAATCGTATGACATATAACGAGATATATTACCATCACTAAGTAGTATAAAACAAAACTCGCTTTTTTTTCTGTCCCTACGTATGCTTTAATCTTTACAATTGACGGATTTTGATATAGGTTTTTTTTTTTTAATATAAAGGGTGATTCAAAAGGAAGATCTTATGTTTAATATTCGGGCGAAGCCGCTGGCGAAAAGCTAGTATGTAGTAATAAATATAGGAAATTTTATAAAGAAAGAAAAAGGTTAGACAGTACACAAAAAGTTAGCCTTATTGCGGTGATACAGAAAAAATTAGTTACAGAACGCGGCGGCGCGATGCTTAATCCGCTCGTCGCTAGATGGCGTTGTTTTGTCGGTGAATCGCGCTAATACTATAGAAAACACGCATGTAGATACGTCGTCAAGAAAGGGACGTTCACTGGGGAAGAAGGGGACGGGTATCCGATCTAAATTTTTAGGCCAACCTAGAATGTTCTAGATCCTAACCTAGAACATTCTAGAAGTAAAGTATACATCGGCCGCTATAAATACGCGGTGAGCTGCCCATCCCGGGTTCTTTCAGTGATTAGTGAGCTGAAAACGAGGGCGAATATAAGAGATATCCAAAGCGTACTAGTGAAGTGACCTATTAGTAGTGTTGCCAGGTGTCCGGATTTACGCGGGACGTCCCGATTTTCAGGGGTCCGGGAACCCGTCCCGATTTGTACATAATCGGGACGCTAAGTGTCCCGATTATGTGCAAATCGGTACAAGTATTTTTATTAAAAAAAATATTTTTTTTTTATTGTCAAATCCATTTTTGAAAGCCCCTAACTATATTTATCCATGTCTGAAAGCTAATTACACGCGCTGTCCCGATTAATAATAAATTGGACCTGGCAACACTACCTATTAGTGACACAGTGAAGTCAAAGTGTGTATAAGTTTATTGGATTATTTTTTAAAGTGTCAGAATGAGAATTAAATTGGCGTAAAAAAAAAATCCCGAAACATTTATTTTGTTAAATATTTTTAAGTTAAAATGTTTCATATTTTCCGAATATATAACAGATACCTGTATTTTCACTTGCAGGACACAAGACTACTTATATTATTGTGTTTTGTTCAATCCCCGCCAATTGCTAATCCGCCTCCGCGTGGCCGCCATTTTGGTGACGTAATTGCAATCGGCATTCAGTACCGTTGACAAATAAACACTGGTTGACGGTTGTTATTGAGTTGGGCTGCGTAATGTGTTGAGATCACACACAATTTTTTTTTTATATACTTATTGTATTAGATTGTTATTGTTAAGTTTTGTTGTAAGTTATGGTTGAATAAAACAACAAATACAATTATGATTTTCACAACAATAAACCTAATTTCATTAAAAATAAATATATCTAATGTCTCTCCTTTTATTGTTACTTTTGGCTATGTTTAAAAAAGTATCCTTTCCGTTTGATATTGGCTTTTACAAAGTAAATGTGTTTTTTTTCACATTTTTTATTTCCCATATACCTAAATAGTAACATATAAATATATTTCACATTTAATATAAATATATTTCATAAAACTTTTCCAAACATTCGTGCTACAAATTAACGAATTAAAAGATATTAAATTTTATAACAATACTAGCTTTCCGCCAGCGGCTTCGCCCGCGTGCTCTTGTATTATACATAAAAACCTTCCTTTTGAATCACCCTATCTATGAAAAAAAAACCGCATCAAAATCCGTTGCGTAGTTTTAAAAATTTAAGCATACATAGGAACAGAAAAAGCAACTTTGTTTTTGTTATATACTTTGTATTGAGGGTAAACAAACAATGACAACAAGAAGTCAGTCTGTCACCAACGATTAAAGGTTGTGTTGTGTACTCCGTATTTTATTTACTTATATGTCCTTAAAAACCTCAAAACTAGGCTAAGTTTCTCACTCGCACCGCCCATTCGGATAAATCTTCGCTCGGTCTTTGTTGTGCCTTATAAAATTTGTATAAATGTAGGGATTTGTTTGTCATGTATAAATATTTCAATAATTAAATAATAATTCATCTCTCGCCTTTTGTGCTATCCATACTTTCTATTTTCATATCGACGCTGGAAAGCAAACACGTAGTAACCAGCAAAACCAAAATGGATATTTAGAGTGGAAAATCTTCATATTTTCCGAAAAAAAAAACTTGTTTCCGTATAAATTGACTAAGGAACACCTTATTTGTTACCATGCACGTTTATAGGAATTATTAATCGAAAAAAATAAAAGTTTTTCCGGTCCGAAGAACAATTTTGGTTTTGCGGGTTACTACGTGTTTGCTTTCCAGCGTCGATATGTCGTCACGCGGGCGTTATTTAGACTCATGGTGTGTACAATAAAGAGTCATTCATTCAATCATTCGTTCATTATAGTATGATTAAGATAATTAAATAAACATACCGACGGTAGGCGCAGTTGCTACTACATCGTTAGCGATCTCAGCTTCAGGCACTTCAGCTATACCTATATAAATTAAATCTGTTATATTAATAATGTGTGATATAAATAACGGCTTGCGGTCATGGTTTCTAAGCAACTTTCGCATAGGTCGGTCACGGGATGGGTGACGGAAAAAATATTATCTTCACCTATTCCGGTGCCTTAAAAAGTTAAGTCATTAGCAGAGGTCGGAATTAGGTAGAGTTATTCATGTACTTACACTGATTTCATACAGCGAAAGAATAAAGTGGATATGCCTCAAATCCCGAGATTAATTTTAAAGAGCAGAAAAAATCCCGTGATTTTTTAAATAAAAAGTTATTTACTTTTACACAATTTAAACTACTGCACGCACGACGTTGCCAAACTTACATCAATGACATCGGATGTCCAAAGTTGCAAAATACCAATACGCGCGATGTTGCCACATTTGTAGGGAAGGTCCACATTAATATCAACATTTCGATGCAAGTACATAAATAACTCTACCTAATTCCGACCACTGGTCATTAGTCAATATTATTATCATCATCAGCCCTTTATTTCGTCCCCACTGCAGGTGCTCAGGCCTTCCTTATGGACGGTTAAGGAGGATGGGAAAAAATTTTGGACGATTCAAAAGTACTTTTAAGGGCCGTGACATTCCACGCGGGCCCAATGCGGATTAACAACTGCAAATTCCGCCGAGATCAACGAATTAACTTGCCTCCCGAAACACGAAGTGGGAGACAATAATTCTTTGGTCACCCATCCATCAAAAAAAGTGATTTCTTTATTTTATTCTATGACGAAAATAGTATGGTGACAGATTTCTAATTGAAATTGTGTTTATTTATGGTTTTTTTTTTTAATTATATGACTGAATGGTTTGCTAATAGTTGAAGATTTTATGAATTTTATAATTTCATTTATTTATAGGTACATTTTTATATTTTTTATTTCAAATGTATGATCGTGAATATGAGTGTTTATGCTTGAAATAAGTGTTTTTTTATTATTACAACAGCCAAGTAGTCAATTACACTGTATTACTAATATACTTACCACATTTTTTACCAATAAACTTACCTTCTAGCTGTGTCTTAGTTTCCAAAGGTTCTACGACCTCTGTATATGTAGTGGGAGCGTTTATGTCTTCCACATAAGACTCGGGGAACCAACCAGACTGACCTATATTACAAGAGGGTAGTTTCATTATTAAGGCCCTCTTGTACCTCCGCTTACTTTTCCATACAAATACGCAAATAACCGTCGAGAGAAGTGACTTCATACATTTTTGAACACAGAAATAAACCAATGTATTTATAAAAAAGAAATTGTGATCAAAATTATATATCTGTCGCAGAAAATCTCCATTATCTTTACAAATAAACTTTTATTTAGTTTCTTTTTTTAATTATTACTCATTCGATTACTTAATTACTCGATTGTACAGATGACGTGATCATCGATACTTTTATCGATGACTTTGACAGTTCGCTAACGAAAAGCAAGTTGCCGCCATTTTGGCACGCATTCTGTTTCCGATCGCCGAGGAGTAAAGACATCCGACGACATCACGCTCATCTCGTTATATTTTCGTACGAAAAGTGATAAAATGGTATAAATCCACGTTGGTATACACGCCTGCAGTGTTATTTTAAAGATGGTCCTCCGATATGGACCATCTATTTGGGCTTCGTAATAGCCTCTTCTGACTACCCGCCGTCATATTAATCTCTATTTTTGTATATATTTGTTATGTAGTTAAGATAAAATATATTAGTTGTAAAGTCGATCCAAAAACAATGACTCTAAAACCTATTTGAGAGTCATATTTGCGATTTTTTTTTTTCAATGGAGCCAATTATAGAAATTTACGTTTCTGTTTTAAGCAAATATCGATCAAAAGTTTAATTTTTATAAAATTATTTTTATTTGGCAAATATTAGTATAGCTTTAGAGTAAAATTGGTCTTAAAAGTGGTAGTTTCGTATAATCTTAAAAAAAAACATGAAAAAATAAAAGTGGATCAGTGGTCTAATTATCTAATTTTAAAATCTATCACAACCCCTTTCAAAGGTATAAATTCGTAAACGCTTTTGGAACTGGACGATTTAAAAAATCAAAACATAATAAAATCTTGGCAACTTCAAATAATATTTACATTTAACGCTTCCCTTACGGTTAGTTGCACAAACGTTAATTAATGTTTAATGTCGCCTTTAAGCTCTAATGAATGCCAAATTTGTAATGGTAACGTCGCTTTAAATTAATGAAAAATTTTATGAACGTTCGTGCAACTGGCTGTTAGACAATTATTATTCATTCAATATCTTTAAAAAAAAAAACACCTATCACATGTCAAATAGTTGAAGGGTGAAGCTCAGGGGTGAAGTTAGTGAATGTCTTTCAAATGTCAAACCGAAAGGGATTGCTATAGATTTTATAATTGGACAATTGACACCCATACCAAAGACAATATAGAAAATATCATTTTCCACACTAACCCGACCTAGAATCGAATCAGAGGCTTCAGAAATGGCGCTATTTTGGAATCAATACATGAGAAATTCGTCTATAGAGGTCGCCAAGGTAAAAGATACAGTTTATACCCACTTACAATTGATAAAATACATACCTCTAGCGGTACCCCATCTCCAACCAGGTTCGGCATCACCCCTCGGCGCTACCGCGTCGCTAACCTACAAAATATTTCAGAGATAAACTTGTGGAAAAAAAACACATTTTAATACGAATTTCTCGATTAATATATATTTTCATTCTTAGTATCAAATTTGAATCTAACGAGGAAGTATTTGAAAAAAACGAAAGCACTAAAAAAGCACCTCCACTAGATGGCGACTCTAGCAAAAGTTGATTTTTGCAGGAAACGAATGGAAACGAAAAGACAGTCATTTCCGTTCCTTTAAACTGACATATTAAAAAACTGAAATTTGCAAAGTTCTAAACTTAGGGGTATGTTCCGATATACACTGCAACCACTGAACAGTATGACGTCAATTTAGTATACTGGAAGCCCGTTCCTTTATAGCTAGTTATACTGGTGACTTTTTAAAACGGAACGCAGTCCAGTATACTGTTAATCCTATTTTTGGCGCCATTTTCAAATTTGTTAATGCAAGGTGAATATAAATATAAAGATTCCCTCTTTTCAAAAGAAAATATTATAAAATTGTATAAAAAAATTATTTATCCATCTTATAATAAACGTAAGTATTTTTTTTTGTTTATTTAGAAACTTATCATTTTCTGATTCTGTTTCGACTGATCACGTGATCAAAAGCACTGCGAGCACCTTACCTCGAAATCTCCAGTGCTCACAGTACAAATATGGCGGCAATTTATGACGTCATAAATTTCCCTAGGGTACTGTAGCAGTGTACTGGCAGTCCATAACGGAACGGATTTTTCAGCAGTAAGACCACTGCGCAGTGCTCGCAGTGTATATCGGAACATACCCTAGATATCAATACAAATACGAAAGAGTACAAATAGAATACGAGTTGTTTGAGTTTTGAAAACTAATTTACTTTTATACATGAAAGAAACCAGAAGGGTTGTCATGCAGGAAACAAGAAAGTACCGTAGCGACATCTAGTTTGTATATTTAAAATAATTCCTCATTAATTTGTTATTAAAATAAATTGTAATTATTATAATAAAATATGTTATCTAAGTTTATACTAATGTAATGTACATAAATTCTTGCATGTGTTACGAACCTTAGTCATTCACTTGATTCAAGTAATCCAAATTATGTAAAGTGTAAATTGTATTGATAACTAAATTTAAAAAAATTGGAAAATATCGAGAAATGTCTAAAGCAAACGACTAATCAAATTATAAAATAAAGACGCTTCTGTCTTTACGCTGAATCTTTTAAACTACACAATTTTATTTTATTTTTTATGGTAGATAAACAGTTGCATAAATGAACTTACAGTATCAATACATAAATCAGATAACCAATGATAGATCCACACAGTTAGCCTTAAAATTAGGTAACAATTTTGAGTTCACTCGGTAGTTGTGAGGTATGACAAGACACATATTACACAAAGGACACACGCAAATAATACATGTCTTCTTTTCCCCTTATTTCTCGGATAGTTGCTCGCTTGTTCTTTCAAAAAAGCATTTTCGACATCTTGGACCTTATTGTCTCACAACTAGAGTTAAAAAGATCCAGATCCAAAATCGTGCTCAAATCATTGAAGGACTTACCCGCTCGTAATAGGAAAGTATTCCGTCTGTAATTCGCTATATTTCTACGTACCTTCAGTGGTATCAGATGGTGTTTTCTACATAGATGATCATATTCAACACTGTCTTTTGGCATTTCTAAATAGTTTTTAGGCATTTTTAGATTTGTTCTATTCAATATTATTAAGAAAACGCAACGATCGCAATCACTGTCGTATTTATTTATTTATTAAACGCTTAAGTAAATTTACCATTTCTAAAAAGTTGTAGCGTGAAGTTCGTGCGTATCTTTGAAATGTCAAAATGAAAAGGATTGCGACAGATTTTGAAATTGGATAATAAGAGCCCAGTTTGTGGGCAAACATATCGCTTTTAGTTATTACCACATGGTTGGAAATATGGTTATGCTATCAAAAGTAAAAAAAAAACCATCAAAGTGAGAGCCGCACTAGCGTACGAAGGGTTCCCTACAAAGAATCACAGTTCACGAGAAACAGCCTGGTGACAGACAAACAGCGAAGACCATTTTTAAAATTATAAGCATATTTTATATTTTTGTTCTGACCATACACAAAAATCTCACATATTTTTAAGTGATTTGAAATTGGGATGAGCTGAGCACACTGATGGGATGAGTAAGGAATTAAAAAATTAAATAAATTGTTGTGGGTTGAATAAAGAACAAAAATAGGATGAGCAAGGAAAAAATAATGCATAGGATGAGATGTCTTAGAATGAATAATCCTAATAATAGTGCTCCCGTTTTACCCTTTAGGTACAGAATTTTAAAGAAATGTAAAAAATGAAATAAAATCCGCTATTATATAGGTTTGAAGATTTCATACTGGTGTGAGACTAGTACATCTACCCTAATATTAAAAATAGAATAGAATAATTATTTATTATACATAAACACCAATCTTAGGTAACAATAATATAGTACAAATAGTGCAATCGGCGGCCTTGTCGCTAAGAAGCAATTTCTTCCAAATCAAATTAAATTTAAATCTAAATTAGGTAGTTTATAATGGCCCCTAACTATACTCCATTCATTATAACATTAGAAAAAAGAGGGTCATAGAAGCAGCAGTAGAGAACATTTTATTTTCAAGATCAATTTAAAAAGTAAATATTATAGGTTTGTTGAAACTTTGAACGTTTTTGTAGTCTGAAAGAGCTGGGCAATTTTTCATTTTTTATGATACCTCGGGGCTGAGATGAGGCCAGCATTTTAAGTAAGTGTATATAATTAGAATAGAATTAAGTTATATCTATGCCCAGGAAAGAAAGGTAAACAGAATGATTTTTTTATTATTACCTTTATAAAATTTACTCAGATATTAGACTATTGATGAAGAAATTGGAAAAACTTCCTGAAACGTCAAAGGTTGAGGGTAGGTATGGGGGCTTAAAGCGTAATTGTTGTAGTCTACTCGGGCCTGCACCGGCCTCGTCCATATTTAACAAAACTCAACTTGATAACAAAAACAAAATTATAACAAAACAGAAATAAAACAATAACAACTCAATAACGGAAAACGGCAAAATAACAAGAAAGAAAACAATCCCAGATTACGTATTTTGACAATTATGAATACATCATAGTCTGACAAAATTAAAAAGTTGTACCGCCGAAACGTTTGAAGGGATTAGGCAGCGTTTTAAATTTGGTAGAGTTATAGTGACATGAGAATCGTGCCGAAACTATCCAACCCTGCTTCTTTAGGTTCTTTATGATGAACAGTTTTTATTGTAAATGTTATTAAATCATTTAAGTTAGTCAAATACTCATAAATATGTTTAATAGATAGCTTAAATGACAACAGTTAAGTATAGCAGCTGGTATTTAAGTGGATATGTAGCAAATTAACCGTCACTCTTAAGAGTAACATGATTATTGATATTTTGTCACAAAGTATACCATAAAAAGAACCTTATTTAACTTCTGTCTAATGCTATAATGAATGGAGTATATAATATATGTCGCATCATCATTACGAAGATCGTTTGATTTAGTTTCTTTTATTTTAATTGCTAGTTACTCGATTACTTAATTACTCGATTGTAAAGAGAGCGTGATCATCGATACCCTTAATTTTATTAGAATGGTGACACTGACTTTGACAGTTCGTTAATAAAAAGCAAATTGCCGCCATTTTGGCACACATTCTGTTTCCGATCACCGAGGAGTAAACACATCCGACGACATCACGCTCATCTCGTTATATTTTCATATGAAAAGTGATAAAATGTAACAAATCCACGTTGGTATACACGCCTGCAGTGTTATTTTAAAGATAGTCCCCCGATATGGACGGTCTATTTGGGCTTCGTAATAGCCCCTTCTGACTACCCGCCGATATATATATATATGTCGGCGAGAAGGCGCTTCGATTGTGCGAAACGCCATCTGTCACCTGCAGCTGTCATCTGTCAAGATCTATGGTGCTTTGCGAAACGTCAAGTTATGACATTGACGGCTGTCATCGCTTGGGAGTGGTCTATGCTTGTTCGAAGATGGGACTTTTACGTTGTGCGGCCATATTGAGCGGACGCAAGCGCAGAACTCTCCGCGTTTCGTATTGCAATTCGTTTGCATCGAGTTATTATTAATGTACTCCGATTAGATAATTAAGTAATTCAACTAAATAACTGATTTGTGATCTATATGCGATCTTATTTCGAAGGAATATCTCGACCACTAGTCAGATTGCGGATGTTGACTAACCTAACTTTCCGCCGGCCCCGCATGACTTCCCGACATATATATATATATATATATATATAGGTATGTAATGTAAAAGTTTATTAACTAGAACTTACCAGATCACCGGGTTGGAGGCTTAATTCGTCTACAGTCCGCGCTGTAAACTCGTAGACGCACCGCCAACGTGGCGTAGACGCAGCGGCGGGGACAGGCTCTGTCGCTAAAGTAATAAAGACCATATTTGAAGAACAACTATGAACATGGATGGCAGAGAACTTGATTGTTTTACAATGCGGATGACGATTGAAATATAAAATAATACCGGCCACGTACACGAAGGGTTCCGTACAAAAAACTAGCAAAGAGTAAAGAGTTATTTATTTGCTAGAAATGCGGTTTACAACAAAGGTATTAGCAAAATAATAGTCCAAGCACATTTCGCTATAAATAGCATGTTAAAAAATTTGAAAATAATATTAAAATTGATAATTATTAAATTAATATTCATACAAACATAATATGTAACAATTAGCAAGTACATCAGATATTAAAATAAATAATCAAAATCACACATATAATTTTAATACAATTAATAATCTTTCCGCCAACGACTTCATCCGCGTTTTCCATTATTTCTTTGCTCCTAATAGTTGCAGCGTGATGTTATATAGCCTTAAGCCTTCCTCGATGAATGGTATATTCAACAAAAAAAAAATCATTTCATACCAGTAGTAGTTCCTAAGATTACTGAGTTCAAACAAACAAACTCTTCAGTTTTAATAATAATATATTTTTTAATAATATTTATTTATTTACACACAGCCAAAAATACAAGAAAGTAAATTAAAAATTAATACTTAAAATTAAACATTATAATTCAATGGCTAACGAATTTTATAAATAGATTAGCGTCTGTAGCCGAGCTAGTTTATTACTGTATTTCGGCTAACAGCGCCCTCCCAGCATTGTCTATATCATCACTATTAAAAGATTATGGTAGTTAAATTAATTGGTAATACATAAAAAAAAAACAATATAAAAGTATAAATAAAATTAAATCAAATCAAATTAAATTAAATGACCTTAAAATAAATGACTTTGGTGGCCCCCTTTGAGTAAAATGTTAATGAATGTGTGAGTGTAGGAGGGTGAGTTACAGTAGCTATAAGATTTGATTCATGAGTGTACAATTATAATTAATAAAATATGAAAAATAAATAATAATTTAAATATATCAAATGATGTAAAATGAATATAGTCAACATAGATAAAAAAAAATTATCCAAAATATCAATATAGATAATATTAGTATAGATTATAATTAAACTAAAACTAAAAAGAATCGTTTTTCGTATGCGAGCCCTTAAATATTTATTAAATTCCGCTTTCAAGTATCAACTTTCACGGTTCACGAGATACAGCTTGGTGGCGGACAGACAGACAGTGGATTCTCAGTAATAGGGTTCCCATTTTACCCTTTGGTATGGAAAAGAAAAAATTTCTTTTTTAGTCCTTCAATCAGAATAGAAACATATTAGATACGGAATTTATTTTACGCTAGTTTAGAAATAGCTTAGATAATAGGCGTTAAATTTGAGGAGGGGGAGGCACTTTACGTCACAACTATGTAGAAAATTTACAAAGGTGTTGATATAATGCGACATTTCAACTCATTGTACCGCCGTAATTTATTAATTAAGCATATTAAATAAAAAAATTAACGTATTTCATATATTTTAATAATCTACCAGACGGACGGAAAAGCAAAAATTATTCAACAACCCTATTCCAATTAAAGACAAATTAAGGATATCGTTAATTGAATAACTTCCGAAAATACGTCGCGATCGCATATCAAATAGTTGTAGCGTGAAGTTCGTGAATATCTTTCAAATGCCAAATTGAATGGGAACGCGATATATTTTAAAATTACAGAATAAGGCCCCAGTTGAAAATAGGTGGTTTTTTTATTTAAGGTTGATTTTAGTCCAAATTTCAAAAGAAATAAATAGTAACAATATAGCATTTTCTCACCAGTTGTGGTGGGGGCGTCCCCCCACGCTTCCTCCTGAGTTCCCGAATCGCCCCATGCATCGTTCGATGTGCCCCAATCGGCATCTGGAATAGACATTATTATTGAAGAAAATCTTTTTACGCTTTCTAAATTAATATATGAGTCAAATCAGATTATCTCTATATACAATAGGCGTTAGGGGTGTCGAAAGTCTTTATGGACCGAAACAGGAATGCTGATGGGACCAAACTAATCGAACTTTTATAAACAGTTCACGTGGAGAACGTGGATCGAAATAGGAAATTTATACTGAATGGTCCGAAACAGGAACTTGGAATGAATGGATCAAAACATGAAACTTGTAGACAATGAACCGAAACTGCAACTTGGATTCTTAAGATGGAAATTAGAAACGTAGGGTGAATAGACAGAAACAGAAAATGCTTGTCAACAGGAAACATTTGTTTGTTCGGATCAAACATGAAACAGGAATTCATAGGGGCCGAAAAAGGAATTCATAAGGGCCGAAACAGGAATTCCTTGGACTGAATCAGGAATCGACGTGAGTCGAATCAGGAATTGTGGTGGGACGAATCAGGAATTCTGGTGGGCCGAGTTAGCATTAACCTTGCGCGGCGTACGGGTCGGCGGGCGCGGTGGTCCTGGTGCGCGCGTACTCGTCCCGCCGCGTCTCGTAGAGGCGCCACACCTGCTCGCACTTGCCGCTGAGCTCGGCCACGCGCGCCGTCAGCTCGGACAGCTGGGCGTTGTTGGACTCGAGGTCCGTTTTCTTGCTCTCCACTATAGCCTTGGCCGCTTCCACCTCGAAACAAAAATACCGTATCGGCCCACTCCCATTTCTTTTAAAATTATTCATCATCATTATCAGCAACCCTTCTACGTCCCCACTGCAAGGGCTGAGGCCTTCCTTATAAATGGTTAAGGAGGATTGACCGTGACACTCCATGCGGAACCAATGCGGATTGGAGGGTATTAACAACTGCTGATGCAGCCGGGACCAACGGCTTAACGTGCCTTCCGAAACACGGAGTAGCTCGAGATAATAATTTTTCGGTCACCCATCCTGTGACAGACCCTTGCGAAAGTTGCTTAACAACAACGATTGCGGGCCACTACAATTAATGATACTTTCACCGATATCATTATATTTTTTTTATTCCAATCTAATTTTTATTAATTTGTTATATATATAAGAAATAACCGGCTACGTTCGTGTGGAAAGTAGCCGAAGTCACTCCTTATTTATGCTATCTACCAATGAAAATCACGTCACAATAGGTCCAGCCGTTTCAGTGATTAGCCGGAACAAACAGACAGCAAAATACATTTTTGTATATATACCGTGTATATACATATGTGTTGAGTATAAAGCGCTTATTTTAATATTACAAACACATATTTCAATTTGATTATATATAGAAAAAGGGGTAACTTAGACTACTTTCCACGCGGACGAAGTCGCGGGCAAAGCTAGTAAATAAATAAAAATGATGTAACCAAAAACGATTACAATAAGACCGCTCTGTAATTTAAAATCTAATTTAGAATTCGACACTGTATCTACCTTATAAAACGAGGGCATAAGTTAATACTCGGTTTAAACATCGCTATAAGAGAAGTAGCTCGGTGGCATAGTGGATAAGCGCCGTGGCCCTCGATCGTTGTCGTTAAGCAACTTTCGCAAGGGCCGGTCACGGGATGGGTGACCGAAAAAAATTGTCTCTCCCTACTCCGTGCTTCGGAAAGCACGTTAAGCCGTCGGTCCCGGCTGCATTTGCAGTCGTTAATACCCGCCAATCCGCATTGGGCCATCGTGGAGGGTCATGGCCCATCCTCCTTAACCAACCATAAGGAAGGCCTAAGCCTCTTCAGTGGGGACGTAAAAGGGCTGATGATGATGATGATAAGAGTTGTGATAACCTCCCATCCCGATCTGATTAACGCATTTTTCTAAAAATTCTTGGACAAGGAATAAATATATATTATATACCTTGTCCCGAAGTTGTTTCAGTGTGACTTCCATCATATTAAGTTTGCCATCTTCACCGGCGCCCTCTGACGCTTTTGCCTGAAACAATAATTATTAATAATTAATTAAGACTATAATACGAGTAAGCTGCAATATAATTAAGAATTAAGTACCTTGATAAGCTGCTTAAGTACTGTTAAGTACAATGAAATTAGCAGCACTAATACATACACACAGTAAACAAAAATTGTACATATATATTTTTTCTGTTAGTGTATAATATACTATTTCCGATTTCTTTACTCGACATCTTTAGTTCCATCGCGTTTGTATTTAGGGTATGTTCCGATATACACTGCGACCACTGAACAGTATGACGTCAATTTAGTATACTGGAAGCCCGTTCCTTTATAGCTAGTTATACTGGTGACTTTTTAAAACGGAACGCAGTCCAGTATACTGTTAATCCTATTTTTTGGTGCCATTTTCAAATTTGTTAATGCAAGGTGAATATAAATATAAAGATTCCCTCTTTTCAAAAGAAAATTGGAAAATTGTATAAAAAAATTATTTATCAATTAAATCCATCTTATAATAAACGTAAGTATTTTTTTTTGTTATTTAGAAACTTATCATTTCTATTCTGTTTCGACTGATCACGTGATCAAAAGCACTGCGAGCACCTTACCTCGAAATCTCCAGTGCTCACAGTACAAATATGGCGGCAATTTATGACGTCATAAATTTCCCTAGGGTACTGTAGCAGTGTACTGGCAGTCCATAACGGAACGGATTTTTCAGCAGTAAGACCACTGCGCAGTGCTCGCAGTGTATATCGGAACATACCCTTAGTTTTAGACGTTTCTGATCTTTTACAGGTTCCGTGTTCACATAAGACTTAAGTGTCTTTTCAATTAAAAGTATAGCTTAAATCAAAAACTAATACTATCGAACACATTCACCATATTTTTTTTTATATATTATGGCAACGTAAACATTCATTAAATTGAATTATTTAAAAAATACATTCAACTTGTTTATTTACGCCTGGCTACCATAATCTACCACCAGTTCCATTATCATTTATCAATAGTTTAAATTAATGTTATACAGGGTTATGTAATTAGAGCGGATCCTTTTAAGGGATCGTAGGGGAGGTCATTTATAATTATTTTCACCCCACATTGTATATCCGAAAGTTATTTTTTTAAATGCATTTTTGTTTGCAAAATTTACAACAATCAAAACCTTTTTTTTTATTTAAAACTCTGTAGTTTCTGTTTGGGTCAAGATTATTTGGGTTTTATTATTATTTATCACGAAATGGAATGTCATCTCTCAAAACTGTCAACAAAATTAGATTCTGACCATAATTTATTCTTTCGACTTTTTTAAAGAAAAAAATAATTACAATTTATCACAAAAATGGCTCACTTTCGGATACATAATGTGAGGTGACAATAATTATAAATGACCTCCCCTACGACCCCTTAAAAGGGTCCGGTCTAATTACCTATAACCCTGTATATATATATTTTATATGATATCTTATCAGTTTTTTTTAAGTTTATGATCGGTCGTTACACATCAGTGAGACATCAGTTCTATCTTATAACTTACTTTAGCATCCAGTTCTGCTTTCTCTTTGTTGAGAGCTATTTGCTTGGCGTTGAGTTCCTTAACTCTTGCCTTGAGTTGTTGCATCTCAGACATACTCATGTCACGGTCAGATCTAAACAAAATTAACTAATCAGGGGCTATCCGTACATCAAACATCAAAGGTTCCCGCGGCTATTAATGCCCTATATAATTAGGCCACATCAAACATCAAAGGTATCCACGGCTATTAATGTCCTGTATAATAAGGCCTACATATTGTTAAATTTATAGATACGACGTTTTATATTAGCACAAGTATTGTTTGAAGAGGAAAAAAAGTGTATTAAGACGATTTTGAACAGCGGGCCTTACTATAACGCAGGCCTTTATTGCCATAGTTATTTTAGTAAATTACATGAAACGTTCCGTTCGAGGTAGTGTTACTATAAAGTACCGGTGGCTATTAACGCCCTGTATAATAAGGCCCATATGTAGTTACATTTATAGATATGGCATTTAATGCTAGCACAAGTATGGTTTGAAGAGGAATAGAAGTAGGTGAATTTAAGAGGAGGACCTTATTACAACGCGGGCCTTAAATGCCGTAGGTGTTTAAAAAAATTGTTTTATTCGATTTGTATGGAAATTCGTGTGACGTAATTTATGTATGGCCCCGTATATTATTATTATTCAATTTATAAATGTTCACATCGCTAAGGCATACTCTCTCCCCCCATGGTCCAAATAGAAGAACGGACCATGCGAGGCCAGTGCGGACTCGTCGATGATTATCACTGTAGAAGGCGGGAGTAACGGCTTAACGTGCCTTCCGAAGAACGGAGGATAAATCTCGAAATAATAATTTTTCGGTCACCCATCCTACGGCCACCTTTGCGAAAGTTTCTTAATTTCCGCATCGCAGACCAAACACAAGTTAACTACTAAACATTTTGTACACAGAACATCTATATTAAAATTAGCTTTCGAGCCGTTAAAATATTCAAAAATAATTAAATAAAAAGACAAGCATTAACCCACCTCATTCCGTCTATGGTACATTTGGCGGAGGCAACAGCAGTCCTTTGTGAAATAGTAAAAAAAAATGATTAATACTACAATCCAATATAATATAATAATATAAAATGAAATGAAAATATCTTTATTCAAGTAAGCTTATTACAAGTACTTTTGAAACGTCCAAAAAAATTTTTTTCCCCTACCACTTGTTCAGGACGTCTTTTAGCTGACAAGAAGAACAAGCGAAAGAAACTTACCAGCTCTTTATCATAAGTAATGACCAGAGGTCGGAATTAGGTAGAGTTATTTATGTACTTGCATCGAAATGTTGATATTAATGTGGACCTTCCCTACAAATGTGGCAACATCGCGCGTATTGGTATTTTGCAACTTTGGACATCCGATGTCATTGATGTAATTTTGGCAACGTCGTGCGTGCAGTAGTTTAAATTGTGTAAAAGTAAATAACTTTTTATTTAAAAAATCACGGAATTTTTTCTGCTCTTTAAAATTAATCTCGGGATTTGAGGCATATCCACTTTATTCTTTCGCTGTATGAAATCAGTGTAAGTACATGAATAACTACATAATAACTCTACCTAATTCCGACCACTGAAATGAAATGAAATGAAAATGAAATGAAATGAAATGAAATGAAAATATCTTTATTCAAGTAGGCTATTACAAGCACTTTTGAATCGTCCAAAAAACTTTTTTCCCCTACCACTTGTTCAGGACGTCTTTTAGCTGACAAGAAGAACAAGCGAAAGAAACTTATCAGCTTTTTATCATAAGTAATGACATTTACATAAATCATGTCATTACCAAAATAATATGTATTATCAATTTATCACAATAGTAAATACAACTTTCAAAGTCTGTAGGACATAAGTTGAACATATAATTAGTCTTTATAGAACAAAGCGAAGGCTATTAATTCCATGCATTGCGATCCTTAAAATAATCATCAACTTTATAATAGCCTTTACTCACAAGTATATTCTTTACATGAATTTGAAATTTATTTATGGGTAGGTCAATTACATTTTGTGGAACTTTATTGAACATAGCAATACATTTACCCAGAAATGATCCTCTGGTTTTTTGAAGTCTGAAGCTTGACTGGTAATGACATTTACATAAATTATGTCATTACCAAAATAATATGCATTATCATAATGCCAAAACACACATGGCATTAAATTAGTTAAAAAAAATAAAGTAAGAACTATAAACATAAACGCACAAATAAAAAATATTGCCCAGACGCCATTATGTTTCTCGCTACCGTAGCACTGTGTGACGTCACTTAGTGCATTTGTAGGGAGCGTTTTCGTTTAACCAGCAGCAGTTCCACAAACACAGCCCTTTATCTCCGAAACTATTAATCTCAGCTATGATGTTACTTCTACATTATTTCTTAGATAATAATAATAATAATAATAATGATGATGATGATGATGATGATGATGATGATGATGATTATAATTATAATAATCCTCCCCCCCTCGAATCGTGGAGGGGTTGGGAGGAGTAAATTTTAAACTAAATAATAATAATAACTCTTTATTGTCAATATAACAATGTAACATTTGGCGGTCTTATCGCTTAGAGCGATCTCTACCAGACATCCTTTGGATGGAGAGAGCTAAATGACAATCAGGAAACGGGGGTGCAAACTAAAATAATCTAGTAGATTTACAGCCAGTTGCACAAATATCCATTAAAATTGTCATTAGTTTAAAGTGACTTTACCCATACAATTTTGTCATTCATTAGAGCTTAAAGGCGTTGTTGAGGATCGTCAGCTGAACCGACCTTTTTTATACGTTGTCTTTGTTTTTATAGTTTTTTTATTATATTTGATTTTTTATTTAATTTTGTTTTTGTATTGACATATGGATCATTATTGATTGTCACGTGCTTTGACGAGGATATTTGTTTTGTGGACAATATAGTTTTGAGAAGATAAGTTGTTTATTTTCACACCTGTGCCCACACCATTCCTCGTCACCCTCTTCGTCGATAACAGGCGTCATTAAACGTTAATGAACGTTTGTGCAACTGACCGATCAAATCATAAATATTTGAATGTAAAAAATAAAAAACTATAAATACTAATAAGACATAAATAATTAATACAGATATTAATGGAATATTTATTTGTGAAATAAAAAAAGTAGTCTAAGGTTTTTTTTTCAGCAATATGACGTGTTTGAAGTGAAATCTAAATATTTTACACATTGCCAGTAGATCAGCAGGTATATAGAATCTCTAGGCGTTGTATACACTGCCCAGTCAAAGTATATAATGGAGAGTGCAATAGGCTTGTGTCCTACAAGTGAAAATATAGGTTTTTGTTATATCTTCGAAAAATATGAACCATTTTAACAAAACAAATTTTAAAGCCACTGATTTGGAAAATATTACGCTTTGAAAACTTGAAAAAAGTAGAGAAAATCTACTACAAAAATTTGCTGAAATACATAAGGCATTAAATTAGATATAAAAAATGTTACAACTTTCATTATAACATCTATAAACATAAACGCACAAATAACAAAGATATTACAAAAAATGTCCAGACGCCCATACACTTTTCGGCTACTGTAGCACCGTGTGACGTCACTGAGTGCCTTGAATTTGTAGGGAGCATTTTCGGCCAACTAGCAGCAGTTCTACAAACAGCACCGTATCTCCGAAACTATTAATCGCAGACATGCTGTTACTTAGACATTATTTCTCAGATGTTAATGGACTATTTGTTTATGAAATAAAAAAAAGATGTCAACTAGCCAATTCATAATATTTCATACATTATTTGGAGATCTTAGGTATATATACATGGGTGGGTATTTTATAGTGTACCGGTTATATTGATACTTACCTAGTATCGCGTATCTGCTTAGCGAGGTCAGCAGCCCGCTGGGTGACCGTGTTCAGATCTCCTGTTAATGCTTGAGTCTTAGCTTTGAGACTCAATACTTTACTCTGTTCCTCAGTACGCATCGCTTCCAGTTCACGTGTTCTGTGTGAACAAATTAATTAAATAAATAAATAAATATTGAACAACATCACATACATTGCTCAGATTCCAAGATGAGTAGCTAAAGCCCCCGTATTATGGAGTATCTGAGACAACGAAGGTACCACAACACCCAGACTCGAGTCAATATAGAAAAGTTCATTTTCTACATTGACCCGACGGGAAACCGAACCCGGGACCTCAGAGATGGCGACACCTTGAAACCGGCGTGCGAACCACTCGCCTACGGACGTCGTTAATTGATATTTCATCGTCATTATTGGAGTCAATAGTTATTATGTGAATAAATGGGGTCCCAATATTGAACCTTGGGGCATCCAATAAAGTTAACTGTAGGTTTGACTTTATATTAACTATCAAAATACCCATCAGCCTATAAATCCCACTGTTGGGGTTAAGGTTTGGACCTTTGGATAACAACAGCTAAACAAACCCATATTAGACCGGGGTAAATAAATGAGGTCTCAATATTGATCCTTGGGGTATCTAACATTTAAGCTACATATCTGAATGTGTCTAGATTTCTGTCTGAAGTTTTAAATTGTATTCTTCAATCGAGTTGTTCATTGCAATGTACTTTATATAATACTATAAACTCCAACAATTCTCTGTAATCCTGGTACTTTTTTCTGTACATTAAATTTAATAATGGCAACTTTGAGGTTATTTCGAATAGTTATCGTTTATGAATGAATGAATAATATGATATAGATGTATAGAGCAAGAAGCCCGACTTACACATTTCCCTGGGTTAAAAAGAGAGGGAAGATTGCCGTCACCTGTCTCTCTCATTACTCGCGTATGCGTAGTTAGTACGGAGAGGAAGCATAGCAGGACGATTTGTTTATAGCTGTCAGTCAGTAGAGAGAGATAGACAGGGTTCGGGATCTTCTTTCTCTATCGGGAAGTGGTTCTTCTTGCTCTATTTATATTAATCTACATTTTAAAATGAGAGCTAAAATGGCTTGATATAAATAAATAAATAGTAAAAAGTACTAGGACAACAGAAGTCAGTAGGAGGTTGTTGATGAAATGAATACGAATATTTAAACCAGGGTTCAGAGAGGTAATTATTAGTATAATTATATAATTATCTATCTAATGATAATTATAAGACACCACATAAGCTATTTTTGTAATTTAGGACTTGTTATTAAAGGGGAATCTTTCAACAACTATATAAAATGTCTAGAAAGGACCTACGAGAAAAAGTATGCCCATTTTTAATAAAAAATATAAAAATAATTTATTAAAAAACAGCAAATAAAAGTTTATTCACATATAAATGACTTTCTGTATTAAAAAAAAAATGTTGCCAGTTACTATGGAGAACTATCAGATAATTATAATATATATATATATATATATATATATATATATATATATATATATATATATATTATCTTGATAATAGGGATGATGACTAATTTTTGTTTGTTTGTCCGTCAGGTAGAGTGTTAAAAAATATTAAACACGTATTTTTTTATTTTTTTCGTAATCATAAAATTACGGCGTTACATGGAGTTGAAATTCCGCATGACGTCACGTTATGGTACGTTTTCTACTCAACTGTGACGTAGCGAGCCCCCACTCCTCAACTTTAATGCCTGTTATCTAAGCTACTTCTTGTTAAATTGAAGTAAAAAAAATGCGTATCTAATATTTTTCTATTATCTGACTGACGGACTAAATAGAGTTGCATTTTTTTTAACCCAGTCGTCATTGCTATTACGACCCCTGATTTAAATATAAAAAAATAAATTATACATCGCAAATCTCACCTCTTCTTCTCCCATTCCAACTGGCATTGCCTCTCCATCTCTTTCCTAGCCGCTTCACGTTTCTCCTGAAGAAAAAAAAAACAATTTAAATTGATATTTTAATTTAACGTGGAAACATTACATTTCTTTATTAGGGTTGCGTTCTAGTTCATATAAAACGGTTCTCTTATCGTTTGTCGTATAAAAAGGGTAACGGCTCATAATGAATAATGCTCTTCTAATTAATAATAATATTTATTTGTTATTTGCCTTTAAATGAGGTCCATCAAAGGTAGAAATACAATATTAATGAGTCCAGCCCATTTGATGATGATAAAATCACATCATACAAGTATAATTATCGAACAATTAATTAAATTAACAATTGATTAATTAAATTATATTATTAACATTCACATGATGTCAAACAAATTAAAATGTTGCAATAATTTCAAAATAGAAAACTAATATCATAATAATAGAAAATTTGAATTCGGAGTTACCTTCTTTAAAAATTTAAACTTTTTCATGATACCAAAACCAGTCAAATACAAATGTTATAGCCAGAAATATTTTATTACAAGTTTATCTTCTGTAATTAATTGCAAGTTTTATTTAAAAAATCTAAACTATTAATACAGATCGATCCTGAATAGAAAAAAATTACCTGTTCTTCTTTTTGCTTCCGCATTATTTCCTCTTGCTCTTTCTTCTGCGCCTCTAGGCGTATCTTTTCTCTCTTTTCCGCTTCCTCCCTCTCTTTGCGTTCCCTTTCCGCCTGTTTTGTAATGAATATATAAATAGATAATTGTATTTTTTTTTATAAAAAATATATATTATTGAATTAATAAAATATAGATTTATTATTACCTCTGCTTCCTTATAAGTCCGTGGTAAAAAAAGAATGTAACATCAGTATTTTATTAAAAATATATAAATTAAATAGTTTAAATAGATACGAGGCATCCAAGGAACACATGACGTCAAAATTCGTTTTATAATTAGAACACATTGGTTCAATAAGCCGGTAAAATTTCGTCCATGATCAGTGAAACATTCGTCCATAACGAGTCAAACTTTCGTCCAAAACACAACTTACTGTAACGAAACAATTATTATAACAAACCTAAATAAAAGTATCAATCGATAAATAGATTTCTTTTTTAATTTTAACAAATCTGAAATAATTTTATAGTAGATTTCTTAACTTTTGTACAACTTGTTTGTGTATTGGATTGAAGATGTGTGTAAATAAAAAAAAATGTACAACCCGATAGTGATCAAACACGAATCTGATCAAACGCCAAAGCAACAGATAACGGACTTAATATATTTATTTAACACTTTATAAACATATATAGTGCAATGGCGGACGTAATACCTTAGACTGCCTCTACCAGATAACCTTAGAATAATGTGGGGAAACCGAGTGAGTAGGGTGCACAATTAAAATTTAAATAATTAACAGTTAATACTTTAAACATAATATTATATAAGTAGCTCGGTGGCGTAGTGGATAAGCGCCGCAGCCCGCGATCGTTGTCGTTAAGCAACTTTCGCCAGGGTCGGTCACGGGGTGGGTGACCGAAAAATTATCTCGAGCTGCTCCGTGCTTCAGAAGGCAAGTTAAGCCGTTGATCCCGGCTGCATTTGCAGTCGTTTATACCCTCCAATCCGCATTGGGCCAGCGTGGAGGTTCATGGCCCATGCTCTTTAACCATCCATAGGGAAGTGCATTAGTTAAGTACACTGAATTTATTGTTAAGTTTTACTATGGCAGCAACATTGAATTAACGAAGAAATAATCAGCTGTTTCATACTGTCAACGATTGTAGGTATTACAATTTTAGCCCCCATAGTCTTGGCATATAATACTATTGCACCTCATATACAATTATAAAACGACAAGCGATTAGACGAGTCTACCTGTTTCAATAAACGGTTACGCAATTTGCTTTTAAAGCTGTATTACTGGACATTTTGTTATCTAAAGGTATACTCCATTCATTATAACATTAGAAAAAAGAAGGTCATAGAAGCAGCAGTGCAGAACATTTTATTTTCAAGATAAATTTAAAAAATATTATTAGTTTTGCTGAAACTTTGAATGTTAGTTAGTCTGAAAGAGCTGGGCAAATTTTACGATACCTCGGGGTTGAGGTGAGGCCAGCATTTTAAATTCATCTTTTACTCCCAAGTCAACATGGAACTAAAACTGAAACTATCTGTCTGTTGTTTTGATAAATTCTAATTGTATGTGTAATTAGTTAGTCAAAGGTTGAGGGTAATGCTTAGAGCGTAATTTTTGTAGGCCACTCGGGCTTGCACGGGCATCGTCCATATTTAACAAAACTTAACAACAAAAACAAAACAAAAATAAAACAATAACAACTTAATAACGGAAAACGGCAAAACAACAAGAAAGGTAGTAGCATTCACAATGGATGACAATCCCAGATTACGATTTTAACAATTATGAATAAATAATAGTCTGACAAAATTAAAAAACTGTACTGCCGAAACGTTTAAAGGGATTAGGAAACGTTTTAAATTTGTAGAGTTATAGTGACATGAGAATCGTGCCGAAACTATCCAACCCTGCTTCTTTAGGTTCTTTAATATGAACACTTTTTATTGTAATAGTTATTATACCATTCAAGTTAGTCAAATATTCATACATTTGTTTATGAGATAGCTTAAACGGCAACGGTTAAGTATAGCAGCTGGTATTTAAGTGGATATGTAGCAAATTAGCCGTCACTCTTAAGAGTAAAATGATTATTGATATTTTGTCACAAAGTATACCATAAAGAGAACCTTATTTAACTTCTGTCTAATGCTATAATGAATGGAGTAAAGCTCAATCCACTAAAGGACAGTCTTAACGACCCTTCGTTATTATTCTCGTTTATAACTGAGCGGTGAAGACAGACAAACGAACAAGCAAACGATTGGAATATGAGCGAAGAGATTTATATAAATTCCTTTAATACTAACACTAGCCAAATATTCGTCCATTACCAGTCAATCCTTCGTCCATATCAAGTCAATCATTCGTCCATACTGATACTCACCTTCTCCTTCATATGTTGGTCGGCTAGTTGCGACCTACGTCTCTCCAGTTCGGCCTGACCACGAGCCAAGTTCTCTTTACGGCGCTCCTCGTAAGATTTACTACTGCCGGTAGATGAAACCGATTCGCGTCTACATTCGCAAACGAAAAAAAAATGTTTGTAATTTTAAATTTAACTAGATTCCCGGCTGCGGCTTCGCCCGCGTGTTCCCTACGGAACTGTTAAGTTAGACAAAAAAAGGAGCCCTTAATTTAATAATTCATGTGGAAAAGGTTTCTTATCATGACGCGTATATAATAGGGTTGACGACTAAGTAAAAAAAAAATTAGATACAATTCTTTTTATACTTCAATTCAACAAGAAATAGATAATACGCATTAAAGTTGAGGAGTGGGGGCTCGATACGTCACAGTTCTGTAGTAAATGTGCAAAAGCGTGACGTCACGTGACATTTTAATTCAATTTATCGGTATAATTTATTGATTATACAAAAAAAAAAATACGTATTAATATTCTTCAAGAATTTACCAGACGAACAAACAAACAAAATTTAGTCGCCATCCCTATTACAATAAAAAATTTAATAGACTACACAACTTTTACTTTTTTCTTTCATTCTTTTATTTACTATTTTTTCTGGATAAAATATAGCCTATCTCCACCGCGTATTATATAGCTTCCTGTAGGTGAAAGAATTTTTGATACCACTCCAGTTCAATGCAAACAAACAAACCGAATCTTTCCTCTATATAACATTTTATATAGAGCAACTTTCGCAAAGGTCAGTCACGGGATGGGTGACCAAAAAAAAAATTATTTCGACCTACTCCGTGCTTCGGAATGCACGTTAAGCCGTTGGTTCCGGCTGTATTTGTAGTAATCTAATACGCATTGGGACAGCGTGGAGGGTCCTGGCCCATCCTCCTTAACCCAAGGAAGGCCTGAGCCCCTGCAGTGGAGACGTAACATGATGATGATGGCTGATGATGATGAATATCAACATCTACATACTTGGAGGCCTAATAGATATCCAAATAAACAGTTCCCAAGGGAACACTGGCGGAAAGCTGGTTTCACATAAAATCTAGAATATCAGATGTTTGGAGGAATCTTATTTAATAATTCTCACCTAGTGCTAACCCTTCCAGGTGGCGTAAAAGAAAAACATTGGTTATTAACTCCGGACAAAACAGTTGGCAGATTGCAATTTGAACTTTATGTCTATGAAAATAAAGACCAACTCACCGGAACGTTGGAGGTATCAGTTCTGGTGGTAACTTAGCAGGTACAGGCTCTCCTTGAGTGGCTTTCTCGCATAAGTACATAGCTAAGACGAACTCTTCGCAGCCTGTGGCAAAAATTTGCTGTTGGAGTTGCGAGAAATATATCTTACCCGCTCTAGCATATAGCGGTTCTGAGCGATAGTAAAGGTTACATACTGTTAAGAATTGTAGTGAATTTCAAGGTTTGCTCTGGCAACATTTTTTTAAGTTATATTCAATGTAATTTGTGATTGATTATTTTATTGAAGTCAATTTATTTTCATAATTTATTTATTAATTTATTTGAAGGGATAGTACACAGCTCAGTACAAACTAATATTAATTACAATTTTAATTACAATCTTAAGGCCAATTACGGCTATCCAAAAAATTACCCCTTGTGATATTTCGTGATTTTTTACAAACCCCCCCCCCCTTTCTTCTGTGCTGTTTCGTTAATTTTTAAATTACAGTCGATATGATCTGAAAAATGTGTGTATGAGCCAGTTCTCAATTTTTCACCGTTTCCATCAGTGGCACGGAACGGGATGGGTGACCCTCACCTAGTTTCCCGTCGGCGTCCAGGTCCGCCAGCGCCCAGATCTGCGCGAGCGCCGCCTGCGGCAGCCGCGACTGCAGCATGATGGAGCGCGCGGCCGCTCCAGATACGGAGCCCGTCTTGGCGCGGTCCGTGGCATTGAACAGCTGAGTGTACCTGGTACACGTCGTGACCACAGTGTAAATATAGTTGCCGTGTGTCAATATTAAACTAATTCTCGTATTTTAAACTATGGTCTTTTGCTGAGATTTACCGATTTTTAACCGACTTCAAGAAAAGGAAGGTTATCAATTCGACCCGTACGTATGTGATAATTCCGGAACTGGCCAGTTTTCGCATATGTTAGTTTTTATAACAATAGTGTAAATATAAGTTAATATTACCGTCTGAACAAATGTGCCAAATTTCAATAAAAATATATTATATATATATGTCGCATCATCTTTACGAAGATAGTATGATTTAGTTTCTTTTATTTAATTTGCTAGTTACTCGATTACTTAATGACTCGATTGTAGAGAGAGCGTGATCATCGATACTTTTAATTTTATTAGAATGGTGACACTGACTTTGACAGTTTGTTAATAAAAAGCAATTTGCCGCCATTTTGGCACACATTCTGTTTCCGATCGCCGAGGAGTAAACACATCCGACGACATCACGCTCATCTCGTTATATTTTCGTGTGAAAAGTGATAAAATGGAACAAATCCACGTTGGTATACACGCCTGCAGTGTTATTTTAAAGGTAGTCCTCCGATATGGACGATCTATTTGGGCTTTGTAAAAGCCCCTTCTGACTACCCGCCGTTATGTATGTTTTTTGTTTGTTAATTAGTTATTACAATTCGATTGATTAATCATGTCAGAACTCAACCCGTAAACGAAATGTCTGAAACATTTAAAATTGACAACCCTATGGTTCCAATGAAGCGTAGGTATCTATTTTATTAGGCTTAGTTTCTATACTGTGTGTGAATTCGGAAGTCATGCGCGTGCACTCGTTTCGGAGATTCATTTCCATTCATTGATATTTAATAGCTCGCCCGGACATTTTTTATTTTTCGATAACTCATTAGTTTTTTTTTTTTTTATATATAGTGTAAAGGCCAATTTTGATCTACATTACATGTTTTACGTATCTAACTTATTTATTTGAATAAGGATTAATACTGTATTGTTAAAAATAGGTTCGTAAATAACCCATTTACTGTTTTAAGTATACGTAAAAATGGTGGGTTATCCTTGGAATATAGACATATACCACCGCGGACTTTTTTGCAAGTTTCGAACTTTGCAAATTTCAGTTTTTCAATATGTTAGTTAAAAGAAACGGAAATGACTGTCTTCGGTCCATTCGTTTCCTGCAAAAATCAACTTTTGCTAGAGCCGCCATCTAGCGGAGGTGCTTTGTTGGTGCTTTCTTTTTATTTTTCAACACTTCCTAATTATATTAAGCAAATAAAGTCAGATTGTGAATTTAATTGGCGTGGATTTTTAAACCGAACTCTAACTAGTAACAATATTAATACGTTTGTCGGTCGAGCCGCCAATCACAGAATATCGAGCAAAATTTACGTTCTCGGTGGGATATGACTCACTTCAACTTCTGCGGTTGCGGTATCCCCCACTCCATGGGCGGAGGACTCACAACGCCCATCGGCAGATCAGTGGGACTGGTCACAACTGATCCTAAAACAATATACAATTTAAAACTTTTAAATTGACTAGTACGAACTATCATAACAATAGGCAGCAACCTCGACAGAGTTTGCGATCTCAATCTTAACGAATTCGATCGCTAAATCAGAGCGATCGTAATTTGACGATTATTGCGAGTCTCTACAGTTAAGTACATTTTTTATTTATTATTATTGTGATAAAAACGACGTACATCAATTACAATAATCACACATTACAAAAAAAGAATAAAACTAACAATTCACATTAATTATTAAAAAATTAAAATTTAAAACATATAAACAAAAAGGGAAAGTAAATTAAATATTACATACGTTATTCAAATAATTAAGATGATAGTGTGTGTAGTTAATGTACCAGTATAAGAACTTTGTAAAAATAAGAAAAATAAAGGTTTCTATCCTGGAAAACATCAAATTATTAGCCTACCTCTTCGCCGATGTCCACATAAATAAAATAGGTCAATAAATTAACAATTACATTAAATAAACCAGTCAATATCTTCACTGTCAGAGTTACGAGATTTACTCCATTAGTCCCTTACACTCTCACAGTACGTCAATATATAAGCGCGTACCGAATTCAACTGTGAAATTAGCCATATGTGTTACTTTCCTAGCGAGTTTGATCGCTCGGTCAGTGAACTCTACGATCGGTATTTATGTCGAGAATACAATCCTGAGGGCCTAATCTATTTGTCCTCGAACGGAAAACTAGAAAAACTTTTGAATCGTTATTAATATAATATCCATTAAGATTACCTGTACATCAGAGGCCATATCGAGAAACGGAAATTATCATAAATTATTATCGGAGAAATATACCTACTAAAGGCCCATTCTATTCCGCTGAAAACCAATTATTATATTTCATTAGTTTTGTTTCAACAATGCTATACTGAAAAATGCTTAAAAATCCACTATGTCCCTGGCACGCATCCAATTTTTGAAGCACTTATTAGTTTTCACTACTAGTAAGCGTATTTTCAAAAATGTTCACGCAATCCACCCGAATAGCCAAAAGAAATCCCTAGAAACCCTCTAGACTTGGACATTCTTTCATTCTGTTTTATTTTAAAGAAAAGTAAAGCTACGTTGAAAAGCACAATACATTAGTTTCTAACAAATTTCAATAAGTTCGTATAAATAAATATTTTCAAATATAATAAAGAATTATTCAAATAAACAATAAGTACTAAATAAAGAAATATGATAAGACACAAATAAAAAACTCACCTGGTTTCGATAAAACTTCATTCTTAACAGCTGTAATAGGCGTAGATGTCACAGGTTGACTGGGAATCGAACCTGCTACTGTAGCCACTGGCTTCGGTGGACTACTAATCAGCGAACCGACTGTTGTACCGCCAATCAAAGGCTGAGCACTTCCAATCAGAGGCTGAGCACTTCCAATCAGAGGCTGAGCACTTCCAATAAGAGGCTGAGCACTTCCAATTAAAGATTGAGTGTTTCCGATCAAAGACTGAGTGTTTCCCGGCTGAGCGGCAACTATTAACGGCTGCGGTTGGGAAGAAGGAACCAAAGGTGTGGGACCCACTAGAGGTTGCGACGGGGCAATCAAAGGTCCCGGTATCAGCGGTTGAGACGTCATAAGCGGTTGGGCACCAATTAGAGGCCCACCACTCGCGATTAAAGGTTGAGACCCCATTAAAGGCTGGGATGATAAAGGTTGAGTACCAATGAGAGGTTTGTTTGCGCCTATCAAAGATTGGTCTATCAAAGGTTGGGTCTGCGGTAAAGGTTTCACGCCGGAGATCAGATCTGGCACCGATGATGGCGGCATGGGTTTCGCTGGTGGAATTAAAGGTTGTGTGTTCACTAAAGGTTGGGATGGTGCATTGAAATCACCGAGCAGAGATGTGGTTATAGGCTGTTGGGATAAACCACTGATTAGAGGCTGAGTTTGGGCAACATTTGGCATTGGGGGGATAGGGGGTTTCGCTGGGGGGGTGTATTGTTTTTGCGGCGCTGAAAATGGGAGGAAACATATGTTTTGAAAATGTAATTTTTATTATTTATACATTATAAATTGATTTCGTAATAGAAACGGTCGTTGTCTAATTAATAATAGTGATGACGATTATAAAATAATTGGTTGCTATATTTAAATAAATATTTTTTAAATAGACTTTAGTACGTTAAACATAAAATATAAATGGGGGGGGGGGGTGTGGGGGTGTGGAAATAGAAATCGAACAGAGTATAGCTAGAGTATGGCGTAGTGGACATAGACACGGCTCGCTTGTCGTTAAGCAACTTTCGCAATGGTCAATCACGGGATGGGTGACCGAAAAATTCTCTCGAGCCTCTGCTTTGCAAAGCAGGTTAAGTAATTGGTCCCAGCTGCATTTGCAGTCGTTACCCATCAATTTATATTGGGCTAACGTGGAGGGTCACGGCCCATCCTCCTTGCCATCCATAAGGAAGGTCTGAGCCCCTGCAGTGGGGATGTAACAGGGCTGATGATAATGAAACACTATATCGATAATGTTTTCTTTTTTTGTCTGTCTGTAATAGAATAATAACATTTATTACGCAAAAAATATATTAGTTTGCATACTACCCTCAAATCTCGGTCGGGCTGAGAAATTTTCAAACCACCCTCGTATGTATACATATGCATTTAGTAAAGGCGTTTATTATAACATTACAAACAGACATTTCATATTATGGATAGATGTTATATTTAAAAAAATATATATATTACCGGCAGGGCTCAGCGAGGCAAGAAGTGACGGTGGTAGAACCTTAGGTATCTCGATACCGTGTAGTTTCAAATTAATAATCTGAAAAACATTATTTATATTGTAGTTAACAATAATCATACAGAAATAATCTTATCTGTATTAATTAAATTTAATCGCATCACTCAATTGCCAGAAATTTTTAGTCTCAAATAGTGACTATGAGCAGTCACTTTGTATTGTCAAATAGTGACAATCGACAATCACTAATAGGCCCAAAAGGTTAATACAACCAGTTACATATTATATCTTGGATGTGGTGTTTAATTTCTAAATAGTGACTATCGCCAGTCAGTTATAAGCCCAAACAGTTACTATAAAATTTGTGTTTATGACAATCGACAGTCACTAGTAGGCTAGAACAGTGAATATTACCAGTTATATACTGGATATATCTCAGATGCTATGTTCAAATTTTCAAATAGTGACTTTAGGCAGTCACTAATATGATCAAATAGTGACTATCGAAAGTCACTAATAAACTGATATAAAAATGAAATGAAAATATCTTATTCAAGTAAGCTTGTTTCAAGCACTTTCGAATCGTCCAAAATATTTTTTTCCCCCACCACTCGTTCAGAACATCTTTTAGGTGACAAGAAGAACAAGCGAAAGAAACTCACCAGCCTTTTATCATAAGCAATGCCATTTACATAAATCATGTCATTACCATAATAGTATGTATTATAACAATAATATTTACAATTTTCAAAATTAAATAGTGACTATAAAATATGTAATTCAGCACATCTTATGTCTAAAACATACTTTGCAAGCTATGGAGAACTCTCTAAGATCCAGCTTCCCATCCGCGTTGGTATCGGCTAGTGTCCAGATCTGACCCAGTATAGGTGGAGGAAGTTGAGACTGTGAAATAGATAAAATAATAAATACCGATTTGAAGATCTCGACGGCGCAGTAGACAATGCGCTCGGTCTGCGATACGGTTGTTAAGCAGCTTGCACAATGGCTGGACATAGGATGGGTGACCAAAATTTATTATCTCGGTCTCCGTGCCGCGGCAAGAATGTTAAGTTGTTGGCACCGGCTGCATTTGCAGTCGTTAATAACCTCCTTCCGCACTGGGCCTGTGAGTTGGTCATGGTCTGTTCTCTAAGCAGCATTGGGAATATTAATAGGCTTACTATTTATTTTTACCTTTACATTCTCACGTAATAATAAGAAATGGCATTCACTGATAATTATGGTGAAACACAGCTCTCCAGATAGCTATATGTATTGTTAACTTTTGTAAGGTTAAAATCTAAATTATAAATGCAACTTTGTATAAAAGAGAGTAGAAGAGTGTTAACTGCGTAAGATGAAAAGAGTATATAGATAATATCAAAATGATTGGTTGTATGAAAAGGAAACAACACATATGTACACTAGGTGTAAGTGATGCCAAAATAAATATTGACACTGGAAAGCAAACGCATAACCTGCAAAACCAAAATAGATATTTATAATGAAAACCCTTAATATTTTTCCAGAAAAAGAAAATCTTCTTTCCATATAAATTGACTAAGGAACACCTTATTTGTCACCATGGATGTTTATAGGAATTATTTATCGAAAAAATAAAAGTTTTTCTGCTCTAAAGAACAATTTTGGTTTTGCGGGTTACTACGTGTTTGTTTTCCAGCGTCTATATGCACTATACTTTCGCAATTCCTTTCTTTTTGACTTATGATAGAGAATGCAATTAAGATTTTGTCCTATTGCCTTAGGTATTGATAAAGTGACTTGGTGAGTTAGTTATCTTATTCTGTGATCTATTTTCTTATTTTAAAATCTAAATAAAAGTAAAAATCTTGTGCAGCAAGTTTTTCATGCTGGACTTTTCACAAGACCACGAAGTGCGTCAGTTGGAAGTGTCCCACCGAACAACAATGAGGAGGACGTCCCCAAACAAGCTGACAAAACTGAAAAAGATGTCGACACTAAACACCCTCGCTGGCAAAAAGTCCCGGCTAACAAAAAAAGGAAGATCTCAAGTATACTGTCCCCTGAAAAAATTACAACTTCAAATATGTTTGATGGACTACCTACAATAGACATAACTCAAGAATCTAAAGAAAAGAAGCCTAGCAAACCTCCTCGTAGAAAACGTAAATGACCTCACCGAGTTCCTAGAAACGGCTGCTGAGAGATCAACATTCACTTACAAAATTATCAACAAAAACCAAATAAGGATAATAAGTGACAACGTGGATACTTATAAAAATCTTATAACGGCCGTTAGAGAGAAAAGACTCATAGGTCATACTTTCAATAGGAAAGACGAAAGAAACTATAGACTTGTGATAAGAAACCTGCACTACACAACACAATGCAATTAAGGCTGCTTTTGAGGCAACAGGAAACATTGTGGTAGGGAAAATTATTAATGCTAGATTTGGCCCTAATAAAAAGCCCACATCAACATTCTTTGTTAACCATAAAACTGGACCAAATAACAAAGCAGCCAAACAAAGAAATATCTTTCATCAAATTGTCACAATAGAAGACCCCAAAAAAAGAAAAACCATAGTTCAGTGCCAAAGATGCCAACAGTATGGTCATACAAAAAATTATTGCATGAGGCCCCCTCGTTGTCTTAAATGCGCAGAATCTCATCATACAAAAACATGTCCTAAAACTGACCGTTCCACCCCAGCAACATGGGCGTTGTGTCTCGGGCCACACCCTTCAAACTATAAGGGATGCGAAGTATTTAAAGAGATACTTGCCAGAAAAACTCAACAGCGTACCCATATAAGTGCAAAGAAATCAGCACCACCGCCTCAACTAAGCAATAAACAAACAAATGAAACCCCAGATACGTCCAACAATATACCTTCAAATAGAAAATATAGCGAAGTGGTATAGAAGAATCATGCATCCAACAAAATAGTTGCTCAACAAGCGAACAAAATTATTGGTCAACAAGCAAACAAAATTACTGGTCAACAACCAGACCAAGAAATCTTTCAACAATCCTTCAACAATAGAATAGAAGAGATATTCATTAAACAGTCCGAAAAAATTTATATCATCCTACAACAAATGAGCAACATGCTGGGGCTCTTGACAACACTGGTAAACAAACTATCTAAATGATTAAAAATCTTAAAATAGCCGCATGGAACACAGATGGTCTATCACCCAACAAGAATGAGGTAGAAGTCCTGCTAAAAATGCATAGTCTTGATATTCTACTAATTTCAGAAACTCATTTTACCAACAAAAGTAAAATAAATATAAAAAATTACAATATTTACACAACTAATCATCCGGACGAAACTGCACATGGTGGTACAGCAGTTATAATTGGATCTTCAATAGAACATTATGAGCTCCCCCAGTTTAAGACAGAACACATTCAAGTTACTTCTGTCAATATTCAAGATAAAAACGGCAATTTCAATATCTCGTCTGTCTATTGCCCCCCGAAACACCGAACCACAGAAGAGCAATTCACCAAATACATACAAACCCTAGGACCACGTTTCATAGCTGGGGCGACTGGAACTCTAAACACGTTCACTGGGGGTCAAGACTTATAACCACAAGAGACAGAGAACTCAAAAAATGTATTGATCGGAATTATCTAAGGACAATAGCTACACCGGAACCCACACACTGGCCGTCTGATCCCAACAAGTTGCCTGATGTAATTGACTTCTTTATCATGAAAGGCCTCTCTCGACTATTCTACCAAATTGATAGCTGCCTTGATAGTTCCTCCAACCACATCCCAATAATCTTAACGATTAACACCAACGTCATGGACAGCCACACAAAACTACGACTGTACAACAACCGAACAAACCGGGAATTATTTAGAATTCTGGTTGAGAATTCTCTACAACTAAAGGTTTCCTTAAAGTCAGAGGAAGAAATAGATGAAGCTGCTAAAGCATTTACTCACACAGTTCAGGAGGCATGCTGGCAGAGCACAGAGGAAGTGAGTCACAAAATCCACAGACAGAACTATGTTCCACGTGAAATCAAAGACATGATTCTGGAAAAAAGGAGACTGCGTAGAGTATGGCATACTAGCCGGCATCCTGATGACAAAAGAGCATTGAATAAGTACACGCAATATTTTATTTTTTTATTTTTTATTTTCAATATCTTAGGAAAACTTACAGCTAGGTAATACTATACATAGTTTTTATTATATCTATAAAGAAGGCCAATTACAAGTTTCCACTTATAGGTAATTGAACAATAGGCAAAAACAGACGACAGCTAAAAGCAACAAAATTAAAATTATAGTAGGATAACATTTAAGATTGTAAGCATTACTTATTTTACTTTATATTTCATTATTTTATGTATATTTATAGCTCCAGATAGAAAAAAAAAAGAAAACCAATTCACTTATCAAAAAATTTGTCTACTAAATGGCCTTTGAGTTTGTTTAATGAAGTATTAAATAAATCGATGTCAACATTTGCCTTGATCAAAGTGTTGAACATTGCGCTAGCTCTCAAAATAAAAGAGTTTTGCCTATAATTGGTACGAACTAAGGGAACATGAAGAAGGTTAGGTTTTCTTAGTGCAGCTGTGTTAACACGGAGACCAATTAATTCCAACAAATCAGGACAGTCAATGATGCCATTTGCTATTTTGTAAAAATAAGTTAGATCTGCTATTTCTCTACGCTCGTACAGAGGGAGTAAATGAAATTTTCGACATCTTGTTAAATAATCAGGTAAGTAAATTTTTGCTCTGAACTGTAGAAACCGTAAAAACCTCCTCTGGATGCCTTCTAATCTCGAAGAGTAAACATCGTAACAAGGATTCCATACTGGCGATGCGTATTCAAGGTGACTGCGTACATATGCACAATATAAAATTTTAAAAGTTTTTATGTTAGAAAATTGAGACGATATCCGTAACACAAAACCAAGGGCCCTAGAAGCCTTTTTAACTACGTTATTTATATGTTCATCAAATAGTAATTTAGAATCGAAAGTTACTCCCAAATCTTTCATATTATTAATTCTTGTTAGAGATATATTATTGAGCATATAGTTATATGTGATAGGTGATGTTTTACGAGTATATGAAGAAACATAGCATTTCGATAAGTTTAATTCCAATTTATTGACATTACAATACTCAAAGAAATTTCTTAAATCGCTCTGTAACTTTAGTGCGTCATTTGAACATTTTATTGGTGTAGAATTTTCATATCATCTGCATACAGGAGTACTTTCGAATAACAAAAACAGGAGGATATGTCGTTTACAAATATATTAAAGAGCAGAGGCCCCAGTAAAGACCCCTGTGGCACACCTGAAGGAATGGTCATTGGTAGTGAGGAATATCCACATAGAACCACTGTCTGGCATCTATTTTGAACATATGATGAAAACCACCGAAACAGATTACCTCTGATACCAGACATTTGAAGCTTCATTAGAAGGACCGAATGGTCTATGCGATCAAAACATTTGCGGATATCAGTGTATATTACGTCAACTTGAGCAGGTTCAGACATAATCTTAGTTAAATACTCTGAGCAGAGTAGAAGATTAGATGTTGTGGAGCGACCTTTCAAGAAACCATGTTGCTGTGGAGTGAAATCATGCTTTAATGCAGAATAAAGTTGAGAATATATCATCTTTTCGAATATCTTAGCAAAAAGACACAATTTAGAGATGGGACGGTAATTTTCAATGTTGTTTCTGGGGCCACTTTTATGAATAGGTGTAATAAAAACAGATTTCCAAATATTAGGAACGTTGCCTTCGTTGAGTGAGCGACGATAAATGAGAGTAAGACTACGGGCACATTTTATAATAAAAATTGCTGGAATTTGATCAGGTCCTGCGGATTTATTGAGCTCTAAAGATTTCAACAATTTAAATACTTCACGCTCCAATACTTCAATTATACCTATATCCGTACTTGAAGTTGGGAGCTGTTGGTTCGTAATTTGAATTGGTGTATTATCCGATGTATTACTAAGAAAATTAGAATAGAAAAACTCTCCAAACATATTGCATATTTCTTCACCTTTATCTGATGCGCGATTACCATATAAAAATATTGACGGGTAGGCATTACATTGATTTTTACTTTTGACAAATGACCAAAAGACTCGCGGATTTTGTCTTATGGAGTTCTCTATGTTTTTCATGTAATCTGTGTACATATTATTTTCCATGATTCGCGCCCGATCTCTTAATATAATAAACGAGTCACGATCATATTTATTACCATATTTTTTATATTTCCTATGATATTTATATTTCTCTTTTAACAGTTTTATTAAAGGCGATTTATACCATTGCGGATATTTTCGAGAAGGAGTAACAACTTTTGATGTGACATATGTGTTGCGTAAGCTGTAAAGTGTATCGTATAAGAATATCTAACTAAGGCATCAGTCTCACACCAGAATCTTAAGAACAACTGTGTTTGTAACATACTAGTATGTAAAACATTCTGTGTGATGAGAAATAAATTTTTATTATTATTCAATAGCCCTAATGATCTCCTCCCAATCTATAATTGCCAATCAATGGAATCAAGTTTAGCGCAGATCAACTGGTAATCGCCATTATTATATGCAAATTTTCTATATGAAAGTGATTTAATATTATGTGACTCGACAAAATCCGCAGACACCACCAGCGAGGGGTGGTGAAGGTCTTCCTGCACTAAAGGACTATTGCAACTATTTACGGTGACATTATTATTCGAAAAGAGTAAGACTATAATTAAGTATGGAATTATATTGAATCAGATTACATAAATTGAGGGTATCAATAAAATGTATTTGGTGCGATCCCTGTAAATTACTTGGATTTAAAGACGCATCGTTATCACTAGATGGCCATTCAACTAAAGGCATATTAAAATCACCTAAAATGATAATCTTGTCAAGGGGATTATCTAAATTTATTTTTAATAAATTATCCGAAAAATTCGATAACTGTTGTTCCATTGAATAACCCATATTTTGAGTACATATGTACACTGTGCATATATGCATTTTAAAGGTGCACTTTGGGTTTCGATTGCGAATTGTGATGGTAATCCACAAATCCTCCGCATCAGAAAGCCATTCACTCCTCAACTCTGACACCAATTCCCTACGAACAGCTATTAAAATACCACCCCCCCAAAGTCTGTTTTAATTCACTATAGTTCCGGTCACGTCTCCAAACAACATAACGGTCATCAAATAATTCACAATTATGGATACTATCTATTAACCACGATTCCGTAATACATACAACATCGTACGAACACAAACACAAGTTTCTATAAAATGTTGCAGTTTTAGTACGTAGTCCACGTGCATTCTGATAATAAATATTAATCGGCATCATTTTTTTCAATAATACTTAGGTATAGAATAATTTTTAAGTGCATAAAGAACGTTAATTTATGATAAGTACAATATTTAACAGTTAAAAAAATAAAAGAGGCGTTAAAAACGATAAGCGCAACAATATAAATAGCAAGTGGCAAGCCGGTATGAACATCTAAGCAACAGTAAGCAAGTAAAAATGAGTCGAATGATAGTTGCAAACCTGTACGACGTTGAAGCAAAACCAGTTTGTGAGCCAGCGCATGTCAACCCTTGGTAACATTTATAGTATGTAAAAATATTTTTGTAAGTTATTAGACTTTTTATATAATACTCCAGTTTAAAATAAGTTTTCAAAGCTTTCTTAAATCTGTTTCCGAATTTATGGCAATAACCGGCGATGTCGGATTCTTGCGAACGAAGATCTTGCATCCTCTCACCCAGGTAAAGGAAAACCCCCGGTCTTTTGCAAGTGTTTTTGTTTTATTTAGCAGCATTTTATTATCGGCAGTCAAATGGTCATTCACAAAAATCCTATGTGACCCTTGCAATCCAATGTCTTTGATTTCACTATATCTTAGACAAACTATCCAGGAAGCAGAAAATGCTACAGTCGAAGCAAATATCCAATCGCTAACCGCTACTGCAAATACCAACTACTCACTTTGGAAAGCATGCAAGAATATGAATCAAGCAACCAATCCAAAGCCACCTCTCCGTCTAGACGGTAACAAATGGGCTAGGTCCAAACAAGAAAAGGCAAATGCATTCGTTGACTACCTCTCCAAGGTATTTACCCCAAATGAAGCCACTCCCGGAGTAAATGAAGCAGATATAGATGATGTTCTCCAACAGGACTTTCAACTGGATTTGCCTTTAAAATCGGTAACACCTAGCGAAATCAGTAAAACGATCAACAAACTAGAAAACAGGAAGGCACCAGGATTTGATCTCATTGACAAAAAAGTCTTATCGGAATTTCCTCGAAAGGCATTAGCCTATCTGACATCATTATTTAACTGTATTATCAGATTGGGATACTTCCCGCCACTGTGGAAGGTATCTCAAGTAATTATGATTCAAAAAGCTGGGAAACCACTGCATGTAGTGACGTCGTACAGACCCATAAGCTTACTCCCAATAATCTCCAAGGTTTTGGAGAAAGTAATTTTACGTCGACTCCTGCAAGCGATGGATGAAAACTCTGTAACGCCAGACCACCAGTTCGGGTGTAGACCAGAGCACGCTACCACTGAACAAATACACAGAGTGTGCAAACACATCAGTGACAGTCTAGAGCGAAAGGAATATTGCTCCACTGCATTTCTAGACATTCAACAGGCATTTGACAGAGTGTGGCATAAAGGACTGCTCTGTAAAATCAAAATGTTCCTGCCTCACTCTTTCTACCGGATCTTGCAGTCATACTTGGCTGACAGAATATTTCAAGTAAAAGAGTCTGAATGCACGTCACTCTTCTGTGATATACTTGCTGGGGTGCCGCAGGGCTCAGTGCTGGGTCCGGTCTTGTAAACCATATTTACAGCAGATTTGCCGCAAACTGCCGGTCTTACCGTTGCAACCTATGCCGACGACACAGCAATACTGGCTTCTAATAAACACGCAAGTAAAGCCTCAGAGATACTGCAGCGAAATCTAAACGAAGTGAACAAATGGCTAGACAAGTGGAGAATCAAAGCAAGTGTTAATAAATCGGTACAGGTCACATTCACACTTCGTAAGGAAAAATGCCCTCTAGTGAACCTAGGAGGCACACAGCAACCACACAGTGACACTGTTAAATATCTGGGGTTGCACTTGGACCGTCGATTGACCTGGAAAAAGCATATTGAGTGCAAACGGAATGAAATCAACCTTAAATACAGAGAGTTATACTAGCTACTGGGCCGAAGTTCCAAATTGTCTATCGACAACAAATTACTACTCTATAAATCAATCATTAAACCAGTCTGGACTTACGGAATTCAACTGTGGGGAGCCGCTTGTGCCTCAAAAACTGAAAAAATTCAAAGAACACAAAACTACATCCTCAAACAAATCAGCAACGCGCCCTGGTTCATAAAGAACTCGGAAGTGCACGATCACCTAAAATTACCTACTGTAAAGGAAGAGATAAAAGCTTGTATTGGGAAATACAAAAGTAGATTGGAAAACCATCCAAACCAACTAGCTGTGCAGCTTACTTTGCCTGATTGCATCGGTCGTTTGAAGCGACGCAGGACCCTGGAACTCGGCGGCAATGAGCCATAACTTCAATATGGAAGATATCCCTAATGAGGGATATTTCCACCCGTTTGTTTGCATACACCACATCTGCTCATAGTCTGGAGACTGATCGCAAGATAAAACAATTGAAAAAAAAAAAAAAAAAAAAAAATTTTAAAATCTATTGCAATCCTTTTCAAAGCTTTAGCGATTGTGACAGCAATTTATGGAATTATCTAACTTTTAAAAGTAGCAATCAAGTCAAGATTGCCTGAAGCATTTTACTCTTTTGTTTGATGTTTCCTAATAACTTTCAAGCATTTTTGCTTTTCTTTAGACCATTCCAAGTAACATCATATTACATAATATAGTTCAAATAATATTTTCTTAAAAAAATCGTCGCAAATAGGTGTACAGTGATGTTTGTGCATATCCTTCAAAGTGTAAGAGATTGCACTAGATATTAAAATATTCACCTGAAGCATGAATCTCTTGGCTTGCTCCCCTGTTAAGTGTCCGTTGACAGGTCCAAGGTTTCTAAAGTGCTCCGCGAACTTCGCATGTTCATGTGGTTGTATCAACCAGGGATCACTAGCCATTGCTATTGACAATCTGTTAATATGTAAATTGTTGATTAATGATACTTTAACTTGAATAATACTTAAATTCATAAACATTCTATGATGAGTTTTCTATCAGGTAGATTAATGAAAAATATTTTTATTTAACCACATTTTATTTTCGCATCACAAACAAAGTGGCTTTCCGGTTTTCATAGATAGGGTGATTCAAAAGGAAGGTATTTTATTTATAATACAAGACACGCGGACGAAGCCGCTGGCGGAAAACTAGTAATCAATAAATTACAGCGATACATTGAGTTAAAATGTCACATGATATCACACTTTCATACATTTTCTACAAAACTGTGACGTATTGAGTCTCCACTCTGCAACTTTAACACCAGTTATCTAAGCTTTTTCTTGTTCAATTGAAACAAAAAAAAAAATCATAAGTTTTTATTTATTTATTGATAATACACTAGCAACAATTAATATAAAGATAATGCTTTAACTAGTTTTAATGATGTGTCTTTTTGGGCATATACAAAATTCTCAAGTAATTAAGAAAAAAAAACAACAGATTAACAACAGAAATAGAAATTAGTAAAATCTAAAATAATTAATAAAGACAAAATTAAAAACAAATCAGTACTATTCAAATTATTATAATAGAATTTAATAATTATTCCAAAAAATTAATTAATTCATTTCATAAAAATAAATAAATTTATATTAAATATTTCTACCATCTGACTAAATAGAATTTCTTTTTTTTTTGGACATCATTCAATAGAGATGATGCCCCTATTGAATGATGTCCAACAAATATATATGTGAACATTTGTAGACATGATTAGATTTTCTATTATATTAGCCAAGCTTAGACCTTTTTTTTGGGGTATAGTCATTTTATTATTTTTCGTAGGCATTAACCCAATTGAATTTTGTCCAACAAACATATCTAAATGGACTTATGAAGATAGAATTAGATTTTCTGATAAGATTTTCTATTGAAGTAGCCAAGATTAGATTTTTTTAAAGGAAATGTTATTTAAATAGTAATATAAACTAAAAGTGCGTGAATCATACATATTATTGTGTATTCACTGGATTGATAATATTAAAGATTTAATAAATCTAAACTGCTCTTAACTGCGGAGTTGTCTCGTGAATCATTCAGCAGATATATGACAACGTTTCTAAACTTTCTGAACAAAATTACTCATAAACATTTCTACTTTCTACATTGTAAATATGACATAATTGTAAATTTGTGATTACAAATTTTAGAACTGATTATCACTTACTTGACGTGATTTATTCGGTGTAATATAATACGGATATGTTCTGTCGCCCCTTCACTGAATAAAAACACTGCAAATTCTAATGGAAAGGTCTCTTTCTATTTATTGATTTTCCTTTTGGTCGGTTCGGAAATATGAAAAACTGCAGTAGGGGAGTGGGAGGGTGTTAGTCTGGTGTCAAATGTCAATGTATTTTTTTAATGGCAATTCATCGATACCGTTTAGAAATCTGATTGATGTCCAAATGTAATTAACCACACTGAATATGTGATTCTTTATTTGACATTTGTGTTTGTTACATAAAATATATATATTATAGAGATCAAATTATCACATAAGAGTCTGTATGTCAAAAATCCCAGATCTACTCGAACTTAATGTGGAAAAATATATATATCATTTTTTGTATAGCGACAAGTGTTGCTAATACGTATATTTTATTGTTATTCATATGTGACAAATTAAGTATATTAATACTTTTGATGTCAAAATTAATAATCAAAATTCCTAAACGAAGGAATGACTGATGGACATAGACACCAAGATCTTAACCATAGAGATACGGCCCTAAACTAAAATAAAAAAAAACTTCTACGACAATCACAAAATAGGTAGTTGTCGTTTTTTTGGCGGGAAACTCTCGAGGCGGGCGGTTCAACTTTTTCTTTTAAATAATAATTATTTAATTTTTATTGGTAAACTCCAAGTAGACTTCACTTATATTCATTACTGAAAGTTGACAATGGGTTCAGATAGTGAAGGCAGTGAGCCTATACATGGTAAAAAAAAACCATTCCATTCCCCGCCTCTTGCCATCGCTACTAGAAAATTAATTTTTGATATAATATGAAAACTTGATGCTGTGTAGAATATAAAAGGATAGTTTTTCTTTAGAAAGAACAACGTACTAAAGATGTGGCTGTATGAATGTTTCCAAAGCCGTTAAAAAATTTAAAACAAAAAAAATTAGTTGTCAATTTTTGTCAAATGCACAGCCAGTATAATATTGTAATCTTTGTGCACAGCTGTTTTTTGGTTAAGTATTTGTTTGTATATGAAAAGGTGAAAGTTTTTAAGAATCAACGTAATTAGCATCTCCAAAAGATCCACAATAGTGCTCAATTATGACGAAACTAGCAGACAACATCAACCCTCACATATACGAGAAGGGTACTGAACGTGAAATCACAGCATCTGACTTAGACGAAAATGTCGTCGACGAAATAGATGAAAGAGAAATATTTGATTTAATTAGAAACATCAATGATCCCGAACATCCTTTGACTTTAGAAGAGCTTCGTGTTGTTGAAGAAAGTAATATAAGTGTTGATAATAAGCAAAACACTGTTGATGTGAATTTTACACCAACTATACCTCATTGCAGTATGGCGACTTTAATAGGTATGTACGAATTCGAATATAATTGAAACACTACGCTTTAAGTATGTATGAGATTGTTAATATCTGATTTCGAATGGTAGCAGACAACAGTATGAGCAAAACACTGGAATTTGGCAAAATCAAAAAGGGCCAAATGCCAGTAATTTTTAAAAAACTATTTTGTTTATATTAGTTCGGTCTGAGTCTGATTCTTGTTTTCTTCAATTTCAAGATCTTGATTTTTCATTAAAACAATAACATGAGAAATTTATTATAATAACAATAAAAAAATGGGTAGTTGTTTAATTATTAATTACTGTATACCATCACATGTAGCATGACAAACCCGATCTCGATCCCAGAAAGTGACCCAAATCTTTTTCTTGGATCGAGAGTGAGATGTTGTATGAGTGCACCTGAGAAAAGTGACGTTTGAATGTAGACAAAACATTCTCGAGTTTGTCATGTTATCGGTGCAATGTCTTTGTTGGGAAGCAATCTTTTATGTACACACAAATCACTACAATATGTCAAACTGTAGGTGATTTTAAACTCTACATCCAAAGCAATAAGGTTTTAAATCAAGTATAGATATTTGACAGTTGTGTATAGTCTGGTGTGTAACAGTGTGTATATACTTTTACACGCAGTCAGTATCAAAACATTACAATACAATTAAGTTGTGTCACCTGAGATTGTACAATTTTTTTGCATCATTCTGTGAGATAAATATCATTATAGAATTTTAATATATTTACAGCACCGTGTGGTTCGATCTGCAATATCTAAGTCAATCAACTTTCGCGAGGTCTGATCATATGCTAGGTGACCAGGGAGGTCAAACTGACGAGTTCCGGTTGCTATTCGAAAGACGCTATGCTATTGTAAATGTTCAAATATAGAGTTATTTTGTTCACTTTTGTTGGTTTTAATCAGCATTATCAGATTGAAATAAAATAATTATATAAAATAAAATAATTATATAAAATAAAATAATTATATAAAATAAAATAATTATGAATAATAATTCCAGGTTTATCCATAAGAGTACAACTACTCCGTGCTCTACCAAGCCGTTTCAAAGTGACCGTTAAAGTGGCAGAAGGCACACATGCTTCCGAACATGCTGTCAACAAGCAACTAGCCGATAAGGAACGAGTGGCCGCTGCATTGGAGAATAACAACTTAGTGCAGATAATTAATCAGTGCGTTGCCATAAAGTAGTGTAATCATGTTAGTTATTAAAAATATTTATTGTCAACTAGTATGGAGAGCAGGCCCGGATCTATATAACCTTTGTATGGCAACATCCTCTACCACTCCTATCATAGTTTTGGATTTTTAAGCATGTCCATGTTATTGTAGTCTATAATGTTTATAATTATTATTAATGTTTATTATTATATGGACATTCTTAAAAGTCCCTAAATGAAATAAACGAAGGTTCTGCCATAATAATGACATTTCGAAACCTCGTTTGTTTAAGTACTCCCAGTTACACCCCCTAGATCCAAACCAGACAGAAAGTTTAAAGACAATTATGACGAAGAGCTGTATGTTACATTATCTTTAAGGACAATTAATAAATTACTTAATAATTAACTTGTTTGAAGGGCGGATTAACGAAGTGACATAAGAAAAATTTACAAGCAAAGAACCAGTTATAACAATAAGGAAGGGGTGGGGGGAGGGGAGAGGAACATCAAAAATAATGATTCATATAAACATAACTTACTGATTTCCCCATCTTTGTGTAAAAATTATATCTTATTTCATCCACATACAAGCTTCTCATAGGTTAAAGAATAGTTAAAATAGGTCCAGTAGCTTTCGAGCTTTTTCAATACAAACAAACAAACAAGATTAAATAGTCTCATTAGTTGTTTTTACTGTTTCTATGGCTTCATTGACATAATATTTTGGTATTGTAATCGAAATAAAAAAAACATTTAATTTTATTAACAAAATATGTATTTTTTATTCAATGTAAATTTTGGCTTTTGTCGTCTTTTTAACTACATTTTACCCGAAAATACAATATTGACTCCATTATCGATTCAATATGGAGGTTAACAAAATATGACGTCATATTATTTCCAAAGCAACCCTACCGTAATTATAAGAAAAAATCTAACCTATTTTCAAGACGTTCTGCAATGTTAATTGTAATAAAATAACAATTTCATTTCAATCTGTTTATTACGTATAAGTGTTTTTGTATAATAATAAATGCGTTTTAATTAAATACTATTTTCATTATAAATAATTATACAGGGTTATTACTAAAACATCATTAACATGTTTGATATAAAAGATTTAACATATTTATTTATTTTTTACACACATACAGTTTTACATGAACAAATGTAACAGACATTAGTAAAAGATTATTTGTGTTTACCTCCTAAATAAAATTAATATGGAATATAAAAACCAATAAAAAATCATAATTGTGCAAAAATTATATAAATAATAATATGTCAGTTTAATAATACCTACACACTCCAAATCAACAAGAGGAAAGATAACTCTTTTTTTATTTACCAAAGAAATAGTGCGTGTGTCACTTATATCGGTATGTAGAGAGTTCTAGACTCTAGAAGCATGAACAGTAAAGGAATATGAAGAAAAATCTATTTTGTGTGAAGGAGTTTGAAGAACGGATTCAAGATGGACATAATGTCTTGATCAACGGATATTTTTCAAGTTTTCGTACATCTATGTTTTATTAAATACTCAACAGCTCGTAAAAATACTAACAATGAAATGGTAAATAGAAATTTTATTTTTGTTTAAAAGAAAAATGAAACGGAAAGACATTGGAAGCATTTTAAATGCTTATAATGGAGAATGAAAAATGCGTGTTAAATACCATAGATGTTAAATATCATAGAGAACTGAAGAAAGATGATGGGACACTTGTTAAGAGTATTACTCTTAAATGTTAAGAGTATTAGAATAGAACAATATAACGAATTATCGATGAGTCCTTGATGTTTTTTTTATGTTAAATGTAGTTCTAGTGGTAGAAGTTTTTTTTTCAAATGACCCTATATATCTCTCTAAATTGTGCAAGACGTATTATTCGAGCCATAGAATAGGACAGCTATCTTAGTTCGTATTGCACTTAAACTTCAGGGTGTAAGGTGTGCAAAACAGTAATGAAATTATTTATATTTATAAATTGACGGACTATCGTATTATAATATAACGGATAACGACACACTGGCGGTTGTAATTGAACACTAAGTCATGAAACGGTGACGCTTTTACGGTTGGCACCTTTAATATTGCGATAAAAATTGTCATTCATATTTAATGAAAAAAAAAGCAAGAGACCAAATTACAAAACAAACTTTAATTGATTCTTGATAAATTCGTGTAAACATTGATAATAAATTAAAAAATATAAGAAATGTATAAAGCTAAACGAATAAAAAAAATGGCGAACTTAATTTTCTTTGTTGTCAGTACTAAAATGACAGATGAATTCTGCAGTATCACTGTCCCATTCTTAAATAGCTCATATTATTGAGATCACATTAAGCTTATTGAATTTCTGCAACCAATTTTGATTTTATACAACAATAGGATACGACATGTTGTTTCTAAGAGTTAAATGACTAAATTGTATAGTAAAATATGGAATTACATTTGCATCTCTTTGACCTCTGTGTAGGTAATACTTTTTGGTTTATTTAATTTGGATTTGCCGCTTTTGCTTCATTCTTGATGTCTTCATATGAAGTTTGATTCTGTTAAATTAAACAAACAAAATATGATTAAGAATAAAGAAAAATGAATAAACTTTCTTTAAATAAAAAGGGAGCTTATAACTGTTTTTGTAGGTCTATTCTAGACAATTTTCTCCATCAGAAAAACCACATTTGATATTGTAGATGATTTCTATTGTATGGTGTCCGCTTAGTTGACCACGTGCAGTATATGTTTGCAGCTTATTGTAGATGTTATAGTTCATTGAGATTGTGACACAAAAAAAGGAACTTCGTGATTAAATGTTTATTAAGTTATACTAGTAAAGTTAAGTTGCAGCTAGAGTTAAGTCTTGTAGATTTCCTTTCTCTAATAATAACTTTATTTTCAATTAATATTTAACAAACTGTGCTTAATTCTAGCGATCCCTACACTAAACAAAGCTTGACTTATAGCGACCAAAAAAAAATATATCTCTCTTATCTCTCTCTCTTATTGTTAGTAAAACATGAGATAAATTAAAGAAAGGTACGTTGCTGACGCTTGACCTAATATTCATAACACGTGAAAACGTGACTACACAAGAATGTGCAATGTAAGACTGTACATCCATTCTTAATGGAAAATGCCTAAAAATCCACTTCGTCCCTGGCACTCTGAGATGGGACTGTTTTGTAATTATCACTCCAGACCCTGCCTCGATGTATTGTTACGGAGCACAGCTGTGCGATGTTTCACCTACCTGTTACTAGATGGCATTACCGTCGAAATACGTCAATGAAAAAGGGACTTAAATTAATGAATTCGTTGAATGTATTTTAATAAGGGATTATTTTTAAATTTTAAATAAAAGAATCGAATTGTGAATAAAATTCGCGTTATTTTTTTTTTATTCCGAAACCTAAGTCGTAACATTATTAAGGTTTAAAGTTGAGTGCAGAGATTTGACAGTTTTGTATAGCCTGTCGACTGTACTTACGTCCCACATGTCGTCGTCCCATTCCGGGAATAGACGCTTGAACACTTTCGGCTCCTTGCCTTGCTTAACGACCACCGTCACCGAGTTGTCTATGGTGCGCTCTAGTCCGTCATCTTCTATGTAATCCTTGACAAGACATAAATATACAGGGTTATGAGGAAGTATTTAAAAAACACTAAAAAGTATCTCACTAGATGGCGACTTTAGCAAAACTTGATTTTTGCAGGAAACGAATAGACCAAAGATAGTCATTTTCGTTCCTTTTAACTAACTATGTATGTTAGTTCATTCAAAATTTCAGTTAAAAAAACTGAAATTTTCCAAAGTTCGAAACTTAGATATCAATACAAATACGAAAAAGCACAAATAGAATATGAGTTGTTTATTGAGTTTTGAAAACTAATTTACTTTTAAACATGAAAGAAAACCGAAAGGGTTGTCATGAAGAAATCAAGAAAGTACCGTAGCGACATCTAGTATGACTTCGGGAACTAATATATTTTTTTAAATACTATGTCATTAAAAAAATAAAAGGGCACCACGGAGCTTATTGCATGATTTTAAACGCTATCGCAATAGAAATGACGCTTGGGCAAAAAAAAAATTCAGTTAGATAATGGCAAAAAATTAAATAGTTTTTTTTCTTCAATTTAACAAGAAATGGCTCAGTGTCACTGTGATTGAGCGGTGGCTCGCTACGTCACAATATGTAGAATATGCGCAAAGGTATGATGTTACGCGGCATTTAAACTCAATGTATCGCCATAATTTATTGTTTGAGGATTATGAAATAAAAAATACGTGTTCAATATTGTTCAATTATCTATCCGACGGACAGACAAAGAAATATTAGTCATCATCCCAATCCCTTTGATTTTTTTTTAAGATATGATGAACGAACGATATCTATAATTGTTAATTGAAGTTGACTAAGGCAAGCACATATCTTTGAAAGTTATTGAATGACTCAATGTATTAAGGTTTAAAATCGGTGAACTTAAAAATAGGCTTTACTGTACCGTGATAATCTTCTCCCTGGCTACTTTGACTCTCTCCGGAGTATTCTTGCCCTGCCAGTAGTATAATTCCTCGCCGGTGTCCAAGATATACACTCCATCGTCAGATAAGTCCTGGGAAAATAAAAATTTCAACTCACGACATATTTTTAGTAGGTTTTTTATTCGATTACAGCGACATCTTCAGTATGAGTAGTTAATCAAATAAAACATATTTCAGTGATAATAAAGTTTTTGTTTGATTGGCAAAATACAGTCAGATACAACTGATGTGTCTCGCCACAGACTTGGAGAGAGATCTCTATGTTCTATGTATCTCACTGATGTACCTGCTCAGAAGGACAAATATCGAATCGCGGTTAACGTCGATCAAACGGAATTATTCAGGTATCACGCCATCAAACGCTCAACCAATATCCACGAGCCTGATCTCCGCTGAGTACTCAATACTCCAACATTTACTGTCAATTATATGATGTATGGTATTGGTAGCTCGCCATGCTTACTGTTGAACGCAAACGCGATCGATCGACATTGCAGTGAGGAAGTATTAAAAGAAAAAATAGTTCCTGAAATCAAACTAGATGTCGCTACGGTACTTTTTTGATTTCTCCATGACAACCCTTTCGGTTTTCCTTCATGTATAAAAGTAAATTAATATTCAAGACTCGATAAACAACTCATATTCTATTGTATTGATATCTAAGTTTCGAACTAATATGTAAGTTAAAAGGAATGGAAATTACTACCTTTGGTCCATTCGTGTCCTGAAAAAATCAACTTTTGCTAGAGTCTAGTGAGGTGCTTCTGTAGTGCTTTCTTTTTTTTTTAATTACTTCCTCATTGTGAAGTTTCGATTTGGTTGGTATTCTTTGGTTTGGTACACTAGCGACAATTAGCTCAATATTGCGTGATTATTGAATTAATTAATTGACATTGAATAAGTAACGAGTCTGTGTTTCAAGAGTGCGAGCTAAATCCAATCCAATGGGATTTGATTTGCGTTCAAGAGTAAGCCTGCTGTTCTGCGCAAACGAATATCCACCATGCGCCATATGAGTTTGAAATTGCATACCTGCTGAGTGAAATCAGGCGATAGTTCCTCGAAACCGATCTTTCCGGTTATGGAAACGGTCACAGAGGTCAAACTGGTGTCAGACGTGACTCGCCTGCTGACCGCCGCCCTCCAACCAGACTTGGATTCCTCCGACTCCTCAGGAGCTCCACCTGATTAGATTAGATATTGCCTAATCAAAAGTGATAAATGTCGTGAGATGCGGTCTTGAATATAAGATACTGGCGCTTATATCAGTATTCCTGGAGCGAGGATAGAATAAATGAATGAAAGATGGAACCCTATAAAAATGGACTGTATGTTCCAAAGACAGACGAATAATTATCATCACCATATAAATATTGCTATTGCGTGGGCACAACAAAGCGAGCGCCTAACTAGAGCCAGGAGATACGACTTATATTTCCTTTCATGTTACTACTTTAACATATCTTTTGGTGGATAAAATTTGGTACAATAACTAATACTAAAGTAGCAAATAAGAAAATGGCAGGGGAGCGACCGCCTAACGAACTTGTTATAACTTTAAAGTTATAGTTCGTTGATAGAATCAATAGAATGTATATGCTAATATTCTTATACAATGTTTTTGTTTAATTATTTACATATTTAATCAATGCTTTGGGTTGTTAGTTCACGAAATTATTTATACTAAATTTATAAAATGTCGAATTTAGAAAATCAAAGCCATTCGAAAAGAGAAGTAAACCAATAAGTTAATATTAAAAGGAATCTTAAAAAATTCATTGATAAAAATAATAATACGCGGTCGCTCCATTTCATCCATAAGGTAAGAACAGTATTATCAAAGGATCTGATATAAATTAAATAGGCAGCTCTTTAGTAATTGTCTAATTAAATCTATCACAATCACTTTGAATTTGACATTTAAGAGATATTCACGAACTTCACAACTATTTGACATGTTATACAATAAGGAAGGAAAAACAAAGAAATCACTAAAAAGCACCTCCACTAGATGGCGACTCTAGCAAAAGTTGATTTTTGCAGGAGACGAATGGACCAAAGATTTCATTTCCGTTCCTTTTAACTGACATATTAAAAAACTGAAATTTGCAAAGTTCGGAACTAAGATATCAATACAAATACGAAAAAGTACAAATAGAATATGAGTTGTTTATTGAGTTTTTAAATGAATTTACTTTTATACAAGAAATAAAACCGGAGGAGTCGTCATGGAGAAATCAAGAAAGTACCGTAGCGACATCTAGTTTGATTTTGGGAACTAACGTTTTTTTTAATACTTCCTTATTGAGACCGCGACGTTTTTTTTGAAAGATACTGAATGAACGATTGCATTTATTATACGTTAACCGGAATAGTCTAAGCAAAGCAAGTGTGAATTCAAAATGGATTATAATAGATTTAGGCCACTGATTGATAAAAATTGATTCCAAAGTTATTTCTTTTAAATTAATTTTTCACCTAGAATTTCCCAGAATTCATCAGGCTCATCACCCTGGTTCACCGTAACTATCTCCTTCTCTTTCACCACTGTCTCCACGAATTTTAAAGCAGCTTCTTGTTCAGACGTTTGCGATTCCTGAAAAGTTACAAAAAATTACGAGTAAGTAAGTGGGTCATAATAAATAAAACTGGAGTGTCTGTTTGAAATTTTAAAATAACCACTTTTCACTAATTACATATGTATGTATACGTTACGCTCGAAGATCGAAATCGCTCACAACGCGTTGTAGCAATCATAGAATAACATATGTAGGTATGTATATGTTGTAGCAATCATAGAATATCCATATAGCGAAATCCGTGTCGATGCTGACATGCTATTCGACCTCAACGCGTTGTGGCAATGAAGAAAAACTATGAATTGAAACTATTGACTATTGGTAATAATATATAAAAGATCGTATAGTCCGTGGTTCAAAATATTTAATACATTTTTGAATGGTAGTTATGCAGTAAATAATCGTATAAGATCTTGTAAATTTATTGTATTGTATGAGACAATTATTAAACAAGTATGTGCGTTTGTGTTCAAGTGAGTAACCCTGTATAAAATGTATGTTTCATTACCTTTCCATTCCACACGTAGACAGTATCTTTAGTCTCCAATACGAACACGTCGTCATCCTCTAGAACATTCGCGTCCTCTTTTACCTGAACAGCTCTCATGTCGACTTCTAGCTCTGTACCTTCCACCTGGATAATAGGTCATTGTATGTTCATAGACCAATTAAATTAATAGAATTGATTCGTAAATTATCTTTTTTTTTTCAAATCAATTTCATGAAACCTCATTATGTATACTGGTGCATAATAAAGGTTATAATATAGCATAGTAGTCATCATACACTCAAAGCAGAATTAACCGCTTACATTCTATTTATTTAAATTCGCAGAAATAGCCAAACGTAGACCATATTTTATGAAAGGAATGTTAAAAACTATACTCGAAGAAAAAGAAACAATAAAAATATTGGAAAAAAGTCTTCTACGAAAATTTTAAAATTTTGGTTTTGAAAATAATGTGTATAAAAAGAAAAAATAAAAATGAATAGTGGCTGTTATCATCTCTGGTCCTTATGACTTCTTGGAGCCGGTTTGTCAATCCATCCATGATGTCTTGAATATCCGATTGGGGGATATTGTGTCACTCCTCTACTGTAGCCGGTTTTAGCTCTCTTATAGTCTTAGGGACTAGTACTCTTGCTCGGACATGTCTTTTAAGGTTGTCCCAAATGTGCTCTATTGGGTTAAAATCGGGGCTGCGTGCGGGCCATGGTAAAACTTGAATCCCGACCTCATTAAGGTAGTCACTGACGGATCTTGCGGTATGGCAACGTGCGTCGTCATGCATTAATCTGAAGTTGTCACCAATGAACGGAGTGAAAGGTATGACATGGTCTTGAAGTACTTCTTCCATGTATCTTTGAGCGTTTACACTTCCTCCATCGAACATAACAAGTCGGTACGAGCCTCGTAAGAGATACCTCCCCATACCATTATGGACTCTCACTGATAACCTACTGTTTCAGTTATAGCGCATGGAGAAAACCTCTCATTTTGACGCCTGTAGACACGCTGACGTCCATCTGGACCTCTTATGGCTGTTCTGCTCTCATCTGAGAACAGTAAGTTCTTCCATTCCTTTACAGTGCAGTCAGCATATTCTCGCGCAATAACAAGTCTAGCTCTACGGTGTTGTGAGAGCAGTTGCGGAGCGCGAGTTGGACGAAAAGCCTTTAAATTTCTTTTTGCTAGTCTTCTTCTAATGGTACGTTCACTGACACCGATATTTCTCACCTCAAAAAGACGCGTACGAGCTTCAGTAGCGGTCGAAAAGCGATTTCCCAACACATTGGTGACAACGAAACGGTCATCTCAAGTCGAAGTGCATCGACGTCGGCCTTGATCTGGCCTGCGGTTGGAAAAGCCTGTCTCCCTTAATCGTCTGATAGTATCTCGTACCGTAATTTTTGAGGTACACAGAGTGTGCGAGCGATGCAGCGCTGGATATACCCCGCATCAGCTAAAGCCACTGCCCTAGGCATTTTTGCAATCACAAACAATGACCAAACACTATAATTTCATATTAAACAATATTCGCCCGCCATGGTAAAAAATAACAGGAAATGTTAACTCGGTAAACCAACAGCAAAAATGTGAAACAATGACTAAATTCCGAAAACTCTTCGGTGACACAAATTTAAGAAAGAAAATAATCGTATTATTGTTTTATTTATTACTAGAGTACCCACTTAACAAGAAACAGACAGTTGGTAAGCCATAGTCGACGGAACCAAAAAGTGATGTTACAGGTGAACGGTTAATTGTGCCTGTAGTGTAAAACCCGATGAAACCGTTTAACTTTTTTAATTTATCGTATAACAGACATTGTAGGTTATTGCGAGATCGATTGTGTTTTTAAATTGCTCAGAGCGCTTAGTGTAAGTTTTTTTGACGATTACGTTCACTGTCGATCGTGAGCGCGTTAAGATTTTAGTATGGAATCCGGTACAGCGCCCCTAGCGGTAATTATCAAGAACTACAAATCTCCATACAAATTCTTAACGCGCTCACTAGTGAACGCGTTAGCGTAAAACTTACACTTATCGCTCTGTATAATTAATCTTTGGTGACCGAAAAAACTTTTGGGTATGTTCCGATATACACTGCGAGCACTGCGCAGTGGTCTTACTGCTGAAAAATCCGTTCCGTTATGGACTGCCAGTACACTGCTACAGTACCCTAGGGAAATTTATGACGTCATAAATTGCCGCCATATTTGTACTGTGAGCACTGGAGATTTCGAGGTAAGGTGCTCGCAGTGCTTTTGATCACGTGATCAGTCGAAACAGAATCAGAAAATGATAAGTTTCTAAATAAACAAAAAAAAATATTTACGTTTATTTATAAGATGGATTAAATTGATAAATAATTTTTTTATACAATTTTCCAATTTTCTTTTGAAAAGAGGGAATCTTTATATTTATATTCACCTTGCATTAACAAATTTGAAAATGGCGCCAAAAAATAGGATTAACAGTATACTGGACTGCGTTCCGTTTTAAAAAGTCACCAGTATAACTAGCTATAAAGGAACGGGCTTCCAGTATACTAAATTGACGTCATACTGTTCAGTGGTCGCAGTGTATATCGAAACATACCCTTTATCTCGAGCTACTTGCTTAGGAAGGCACGTCAAGCTATTGGGTCCGGGTGCATTTTGTTAATACTCCCAATCCGCATTGGACCCGCGTGAAGGGTCATCCTCCTTAATAGGAAAACCTGACCCCTTGTAGTGGGGACGTGAGAGGACTGATGATGTTGGACGATGGCTATAGCGATATTCTTAATACAAAATGCTTAAATAGTATAATGTTGAATATGGCGATGGCGATGATTATAGCGATGATGAAGACGACGATGACAACTATAATGGCGATGGCGATAGCGATGACGATGGCGATGACTATAGCGATGGCGATGACTATAGCGATGGCGATGGTGTTGAATATGGCGATGGCGATGACGATAGCGATGGATATGACGATAGCGATGGATATGACGATAGCGATGGATATGACTATAGCGATGGCGATGACGATAGTGATGATGAAGACGACTATGATGGCGATGGCATTGGTGATGACGATGACGATAGCGATGGCGATGACGATAGTGATGATGAAGACGACAATGATGGCGATGGCATTGGTGACGGCGATGGTGATGATGTTGTGAAAGTACTTACTCTAAACAGACGAACATTATTTTCTTCGTAAGTATCAGTCGAGTTTACTGGTGTATAATCACTGTTTTTACCACCGAACAGTATGGCTAGGTGTCCTGCAACAATATATAAATATATGACATATTATATATCTACACAGTACATCAAGTTAATAAGTATGTTAAATATATGCAATTAATTTTAAAATTATATTTCTTCTTCGATAGTTTTAAAAACAATACACTTTTTTATATTTGCAGTTCAAAACTATCGCCATCCCTTTCAAAGGTATAGCGATCGAGATAGCAATTTATGGAATTATATAACGCTAAAGATCGCCATCGCTTTAGGAGCGAAAAATGATTTGAATAGTCAAGTAACTTTATAAAAAAAATTACTTTAATAGTTACGTCAAAGGCTTGCCTTTGAAATAAACAACATATTTCACAAAAACGTCGCTATCGCAATCACTATTACATGTCAATTAGTTATAGCTGAAGTTAGTGGATATTTTTTTTTATTTTTTTTATTTTTTTATTATTTTTTTTTATATATCTTTTATATATATATCTTATCTATATATCTTTTACAATATCAAATTGAAAAGGACTTTGTGGGATAGATCATAAAAATAAACGATTAAGCCTGAGATTTTAGTATTCAAACTTAAACAAGATTTAAACGTAAAGTCTTGCCTTTGAAAATGTTTAGGAAGTGTTTTGACTCCTTCCCTTGAGGCACTTTCACGACGGTCACGTCACCTTCTATTTCTTTCTCCATCTCGGAGACCAGCTCCTTCGCTGCAGCTTTGTCTTCAGAGCTGGCTTCAGCACCCTGAGAAACATTATGCCGTGAACTAATACGACTTAAGACCTCAATAAATATCCAGCCTGCAATAAAGTTGAAGATTGCTGAATGTATTCTATAGTGGTCAGTGCCTCTTATCCAATGAATTCTATCTATAATTAAATATTTTAATGTGAAAGTTTCTTTGTTTGGATGTTTAGATGTTTTGATGTTTGTACGTCAATCACGCCGAAACTACTGAATGGATTTTGATGAAATTTGGTATACAGATAGGGTGTTAGCTGACTTAGATAATAGGATACTTTTTATTCCACTAAACATTTCCCTAGGGTCCACGCGGGCGAAGCCGCTGGCGAAAGCTAGTAATTAATAAATACTACCTTAATTAATTAATACTACCTTTTAAATTTAGATGACATTGAATTTTTGTGTAATGTTCGAAAATTTGCATGTTTTTTTTTGTGAATTTTTTTTTACTTTGTTCTTGTACCATCTATACTTATATTATAAAGCTGAAGAGTTTGTTTGTTTATTTGAACGCGTTAATCGCAAGAACTACTGGTTCGAATTGAAAAATTCTTTTTGTGTAGAATAGACCATTTATCGAGGAAGGCTTTAGGCTATATAACATCACGCTGCAACTATAAGGAGCGAAGAAATAATGGAAAAAGCGGACGAAATCGCTGGCGGCCACTAGTTCGAATATAATTGTAAAAAAAATGTTTAATGAATTATAATAATAATAATATTAGAAACGAAAATTGAGAGAGAGTCTTTTATGAGAAAAATTAAATCAAATGCTTCAGATATTGGATCAATTCAATGTATTTTAGGAGAGTCTAAGACTATAATTGTACAAATTTATATTATTATAAAAAAACATAGTCTAATTTCAAAATCTATCGTATTTTTTTAAGTTATCGCGATTGTGAAACATTAACGTCACAGTCGCTTTTGTAACGAATGATAATTTGAATGATCAAGAAACAATAAAAAATTACGGTCGACATTTGTAAATAGCTTTCAAGAATATTTGCATCTAAACATTGGCGTAACTACAAGGTGGCAAGTTGGCAAATACCACGGGCCTCCAGCTGAAAGGGGCCTCCGGTTAGAGGAGACTCCTGACATTTATTATTACGCAATTAGTAAAAAAAATGGATTATCCGATGAATTTTCCACGGATCTTCTAAAACTAACGATATCGTTCATTCAGGATCTATAAAAAAACCTCGCAATCACAACCATTATCACGCATCAAATATTTGTAGAGTGAAATTCGTTAATACCTTTCAAATGTCAAAGTGAAAAGGATAGCGATAATATTAAAAATTTGAGAATTAGACCCCTAAGCGCTAAATAAATTGAGCCGGTAAAAATTAAATCATAACTTACAATCCAGTAGTAAAGTACATAGGCGTCATCTCCATTAGCATCTGGGTATTGATATTTGAAGACATAAGCTTCTGTCTGGTACAATATCGATACACCAGACTGGAAGGCTTCTGTTAGATCTTCCTGCTCTCCTGCGATCCTGGGAAGAAATGAAAAACAGGCAAAGTGTGAGTCGGAATCGCTCACGAAGGGTTCTTTACCGGAAAAGAGGTAAAAAATAATGTTTGTTATATGAATGCACCTCTTAAATATTTGTTTAACTTAAATTAATTATTTATTCTTAAAATAGTAGTATATAAATACATATTTTGTAAATATTTCACGCGTTCACCTGTTGTCGTTGTAAAAATAAGCAAAAAATCAAGTTTATTGTCTGGGAGCCGCCTTAATATTGAAAATTTCAACTGTCTAACTTCCACGGTTCATGAGATATAACCTGGTACAGACAGACAGCGGAATTTTATTTATTATCATCGGCTCTTTTACGTCCTTACTAAGGGGGCTCAGTCAGGATTGCGACTCGACGTCGGTTTCGAGATTTTGGCATCTCTGATGGTCCCGGGTTCGATTGTTGATCAGTTCAATGTAGAAAATGAACTTTTCTTTATTATTTCGGGTCTGGGTGTTGTGGTACCATTTTTTTCAGATACTCCATAAAACGAGGACTTTAGCTTCTCACCTTGGAATCTGAGCAATGTATGTGATGTTATCTAATATTATATTTATATTAAAATCGCTGCTATTTAAAACTTACATCCGTTGGGTAGGCAAGACATTTTCCTGAACGAAGATCCCTCTCACACACACACACGAACTCACACACGCGCACACGCATACGCACACGCACACGCATACGCACACGCACAAACAAAACTCTTTTTCGTTCTCTATTTCATTGTAACATTATTTAAATTTGCTGTTTTCTTTATATTGTTTCCTTTTATTTAATTTTCACACTATGAAGTGCCTCAAACGTTTGTAATGTAAATCGTAATCTGCTTCGCCTGGTGTGGGGACAGGTAAATCATAAAGAACAATGGTCAAAAAACCAAGATATGAACTATCACCAAAATGTATTAGTTCAATGTAATTATTATATAGGTACCAACAATTAGTTTTATAAGCTGGGAAAATAAAGAATATCCTCTCTAAAACAAGTCTTTACTTTTTAGAACGCAGTTTAAATTATGTTATTTTTGAACGCATCTGTAATTAATAATGTCGTTCCTAGAGAAGTAAGCTATCAGTTAAGGAGCAAGTTTGAAGTATTATGTGAAAGTATGCACTTCTAGGACCACGTTCAGGCATCATCTGACGTGTGCTCTACCTCAAAAACATATTACACAATTACTGATACTCCCAGCTTTTAAAAATATATTTAATGTCTTTCTTCGTTCTAGTTGCATAGGCAAACGAAATAACATGTTTCATCAAGTTACGTTTTATTAAATTTTACTAGTCCAAGCATGTTAGGCAGATGGCCATTATTCTTTGTAAGGTGATCTTGGGAAATAAATATTATTATTATTATTTATGTATTTAGATTGAATACCTGGTGACAGCGAGGGTTCCACCTCCGTTGTCAGGCATGAATCCTCTGGCGGAGGCACTCTTACCGATCAGCTTAGCGGCCGCTTCTGACTCCTCGGCGTCACCAGAGAAGTAGCCAGCGTCTAGTATAAAAATATTTAAACGTGGTGGATAAGCGCCGCGGCCTGCGATCGTTGTCATTAAGCAACTTTCGCAAATATCGGTCACGGGATGGGTGACCGAAAAATTATTACCTCGAGTTACTCCGTGCTGTCATCAATTTGCATTGGGCTCGCATGGAGGGTCATGGTTCATCCTCCTTAACCATCCATAAGGAAGGCTTGAGCCCCTGCAGTGGGGTAGCAGGGCCAGCGAGGATCGGTGGGTGTTAAGATGCATTTTTTTACGTCACCCACCCTATGACCGGTCTATGTGAACTCTTACTCTTCTACTCTTTAGGCTGGTAATAGTTACAAATTAAATAAACTAATACCCACCAGATTCGGAGACTTTAGATTTGGTGCCGGCACTGACGGTGTCCCAGTTGTGGAAGTACTGCTTAAAGTTGGAGCATTCGATGCCTTCAACTACACGAGTCACTTGCACCTGTGAATAGTCTATGTTATTATGAAACGCCACAAGAATTTCTATGGTACCAGTATTTATAATAAGGAAGTATTTAAAAAAAAAATTAGTTCCCGAAATCAAACTAGATGTCGCTTACGGTACGTTCTTGATTTCTCCATGACAACCTTTCCGGTTTCTTTCAATTAAAAGTAATTAGTTTCAAACTAATAAACAACTCATATTCTATTTGTACTTTTTCGTATTTGTATTGATATCTAAGTTTGGAACTTTGCAAATTCCAGTTTTTTAATATGTTAGTTAAAAGGAACGGAAATGACTGTCTTTGGTTACCATTCGTTTCCTGCAAAAATCAACTTTTGCTAGAGTCGCCATCTAGTGAAGGGGCTTTTTTTCTTCTTAAATACTTCCTCATTCAAACTCTCAAAATTTACAAAACATTTCATTACCGCAGTGGCGGACTAAGTCGACGGGGGCCCGGGGCAGCAGCAGGCTCGGTCCTACAACTTTTTCCAACTGAGAAACTAGATATAAGAAAGACAGATAGTACAACCCCATTTGATAGCACAAGTACAACCCCCAAGACTAGAGATGTGCCGAGTCAGACTGACTCGAGTACTTACTCGAATACCTAGCAAGTACTCAGGTACTCGAGCACTTAACATACAGAATTCGGACCGCAGGCACTCGAGTACAGGATTCAACACTTATGGTATTCTTCTATAAAGTTATTAGTTGATTACTAATAATTTTATAGCAGATTTTTACGTTTACGACGTAACTTAAAGTTTTCAACATAAGTGTTCTTGTATATTTTTTTATTTTATTTTATATAATTGTTTATTTTTAAGTCATTTACAGTTTTAAGAATTTTGGTAAGATTAGAATTATAAAAGTAAGATTTGCTTTGCGTGATTCTATAGAACTTTTTAATAATGTTCATAATTACCAAAGTATGATTAATATGATTAAATGACTGATTATAGCTGTATTAATCTATTATTATTGAAATACTTTCCTATTGTTCATGGTTCATTATAATGTGTAGTTGTCATCAAACTCATGCAAACTACAAAGTTTGATTCAAATAATACACGAGCCTACTGAAGTATTCGAATACTCGTGCTAGCACTCCAATACCTACCCAACTCTTCTGACTCGGGTACTGACTCGATCCTTTTTTTAATGGGTACCAATGTACTCGAATACCAAATATAGCCGACTCGGCACATCACTACCCAAGACAAGCAGCCTGTGGCGGACCGCCCCCCGCCCCTTAGTCCGCACCTGCATTACCGCGATATTATTCGCACTCACCCAATCAGGATAGCCCTTAGCGTCGAAGTATTTCTGGACGGTTTCATTGTAATTCTTCTTGACTTCGTCGTCCACTTCTTTTCCAAGCCATATGTATACTCCAGAACATGGAGTGTCCAATATATAAACCTCCTGTGATAAACATACACAGCTGGTTTGAAAAATTATTATGAAAATACATATAAAACAATGGAGATTCGCACTTTAACACGGTTTTGGCGCTGTTTTCAGAAAAGTATTATTAGTGTTACCTGTTAAATGAATAATATTAGTAATCTAAAAAGCCTGAAAAAAATATAACCGACTCCAAACTTAAAAAAAGTGAAAATATTATTTATCTGAAAAGCAATTCATTCAAGAATGTATAATTAAAGTCGGGCGTCAATCATTTAATTAATAACCTACAGAAAACTTCCGAGTTTAATAGCATTTTCTTGGATAAATGAATAAGTTTGAAGTCTGAAACTTCATTAAAAAAAAAAGATTTTTTATAGTTCATTTTATATAGAGGAAAGATTTCATTGTTTTTTTGCGTTGAGTATGCTCCGATGGTACTGGACCTATTTTAAATATTCTTTCACCTACGGGAAGCTACATAATATGCGGTTGACAGGATTTAATATATAGCTGCGAAATTTCGGAAACGGCTAGTATTTAAACATAATAGATTTGTTACTTACGGATGTCGATAATGAGCTCTGCCTGTAAGGTTTGCTGAGCGACACGAGATCCAGCTCGTCTCCAAGTAGAACTCTGTACAAAAATACTGCGGACACGTCTTCTCTGTTGTACGTCTGAAACAAGAATGAAGATAAACGTACCAACATTTGGGCAGTACGCCATCTTTGCGATAGATGGCGCTTTTATTAGATGAATATCGGAATAATTCAAGTATCACGCAATCAAAAGCTTCACCAATATCAGTACACATGATGCGTTGTATTAAACCTTACGCTTATTGAAACAAGAGTCACTATACATTATTTATTTTTCATCGTAGATGTTGGTAACTCTTCCGCAAATGAAGAATCAAAATGTGACATATTAGTTGGAACTTACTTTAACAGCGGACCAGCTTAATCCTACAAATGCAATATGGTAGTAGCACGGTGGCCTAGTGGATAAGCGCCGCAGCCCGCAGTCGTTTTGTTAAGCAACTTTCGCAACGGTCTGTCACGGGATGGGTGACCAAAATTTTTTTTTCACGAGCCTTCTGTGCTTCGGGCGGTACGGTAAGCGGTTGGTAATTTGCAGTCGTTAATACCCTCCAATCCACATTGGGCCAACATGGAGGGTCATGGCCCGTCTTCCTCAACAATCCATAAGGAAGGCCTGAGCCCCCGCAATGAGGACGTAAAAGGGCTGTTATGAAAATGGCGGTAAAACTTGAAGATCCTTACTGTTGTTGAATCGTCTTCTGCCAGCTCATCTTTGGAGCCGGAGCCGAGAGCCTCGAAGAACAGGTTGAAATCGTCGTCGGATGAGAACTCATCTGTGGCAAAATACTTTATCGCTTAGTGTTAATACAGCATTTCTAACTTAGATACGCTTCATTGGAACATGAGGAAGAAAAACCATAGTCAATAGAGAATGGAAGGATGTTGAGGGCAGGAGAGAGTTGGAGTTAGTGTTGAAGATTGCCAAAAGTTTCGGTAGATGTGGATGTTTTAAGGAAATGTAATGTATACTTAACAGGACAGCTAGTAAGTCATAGTCATAATATTTAATGCTGTTACATATAAATTACAATTAATAGAGACACATATATTTTATTTATATCATTACAACATCAACTAAATACTATTTAATTTCAAGTTAAAACACAAAACAACACAATTATAAACGAAAATCAGTCAATTACATGTTTCTAATCCGAGAATACCTTTAAATTATAGCAGGATCGGTTAATTAATTTTTTTTTAACTGTTTGTGAAATACTGCATTTAATTCTATATCTTTAATGTTTTGTTAAACAACTTTAAATCGTTATATATCCTAAACTATTATCATTCACTAAAAATCATTTTTTTAAATTAATTAATACTCTTATTATTATATTTGATTAATTTTGCATTCACAATGAAAAAATATTCTGCTGTGTAGATGCAGAAAAACCTGAAAATAATAATGGCGTCATATATGTCTGTAGCCTTTACACATCCATCCACAAGGGGGATTGGATATGGCCCGTGTATTTCGTTTCATCTATGCGGAAGACTTAAACATACAGTTGGGGCATTAAGAGGATTATACTTGAACATTCAATTAAACTACATCAACGGTCCTGGCAAATCTTAGAGACCTGAAGTCAGGTGAAATTTTTACTACCTCGAGTAATCGCTGGCATCTTACAGGCCCTCTTAGACCAGAATTGCGCCTAGTATGAGGTGCTATCACAGGTTATGCTTACTTTCACAAACACATTTTTAATCTAGGTGTTACAGCCCCTTGTGTAGAACGTGAGCGGTTATTATCTTTGCCTCCATGCGGTTGTTTCCTATGGAGGCAAAGGAAACAACCGCTCATGTCCTGCTGGAATGTAATGGGGTGGTCAACTGCGGAGCGAGATACCTCGGCTCGCCAGGTAGACTCAGGAGACTGTTATAGACGTGAAGACGTTGGGAGCGTTTCTTGCTAAACTGGGCTGGTTTGAATAACTTCCGCCCACACCCTCCATACGAAAATCGGGCGCATTTATGATATCAAGTTGTGTTGACGCCCGAAGAAGAAAGAAGAAGACGCTGATAATAATGAAGTTATCTTCTAATATATAACTCAAAGGTGACTGACTGACATAGTGATCTATCAACGCACAGCCCAAACCACTGGACGGATCGGGCTGAAATTTGGCATGCAGGTAGATGTTATGACGTAGGCATCCGCTATGAAAGGATTTTGATAAATTCTACACCCAAGGGGTAAAATAGGGAATGAAAGTTTGTATGAAACTTTGAAAATTTTAAACCGATCCGGCTGAGACTTTGCATGTATAAAGTGAATATGACGTCGGCATCCCCTAACAAAGGATTTTGATAAATTCCACCCCTAATATAGAATAAGGAATTAAAGTTTGTATAAATCTTCTTAGTTTTTCAACTGTGAACTGAAATTAAAGCTTGAAGCTAGTATGATGAAGACGTCCGCTTAAGTAGGATTTTGATAAATTCAACCCCCATGGGGATAAAAAAGGGATGATAGAGGATGTAAATGTATTAGTTGGAACCTATTAGTACCTAATGGAACGAATAAATGAATATTCGTTAGAGATGCTGCTCAAAGTAACTTTACCAAAAGCTAGTTCTATTATATTCACCAATGATTTCAATTGTAGCCCTTCCGTTGTGGTAATCATCGCGTAATGTGTTCGCGACACTGATGATCTTCCTCCGCTGTGTGGCCTTAGCACCTTCCGGCATCAGGACGAAGATATCATGGTCCACTTCCAGGATGAAGCAGTGGTTCTTGGTCAGAGACGAGGCCTCTGCTGGGACCTGAAAAGTTCATTAGAATAGTATGGGTTCAATGTATTGGAGGCTAATTGTCTCGTTTAACGATCTATCGCGGTCGCTTTCAGAGATATAGCGATTGCGGTAGCAATTTATGGACTGTTTTTTAAAGCAGGTATCTTAATTTTTGGATAATCAAGAAACTTGATAAAAACTTAGTTATTTAAGACAAAGTATTACCTCTTCTATCCTCATATTGGCACTGCCGGTAAGTTTCAGCAATCTCTTTTCAGCTCCAGCATTAGTTTCTACCTGGTTGAAGCCTGATTCAGTTCCACCTTCCAAGTACCTGATGGCTAAATAATAATTACGTTATAAGGTCTCCCCGCTCTTGGTGGTTTTATCAGAACTTATATTCTGAAGAGGAATGATTTGTATGTTTGTATCGAATAGCCTCAAAACTACAGGACCGATTCTAAAAACTCTTTTACCTACGGTAAGCTGCATCATACGCGGGTGACAGATAATTTACGCGGTCGAGGAAACAGTCCTTACTTCTACACATAGTATAAAACAAGAAAATACAGATGTGCATCAGGACTGAGTGATCCTTTTTCAGTTTTCAACAAAACCAAAACGTACATTTAGTCAAAATTTGTCAAAACTCATAAGCGAAATCAAAAAATTTGTCACTCTTATGCGATTGAACATATTGCCCAATATGTGGAACACTCAATTCAGACATTATACAAAATGGCTACAAGCCGAATCTCAGGAAATACTTACACTGTGAATAAAATTTCATATCAAAAAGTACAGAATTTGTCACATTATTTTACAAAAAATCAAGAACTTCAACGTAAATCCAGGATTCTACGATAGTTTCAATGGATCACTCAATCCTGGCGCATTAAGATTGAGTGATTCTAGAAATATGGTAATATACTTACAAAATACATGATATTTTTTTTAGTCTAAAGGAACTTTTAAATATATTTGTCCAAATAATTTCACACCACAAATATTTATAGTTAAAAAGTTATGCCCAATCAAAGCCTCTAAATTGCTGAATTGAGTGATCCTTATTTAGGAACCATTAGGTTGAATGTTGGGTCCCTACTGTGGTGATGGAGACAACTGGCCAGGGAGACTAAAGGATAATTGTCTCCCTCCGAGCTAGGTGTTGTTAGCCCGGGGACCGCGGTCCAACCGATGTAGGTTGGACATTCTATTTATGTTAATTGGTAATTAAACTTATTCTGTGTGATGTAGGTTGTTCTAAATGTCTTGTAGTTATTAATTTATGATGTTTGTATTGGTACAGCGCCATCTCGTTACTTGCTGTTGAAACTTTTTGCAGTCCGTCTTGCTATCAATGGCTGTGATGATGCTAGTCTTCTTGCTATCGATTGCTGTGGTGATGTTAGTGCGATGAGTTAGATGTCGCTAGATACATAGCTCATCGCACTAACATCGCCACACTTATAACCGCATGTAGAAAAATACAGGACCGGGCGAAGCCGCTGGCGGAAAGCAAAGTAAAGTAAAGAGATGTCAGATCCCATCTCAGAGTGCCAGGTACAAAGTGGACTTTTTAGGCATTTTCATTACGAATAATCAATAATAAGAACAAAAATTTTCATCTTTATCAAATCAAATTAAAATCATTTATTCAGTCTAGGCTGTTACAAGCGCTTGTGAAAGTCGAGAGCTACGCCATCGGTTCGTACATCTACGGCAGGAGACCTTGTACCGAGAAGAACCGGCAAGAAACTCGGCAAGGGCTGCTTTTTTCTCCCTGTTTTATTTCATACGAAAATTTAAAAAAGTTTAAGTTATTTGTAAAAATATTTCTTTTGGCTGTTTGGGTGGATTGCCTTAGCATTAATGAAAATACGGTCTGTAGTAGCGGAAAGTAACAAGCGCTTGAAAAGCGTCAGTCCTGTTAGTTCCTGGGTAGCTCAGTGGTTAGAGCCGTCGTCCGGGTTGCGAAAGGTATAGGTTCGAGTCTCAACTCAGAGCGCCAGGGACGAAGTGGACTTTTAGGAATTTTCATTAAAAATAAAGTAAAGAGGTAAAATTTCTTACATTTTTTCGGAAATACTAATCCAATCATGAAAACTCTTTCACCTACGAGAAGCTACATCATACGCGGGTGAGATCATCTACAGCAAGCAATTAAAACCACTCTCCAAATTTGAGTATGTTAATCTTTACGACAAATAATGAAATACGTGTTTTTTCTTTTTATGTCGTTTAGAACAAAAATGTTGAGTTATATCGTCACCAAGTTATTTTCAAAAAACCTACATTTGTGGACGCTCTCGCTGCCCAGTACATGCGCTTTACGCGCTACGTTACACTTACCCCTCCCTCCCTTGCCGCAATTCATTGATAGTAATAATAGCAGCTACCTAAAATGTTTTCATTTTGTCATGCTTGGGGAAATGATAAATAAAGTTGAAACCTCTTCATACTTTTACGGGCTTAGGACCGTCAAATTGCATAAATCCTATAAGATACCTACTATTACAATAGCTATACTGCTTTAAATTTATAAAGTAAGTAGGTAAGTAAATATCGAGTTACCTAAAATTCTGTTTAGTTAAACCAATTCAAAGTAGGTACTTAACTCGCTATTCTTTTGCAATCAGGCGTATTTAAAAAATCATCAACGTTATGTACATAATCAACTAATCAATTTACCTACCTACTTTAACTATTTACCTACGTATACTTTAATAATTATTCAAAGTACATACCGTTCCTCTTCAAACAGAGTCTTGCACCTTTTCTGCACATTGTCTTTTAATTTTGCGAGCACTACCGTGTCATTTTTCACTTGGTAAAATGCCGCTCTGATTTGCACTTTTAAGTCCTCGAGGCTTTGTGCTTCCTCAACATACACACGTCTTTTAATTTCGCCCCACAAATAAAAGTCACACTGTGGTAGGTCCGGCGATCGCGCAGGCCCCACGATGGGGCCTCCGCGTCACGTTGATCACCATGTATGTAACACTGCACCATTTCATAATATTCGCGATTGGAATACATTACGACGCGCGAAATGTGGCGCTGCGACGGGCGGTGCGCAACACGGAAGCAAAGGCGGAAGCGCACGCGTTCAAAGGGGTTGTGCGCGGGCGACTGACTGATGTGCGCCGACAAAATAAAAAACCGAGCAGACATTGTTGTTGGCGCATGCGCGTACATCCCCTGCGCCCGCGCCCTTGCTCCCCTGCTGCCTTGTTTTATTCATTACTAATGTGACAATGCGAATGTTATAATTATCTTGTAATTGCAACAAGTTTACATTTCATTTTGAAAATTTTACATACCATTTTTTTTTCATATATATGATCTATTAACGATACCTAATGCCTACAAAAAATTTGGAGAGTCATTTTAAATGCAGGCGGTATAATTTCCGTGGATCAAGTCCCGAACAAAAAGGTTAGTATGGAATTAAAGTTTGACCTTAATAAATAATTTTTGAAATCATCCAATTATTTTTGAGTTAATATTACAAACAGCCGGACCTCCTAACTGTGAAACACAATCAGGGGCCTAATTGTGTAATTTTAAAATCTTTCGCAATTTCTTTTAATTAAGAGCCATATGACAAATTTTCACTCTGTGATTTGAGTTCTCGAGAACTTGTTCAAGGTCACGAGTCCACAATACTGTGTTGAAACCACGTTCAAGCTATTTTGATACTTTTCCCAATTTTTGTATTTATTTTAGTATTTCTATGGTGAGATTCATTATCGATTCCCGAATATTTTAAACGACTGCTCTCGAAAAGGAGTCTATTGTTTTTAGAATTAATGTATGTATGTGAGTATTTTTATTGCACCATAACTTTTGAAAGATATAACGGATATGAATGTACAGGGTATCATTAGAAACATCATCCTAAGTTACCACAAAATACATAGAGTATCAGTGAAACTAGTTTAATTATTAATATTAAATAGGTATGGGGACGTGTGACGCCATTTAAAAAAGTATGTTTTTTTATAATCATAACTTTATGGGTATCAAATTAAAGGTCCATTAAAAATATATAATCTGTATACAAAATTAACTGCTCACTAAAATGAATAAAATATAAAAATTATTTAAAAATTAAAAACACGACTGCTAAGATCGGACAAAAATTAAAAGAAACAAGTTTAGCCAAATCATAGGCTATACATATAAATAGCGATGACAATATATCAATAAAATTATAAATATTAATTAAAAAATATTCGTGCCATATTTTTCGTCGACGATTTCTAAATATTTTCGTCATCCATAGGAAACATGGACTGTTTCCTGTTTGGAAAAGTAGTAAATTAGAATTATATTAAACTAGTTGTGCCCGCGGCTTTATGCGAATGGAAAGTAACCTAAGGTTCTTTTCTCATGGCTAGATGCGATGTTATTCGATATGAATGAACGATATCACACGAATCGCATGCACTTATAAAATGTATGGAAAAACTCAAGTGTTTGCTCATGAGATTGTACTATCTGTCAATATCGGTCACAAATCTCATGGTCTGCGGTATCACTTCAAATGTATGAAGGTGGTAGAACGCTCGATCTGCTTTTGATTTTCTGTTCAATAATATCGAGGAACGATTCATTTGCTCATACTTACCATATCATCAAAATATATTGAATTTGACAAAAAAATACGGCAATATCCGTATATAAACAAATGAAAAGCTCGATGGTGCCGGATAGCTCGTTTGATCTGCGATTGAGGAGGTTAAGCGACGATTGCAAAGGCCGGCAATTGGATGGGTGGTCAATTTTTTTGGTGGTCAAAAAAGAGATAAGGCAAAAAGAGCATATAAGAAACGTCCAACTAACCGCAATCTTATTCGTTTTAAGGTTCCTCGAAATTGCTGCAGTCGTATGTGTATGGATGCTAAGCGACGCTTCTTCCATTTCCATCTCACTTGAATCCGGTTCTTTTCCCAAAATTTGGAATGGCGCACATTATTCCACTGCCTACAGTATCTAATCCTTCAGTCCCATCTCATTTTCGTCCTATTTCTATTCTTCCCCTTCTCTCTAAACTTCTTGAGCATATTGTTCATAAGCAATTATCAAATTTTCTTTTTTCTAATTCCCTTTTGAATAGGTACCAATCTGGTTTCCGCCCTGGTCACAGTACTGTAACAGCTTTAATAAACATTACTGATGATATTCGTTGGGCTATGGAGAATAAAGCTCTTACAGTTCTAATTCTTCTGGACTTCAGCAGTGCTTTTAATTCTGTCGATTTTGACATTCTTCTCGCTATTCTTCGTTCTTGCAATATCTCTCCTTCTGTTCTCTCATGGTTTGATTCCTACCTTCGGGGACGCACGCAACGTGTGCGTCTTGGTAATAAATCTTCTGATTGGTGCGACCTCGGTGCGGGTGTTCTTCAAGGTGCTGTTCTCTCACCTCTCTTATTTTCTATTTTCATTAACTCGGTTACTAAAGTTATATCTTCCAACATCCACCTCTATGCAGACGACTTGCAGCTTTATCGACACTTTAAAATAGAAGACTGTAACTCGGCACTGGTAGCTATTAATAACGATTTGGATCGCATTAGTACTTGGGCAAAATCGTTTGGCCTCATGCTTAACCCGAGTAAATCTCAGGCCATTGTGATAGGTAGCAGGTTTAATATTAATTCTATTTCTGCATTATCTTTACCACCCCTGCTTTTGGATGGGACTCAGATCGAGTTAACAGACACTGTAAAAAATCTTGGAATTACAATGGATTCAAATCTATCATGGACTGCCCATGTATCTGAGGTTAGTCGTAGGACCTTCTTCTCATTTCACACACTTAAATGCCTTCAAAACTTTTTACCTTTTAAAACTAAAGTGTTACTAGCACAATCCTTAATTATACCTCTTCTTGACTATGCAGATGCATGTTACTTGGATGCCACTGAGGAGTTATTAAACAAACTTGAACGACTTCAAAATGTAGCGATTAGATTTATTTATGGTCTTCGTAAGTATGATCATGTGACACATTTACGTAAGCAGCTCATGTGGCTTCCCATTCGTCAGCGTAGATATGTCAGGATTGTCTGTCTTCTGTTCAATATCCTGTATAACCCCGTCTATCCTTCCTATCTGCCTGAGCGTTTCTCCTTTCTCCGTTCTCCTGATGCTCTTTGCAGGTCCCACCTTAAGTCTTCAAACTCCTTCACACAAAACGGATTTTGCTTCATATTCCTTCACTGTTCATGCTGCTAGACTCTGGAACTCTTTGCCTGCCGATATACGTGACAGTCGCACTATTTCTGTGTTCAAAAAAAGAGTAAAGGATCATTATCTTTCCTGTTGTTGATATTGGATAGTGTAGGTATTATTAATCTTTATATATTACAGATATATATATTATTATTTATATAATGTTTGAACCGTTATGTATTTTTATTTTCTCTCTTTCCCGGTATTTGAATTTGTTTTTTTATTCCATATTAATTTATTTAGGAGGTACACACTGTCTACCTTATTGTATTTCTTTTTCCTGTTTTGGGCCTGCTGGTAGAAATTTCAATTTGAAATAAGCAGTGCCCTTGTACTAATGTCTGTTACATTTGTTCATATGAAATTGTATGTGTGTACAAAATAAATAAATAAATAGATAATCCAACATTTTGTGGCGGCGGCCATCTTGTATATAAAATTTTGTCATAGTAAACAGTATTCTACTACTCAAGCCCTTTTATTTAATGTTCGTATTGAGGGAGTCGTGAAAAATATGTAGGTAATCCAACATTTTTGGTGGCGGCCATCTTGGATTTGAAATTTGTCATAGTGTTCAGTATTCTACTACTCAAGCCCTCTTATTTGATACCCATATTGATGGGATGGTGATAAAATATGTGATCCGACATTTTGTGGCGGCGGCCATCTTGTATCGATTTTCATCAAAGTGAAGAACACTCCCGACTAATACACCTTTTAAACAAAATCAAAATGGGTTCATCCGTTCGGGAACTATGATGCCACAAAAAGACACAAACACACCACACACACACACAGAGACATGTCAAACTTATAACACCGCGTCGTTTTTGCGTCCGGGATTAAAAATATATTGAATTTAGAAAAAGTTGTTTCATATGCGGATCTCCGATAAATTTGATATCGGTCGAATTGCATCGAGCCATAAGTCTAAGTTAATCCTCATTACGTAAGTCAACTTCTAGTGAAAGTCTCTTCAAAATCGGCCAAGCCGTTTCAGAGATTAGCCAGAACTAACAGACAGACAGATAAAATATATTATTTTTGTATATGTACCATGTATACATACAAATGTATTTAGTGAAAAGCGGTTATTTTAATATTACAAATATGCACTCCAATTTTATGTACTAGTATAAGTGTATTGAGAGAAGAAGTACCTTGCTTTATTTGCATTTCATAATATAAATATATATTTTAACTTTCTTATACAAATATTAAGGGGTCTTTCGACCTATGCTGAAAATAACAAATGTGTATTAGAAATAATTCAATAAGCTATATAAATTCCATATAAATCGAACTTCGTGACCAAAGTTGGAAGTCCCACTATACTGCTCTATTTACGCTCGCTCGAACGTATCTAGATCGAAAAATGGCGCGAAGAAATGCGACACAGGTCTAACGTTGAGGAGCGCTCGCGCGGTACTGAGCTCAGACGGCCGCTGCATCTTATTTTGTAGTGATTTTGCGTTTACATTTATCGTATTTATTGAAATAATATAATAAATTTATGCTTTAAAATTATAATAACTTTGTTCCTTATGAAATAGTTATTAATCTGGCATAAATTTTGTTAAATAATATTGTTGTGGCTAAGAGAAATTCAAAGTTAACTTCAAGCAATTTTTGATGTTTTTTGGTTTGTAATATAATTGTTTTTCTATATTTAATCAGTGCTATTTCAAAATTTCGAGCTACTGTTTACTTTACGACTATATAAGAGATATCATTCTATTTCTTTTATTTCCTTTGTTAAGAACAGTAGCTCAATCCAGGACTTCAAAAAAGTGTCTTTGCGCATTTTATGAAAAACTTTCTCTGGTATTTTGGATTTTATTAAAAAGATGAGCAAAATTTCCAAAAAGTCGAGCCACTAATTTCTATACCAAGAGTTATTCTTCACTATTCAACAAGTCAAAATTGTTAATTTGTTTTTGTTTCCGAGAAAAATCACTCAGAAATCACAGTTGCGATGTAATATGGCTCTTAAGGCGGGTGTAGCCGCCGCTGCTGCAGAAACGCTCAAACGGCGAAAATATTCAGGTATAAGTAATACCTACATATTTGAGCCGTTTGGGGTCGAAACGATGGGTCCGTGGGGCCCTGGAGCCCATCGTCTTGATCAAGAGTTAAAAAAGAAACTTTTTGACAGGTCAGGTGATTAGAAGGCTGGTTTGTACCTCGCCCAAAGAATTATTTTAGCTATTCAAAGAGGAAACGCTCGCAGCCTTCTGGGTACCTTACCTGTAGGCAATGATCTGGGAGACATTTTTTAGTCATTATTTTAAGACATAGTTTAGATAAGTGGTTTTAATTTATTAGACCTTTTATTCAAACATTGTTAAGAAATAAAGAGATATTCACGAATTTCACGTTACAACTATGTGATATGTGACAGCGATTGCGTTCGCTAAGGTATAGAATGAACGATATAGTTGACATTAATTATAATTGTCTAAGCAAAACTTATTCTTGAAAGCTATTGAAAAATGTCAAATAAAAAAAAAATTATGTTAACTTCAACTATTTAACGGATTTAACGAAGTTTTTTTATTATACATCGGCTTTTTTATAATACATTTGGAAATTTGTATACGGAAACATTTACAGTCATAGGAATATAGGAGTTGAATGAGGAAGTATTTGAAAAAAAAAACAAAGCACTAAAAAAGCATCTCCACTAGATGGCGACTCTAGCAAAAGTTGATTTTTGCAGGAATCGAATGGACCAAAGATAGTCATTTCCGTTCTTTTTAACTAACATATTAAAAAAACTGAAATTTGAAAAGTTCGAAACAGATATCAAAATGTACAAATAGGATATGAGTTGTTTATTGAGTTTTGAAAACTATTTTACTTTTATACATGAAAGAAAACCGGAAGGGTTGTCATGGAGAAATCAAGAATGTACCGTAACGACATCTAGTTTAATTTGGGGAACAAATGCTTTTTTTATTATTTACTCATTGAAAACGTTTATTGAACATGCATACATTACAAACAAAAAAAAAGTCAAGATAGTAACAGTAGGATTCTAATGGGAAAAGGTTTTTTAAAATCTGTCCAGTCGTTTCAGAGCAAACAAACAATTAAATCTTTTCTCTTTATAGTATTAGTATAGACAAACAACTGAGCCCCATCACAACTGGAGTCCTCTCTAGCCGGGGTCTCTTCCAGCTGGAGACCCCTTACAGCTGGAATGCCCTTAAAGCTAAAGTTTCCTCTAGTTGAGATCTCTACCTCTTCTAGCTGGTGATCCCGGCCATTCCCTCTAGCTGGCGTTCCCTTACTGCTGGAGGTCCTCTAGCCGGGATCTCTACCTCTTCTAGCTGGAGACTCTTTACAGCTAGAGGCCCCATACACGTGGAGGTCCCTTACAGCTGGAGGCCCCTTCCAGCTGGGGCCTTAAGCATTATGACGCCACAATAGGCTTTGCTTGAGGTTCTTACCAGGTTGGAAATAGCCTAGAAATCTGCTCGACTCGTGACCTTGCACCTCTCTATGATGTACAGCGCGACCACCCAGCATGTCGTCTAAAGTGACAGTCAAGATGGCCGCCGAGCCTTTCTTGTCTTGTGTTGTCTTACTGCCCAACCAGAAGTGAGCATCGTAGGAGTAAGTAGTATTGTTGTCGCCTGTGGTCTGAAAAAATATCAATATAAAAGTGTAGACCCCTTTCTTTAAAAAAAAAAACTTGTCGTTATTGTTTATTATCGGTGGATTTTTAAGCATTTTTCATTAAGATTTTTTTTCATTATCCTAATATTTTTTTTCTTAAAATACTTCCTCTATTCTTACAAACTCACTTTTATTGATTTGTAACATTTAATTGTAAAAGTAACCGTCATTCAGACTCAATATAGCTTGCAATGTGAGTATTAAGAGCCATATTACATCGCAACTGTGATTTCTGCGTGATTTTTCTCGGAAACAAAAACAAATTAACAATTTTGACTTGTTGAATAGTGAAGAATAACTCTTGGTATAGAAATTAGTGGCTCAACTTTTTGGAAATTTTGCTCATCTTTTTAATTAAATCCAAAATACCAGAGAAAGTTTTTCATAAAATGCGCAAAGACACTTTTTTGAAGTCCTGGATTGAGCTACTGTTCTTAACAAACGAAATAAAAGAAATAGAATGATATCTCTTATATAGTCGTAAAGTAAACAGTAGCTCGAAATTTTGAAATAGCACTGATTAAATATAGAAAAACAATTATATTACAAACCAAAAAACATCAAAAATTGCTTGAAGTTAACTTTGAATTTCTCTTAGCCACAACAATATTATTTAACAAAATTTATGCCAGATTAATGACTATTTCATGAGGAACAAAGTTATTATAATTTTAAAGCATAAATTTATAATATTATTTCAATAAATACGATAAATGTAAACGCAAAATCACTACAAAATAAGATGCAGCGGCCGTCTGAGCTCAGTACCGCGCGAGCGCTCCTCAACGTTAGACCTGTGTCGCATTTCTTCGCGCCATTTTTCGATCTAGATACGTTCGAGCGAGCGTAAATAGAGCAGTGTAGTGGGACTTCCAACTTTGGTCACGAAGTTCGATTTATATAGAATTTATATAGCTTATTGAATTATTTCTAATACACATTTGTTATTTTCAGCATAGGTCGAAAGACCCCTAGGTATATTTGTATAAGAAAGTTAAAATATATATTTATATTATGAAATGCAAATAAAGCAAGGTACTTCTTCTCTCAATACACTTATAGTAGTACATAAAATTGGAGTGCATATTTGTAATATTAAAATAACCGCTTTTCACTAAATACATTTGTGTGTATACATGGTACATATACAAAAATAATATATTTTATCTGTCTGTCTGTTAGTTCTGGCTAATCTCTGAAACGGCTTGGCCGATTTTGAAGAGACTTTCACTAGAAGTTGACTTACGTAATGAGGATTAACTTAGACTTATGGCTCGATGCAATTCGACCGATAACAAATTTATCGGAGATCCGCATATGAAACAACTTTTTCTAAATTCAATATATTTATAATCCCGGACGCAAAAACGACGCGGTGTTATAAGTTTGACATGTCTCTGTGTGTGTGTGTGGTGTGTTTGTGTCTTTTTGTGGCATCATAGTTCCCGAACGGATGAACCCATTTTGATTTTGTTTAAAAGGTGTATTAGTCGGGAGTGTTCTTCACTTTGATGAAAATCGATACAAGATGGCCGCCGCCACAAAATGTCGGATCACATATTTTATCACCATTCCATCAATATGGGTATCAAATAAGAGGGCTTGAGTAGTAGAATACTGAACACTATGACAAATTTCAAATCCAAGATGGCCGCCACCAAAAATGTTGGATTACCTACATATTTTTCATGACTCCCTCAATACGGACATTAAATAAAAGGGCTTGAGTAGTAGAATACTGTTTACTATGACAAAATTTTATATACAAGATGGCCGCCGCCACAAAATGTTGGATTATCTATTTATTTATTTATTTTGTACACACATACAATTTCATATGAACAAATGTAACAGACATTAGTACAAGGGCACTGCTTATTTCAAATTGAAATTTCTACCAGCAGGCCCAAAACAGGAAAAAGAAATACAATAAGGTAGTCAGTGTGTACCTCCTAAATAAATTAATATTAAATTAAAATAATAATTAAACTTGGGATGATGTTTCTAATGATACCCTGTACATTCATATCCGTTATATCTTTCAAAAGTTATGGTGCAATAAAAATACTCACATACATACATTAATTCTAAAAACAATAGACTCCTTTTCGAGAGCAGTCGTTTAAAATATTCGGGAATCGATAATGAATCTCACCATAGAAATACTAAAATAAATACAAAAATTGGGAAAAGTATCAAAATAGCTTGAACGTGGTTTCAACACAGTATTGTGGACTCGTGACCTTGAACAAGTTCTCGAGAACTCAAATCACATAGTGAAAATTTGTCATATGGCTCTTAACATGCGCCATCTTGTTTTTGAGGTTTATGTAACAAGGAAATGGCTTATGGCTAAAAAAAAAATGTTAGCACTCTTCCAGTCGTCTATATATCTTTCGTGAAGACGGTAATGAAAAATTAGAACCATTAACTTAGCAAACGATACAGAAATGTCATCCTTTGCTTTCCGAATGACATAACACAACTAATCTGTGACTTGAGTTTTATTTATCAGTTTATGTTCCTACTTAAAAATATGAGTTTAAGGCTGTACAGCTTATTTTATTTCTTGCATTTCTTAACACTGGCATTCAAAATTAAAGGTCAGACCATAGGGGGCCCCGAAAGCGCGGGACCCGTAACATTTGCTATTTTAGCTACGTGACTCCGGCACTGTATACGTAATCGTACCCTAAAATACCAGCGCAAAGATATTTAAAGAGTTAATAAAACCATATCGATTATTTTTATCGATCTGAATGAAACATTTTATACGATTTCATTGGAAATATAAATGTACCGCTAAAGATAATTTTGTGATATGATTTGTAGATAGTTGTAATTAAATTGGCAATCAGATTATGAAGGTGTTATATGATTTAATATTATGATCTTTCGGGGATATAGGAATATAATTCCGAAGAATTATAGTTCTATAATTTATATTTCTATTGCTTTACTAACACAACTGCTCTTAGTAGGTGATGTCAAAAACCATAAAAACTGGTAAAATGAAAGTGGATGAAAAATAATGTAAGGACCGTACGTTGTGGGGTTCGGTCCTCTCTGCTTACCCCGGGGATATGGCGTGAGGATATAAATTATCAACAAGGCAACTGTTTGGTGGGACAAAGAGTAGCCTATATGTTGATTTAGGTTTAGAATTATCTGTATGCCAAATTACATTCAAATCTGTTCAGCCCTGCGATTCCGAATTTACTTCAAAAAACGGCATCAACTCAAACTTGTATCAGAGTACAAATGTTTGTGGCATAAGTGAAGTGAGTTTCGAAATGACATAGGAATAGAATATCTGAGACACGTGTAATTGATCAATTTGGTTTTGTATTTTTATACAAAAGATTGAAACAATAGAATTTCTACACTGACTGACGAGAATTCGGAACAATGAGTGAATTCGAATTCGGGTCTGGCTTTTACAGAATCGAAGGGCAGTAGCTGTTGCGTAAAAGAGTAACAAACATCCTTATTCTTAACACAAAATGCTTAAAAATCCACTTGGTCCCTGGCACCCTGAAATGGGATTCGAACCCACAACCTTTCGCAATCGGGGCGACTGCTCTAACCACTGAGCTACCCAGGACCAGGGCAAATAGCCGTCACAGGATGGATGACCAAATAATTACTCATCCGTGCTTCAAAAGTAGAGTTACCACCCGTACCTTATAATAAAGTATTGTACGTTATTTCAGACAATTGTACTCTATACTCTATGAGAACAATAAAGTACACGAAAATACTTTATTTCGCATGATTTGATTTGTTTGTGATTTTGAAGCTTAGTCGTAAGTATCTTTTCGTTAAATAAAATTTATCAAAATTTATATAGGTAAAGAGCATTCGTTTCAAGCACTTGTTACTTTTCACTACTACAGAGCGTATTCTCGTCAATGCTCAGGCATCCACCCAAACAGCCGAATGAAATATTATTACAAATATTGAAACTTTCGATAAAGATGAGTATTTTGTATTAAAAATAATTTCAAGTATAGCATTGTGAATGCTGAATTAATCAAATATGATAACAAACATCCTCACAAACTTTCGCATTTGTAATATTAGGAAGTAGGATAAAATTTTAAATGTACGAGTAGTTTTAAAACTTTCAGTATTCTTCTTTTCTTGTGTTTAAATTGAGGCTTTAAAACTACTACACTGTAGAGTTTTGTAACTCATACGTTATTATTGAGGATGAGTATGGTAGCTCGGTGGCGTAGTGGATTAGCGCCGCGGCCCGCGATAGTAGTCGTTAAGCAACTTTCGCAAGGGTCGGTCACGGGATGGGTGACCGAAAAATTCTTATCTCGAGCTACTCCGTGCTTCGGAAGGCATGTTAAGTCGTTGGTCCCGGCTGGATTTGCAGTCGTTAATACCCTCCAATCCGCATTGGGCCAGCGTGGAGGGTCATGGCCCATTCTAATTAACCATCCATAAGGAAGGCCTGAGCCCCTGCAGTGGGGACGTAATAGGGCTGATGATGATGATGATGGACCTTGTTTTAACTCATGAGGTACTCACGGGGTACCTCTCATTTAAGGTGAGGTTAAGAGAATGAAATAAATGCAAAGATTGAGTATGTAGCGAAGCGTGAGGCAAATGAGTGATGGAGATTGCTCGTCCCTACTCACCCGACGAGCCGAGAGAAACATTGGTGATAAATGATCGAATTTTGAAAGCTAATAATCAAATATTATAGTGAAACTAGATTATTGTAACAATATTTTCTAACTCATAATGGATTTTGGTTATTCATTTCTTTCTTCACTCAATAAGTATTTTTTTTATTTTGAATGAGGAAGTATTAAAAAAAACACAAAAATGCATGTCCACTATATGGAGACTCTAGCAAAAGTTGATTTTTGCAGGAAACGAATGGACCAAAGACAGTCATTCCCGTTCCTTTTAACTGACATATTAAAAAACTGAAATTTGCAAAGTTCGAAACTTAGATATCAATACAAATACGAGAAAGTACAAATATAATATGAGTTGTTTATTGAGTTTTGAAAACTAATTTACTTTTATACATGAAAGATGACCGGAAGGGTTGTCACGGAGAAATCAAAAAACTACCGTAGCGAC